AACAACATATAGTCCAATTAAACAAGAATTAAGCAACAATTCTAATATATCATTTGCTTTACAGCATCAGCAACTTGATCGGTATGGAATTTCCAACAATTAAATAATTTAAAGAGACAGTGCTATTTTTAGATATTTATAGTTTTTATTAAAAAGTTTCGATTAGCCTTTGTGGTGTAGTTGGTAAATGTTAGGTTTTGGTGAATAAGTTGAAGGTTCGAATCTTTGTGCGTTTATTTATTTTCTTTCAATTTTTTAAAGTATTAATCCTTTATTTAGGAATGTTCCTCCTAATCCTTTGCTTGATAGACGCAGAAGTAGTGGGAGTATTCCTGTGTTTTCTAACAATGAAGGCCAACATAATCTATTCAAAGGGGAAGAATCCCCTCGGCATCAATCATTTGGTGCTCAACCCAAAAACATTTCGAATATAAGATTCTCACAAGAAATTCCGTCTTATACTATGCAAAATAATCCAATTGGAAATACTTTTAATGTTCCCCAACAAAGTGTAATGTTAATGCCTGATAAAGAACATCAGAAACAAAAGAAGAAAGAAAATGCTGGATTTGGAATTGAAGAAAAACCAATTCATGAGTAAATAAAAGTTTAATTGATTTTTAAAAAATATTTTTAAAGATGCGATGCTTGTGGAAAACGTCTTTGTTCTTCTCGAAGTCTTAAACGTCACAAAAGTACATGTAAAAGAGTTAAAGCTGTAACTGAACAATTACAAGGCGATTTTGGTTCGCCCCCTCCATCGAAACCTGAAAATATTTCTGAAAATAAAGTAAAGGAGCAACAAAATATTCAAAAACAAATGTTTTTATATTTTGAAAACTTCTCTAAAATTTTATTTTTTAGACGTAAAGTTAGCGGTGCAAATCAAATCTCCAATGACAATAAAAATAATGAAAAAGTGAATTTAACTCAACGTCAATCTTCATCAGAATCTATTAATTCACAACCTTTTGTTTTATCTCAACCTTCTTTAGCTTCAAATAATTCTTCGCCAATAAAATTTTGTAATAATTCTGATTCTCAAAATTGTGGAGGACTTTCTTCTCCTCCTTTGGTTATTCAACAACAACAACAACAATTTTATTCAAGACAACCTTCTTATTCTGCTCAAATTCAGGTGCTAAAACAAGAAAATGATTCGAAAAAAGATGTGGAAATACCTTTTAAATTGACACCAGTTACGACTATGGACGAGCCAAACAAGGTTTTTAATTTTTTAAATATTTTTTTTTTGTGAGAATCGTTTTGTGGGAAAAAAGATCAACACCCTTTAAAAAATCATTAAGAGTAAATCAATAAAGATAGATCTGTTATTAAGTCTCGTTTACATGAAAAGCGTCGTGCGACTAAAAATAACAGTCAAAAAGTACAAAAATTGCTTTTTATTTAAATGAATCATTATTTTAGTATTTCTTGCTACTTATTTCTTGCTAGTATTCTTGCTATTTATTAAAAATACCCACCCGACTATTTTTGGATAATTAAAAGTTTTAGTTTAACAAATGATTTTTTAATTAAAAAAAGGTTTCGGATGTTGTCGACTCTGTTGTTGCCAAATTACGTTCACAAAATAGTGGAATCTCTGGCCGTATACCAACAAATTGCAATACAAATACTTGCAATATTTCAACAAATAATTCTCAACAGCAACAATTTTTGCCTCCTCACCAACAACATTTTAATGTTCCAATTGAATGGAATGAAACAAATATGCCTATACAACAATTTTGTGAATCACAACAATTAACAGCACCTACAATGCTTTACTATACCCCTGTTTCTCATCAACAACAACAGCATTTACAACAAAGACAGCAACAATTTAGTGGGGATATAAACAATCCACATGGAATTGGGGTATATTTTAAATATTTTTCAAGTAAAAAATACTCAGAAATTGGAGGGAAACAAATAAACTTTCCCTCTTTTTAAAGCCAAATCAAATTGAACAAACAAAATGTCCTCAATCAAAACCTTTAATGCCTCCAATACAACAACAACATTCTTGGCAACCAATGAATCCTCCAAATCTTCAAATATCACAACAACCTCAACCTATTCTTGCAGCACAAAGAAATAATAGTACTGAAAATACTAATTTATTGCCAACAATGTTAAGTGAAAGTTCTTCAAATAATACAATGAATGAAAGAGCAGAGTATTTTTTTAATTTTTAAAAAAATTTTTAATAAGAAAATTTTTTTAAAGAAAATTTCCTTGTCAATATAATAATGAACAAATAATAAAAAAGCAGCAATCTATTGATGGACAAAATAATTCTGGAGATATTAAAAATGTTTTGACAGAATGCCAAACAGAAAAACTCCCAAACTCAATGGGGATTAAATCAACAATTTTATCTTCTCCTCCTCAACAACAACCTCCCCAACGAGCGGATATTGGGAATACTTCTAAAAATGTTTATCGTTATTTATGTCCAGAATGTGATAAACCGTTAGTTTTTCTTAAATAAATTTATTTAAATTTCATTCCTTTTTTAAAGATATTCTTGCCGTAAAAATGTTAAACGTCATCGAATCTCTCAACATAAAGTTCCAGCCCAAGAAGCTCAGGATGGGCAAATTAAAAGAATTCGGTTAACTGAAGCAGATTTACAAAAAGACGGAAATAAATCAAAACAAGCAAATAACAAACCAAAAGAAATAAAAAAGGAAGAAATTGGAAAAGAACAACAAAATAAATTAAAAGAGAAGGAATTATCTAGGTATTTAATTTGTTTTTTTTTTTTGAATTTGTTAAATTTGAAATTGAGTTGAGGCTTTTGGGGGTTGTTTTTATTTGTCATTATTTGAAGCGATTAATATGTCTGATTCGGTAAATGATATTTGCATTACTAGAGGGTTACATAATTTGGAATTTTTAGTTGGTAAACTTTCAGATTTTTAGCTGTACAAACAAATTCATAATATACAATTTTTAATTTTGTAATTCTTATTAGGTTAATTTTTTAATTTAAGTGATGGAATGTCTCGTCAAAATAGCACTACTTCATTAACTTCCCCTACTCGTCCACATATATTACAATCACCTGAACATCAACAAAATCACCAACAACAACCTTTTGTAGCACCATTACAAAAACCACAACAACAAATATTTCAAAAACAACCTCCAATGCAAATTATTCGGGATGAAAAACAATATCAAACACAACAAAGACATCCTTATTATTTGCCATATCCTCCAATAAATCAATCTCAACAAGAACAACGTTTTGTAGGGCAGCAACTTTTAGATGAACAACAACAACAACAAACATTTTATGAAATTCCCCAACATCAACAACAATATATTCAACACCAACATCAATATAATTATCAACAACAACAACAAAATTTATTATATTTAGATTCTCAACAACAAAATAAAAAATATCAACAACAACAACAATATTATGGTTCACAAATGATTAGTTATCCACCTCCTCCACCATTTCAACAACAACAACCACAACAAAAAATTATTATGGTACAACAACAACAACAACCTGGCCCTTCACATTCTAATAATAATAATCGTTTAAATACTTTTTATTCTCAAAATAATTATCCACAACAATATACAACAATAATTAATAATCAAAATAATGAATATCCAATAACATATCAAGAAGGTTATTATCAGCAACAACAACAAATTGAACAACAACAGCAACGTCAATTTGTTACATATAACAATAATTCTTTTGCAGAAACTTTAGATTGTTGGGAACAAATAAAATCAGATGTTGATACAGGGCCTGCAGCTGTTGTTGATGCTGATGCTGTTGAAATGGCTCGAATAGTAGAAGATTTAAAACGAACAGAAGAAGTTACAGAGAAACGTCAACAAGTAAGAATTGTTCAACAACAACAACAAACAATTAAAAGACAACAAAAACAACAAAATTTACAATTTCGCCAGTTGGACACGGGAATGATTGTTGGTTCTGAAAGTGTTATAAATGCTGATAATTCTTCAGAAATGTTTCAACAAAATCCGAATATTCAAAGAAAAGCTGTTGAATTAGCCGAAGCTGTAAAATAATTTAATTTTTAAATTTAATTCAAAACAAAAAATTTTTTAGGATACAACTTTTTCTCCACCTTCTCAACCAGATGATTCTTTAAGTAGACAAATTTCACATCAATCTCATCAGGGTGTTGGCACTCAACAATACCAACAAAAAATGTAATTAATATTTAATATTCCTTTCAAATACCTCCTCTTTCCCTCCTTTCTAAATTGGCTTTGGCTGCCCAAAATTTATATCTAACGGCTAACCTAAAAATTAATTAAATCTTAAGCCAATTATTTAATTTTTGGTAAATTCCTTAAAATTCTAATTTTTATCTAAAAAAGGATTCCACTTAATCATCATCATCAAATACAACAATCGCCAACTACTTATCATCCTCAACCTTTATTAAGCGCTTCACATTCTGCCGGACAACAACAAATTTTTCGTTTTGACGTTGCAAGTGTTAATAGAGCACCTAAAGAATTAAATTCTGTTGAACATGAAAAATTTCAACAAATTGAGTGGAATTATCAAGGCGGAATAAATGTTATACCTTCACAAAATAAATACCTCCCACCACCACAACCACCACCACCACCACAACAACAACAAACAATTCAACAATCACCTTCATTTTCAACAAATATTTCTCAAGAAAATAATTTAATAATAAATAAATTACCACAAAAATTAACAAAAGGAGAATCTCTTCCAAAAAATAAAACAACAAAAACAACACAACAGTCAACTGGAACTTTTGTATGTCCAGCATGTACAAAAGCTTATTCTACCGATTATTCACTTAAACGACACAGAAATGTTTGTCCCAGTATTAAATGTTGGAAAAGAATTGGGAAAAGGAAGGGGAAATTCAACACGCAAAAGGTTTTTAATTAATTAAATTTTTATTTTTTCAATTTAATTTTTAGAAAAAATACTAATTCAAATAATATACCAACTAGTTCAACTAATAACATGGAGACAGTTAAATCATTGGAAAAAATTGGTGGTGAAACAAGAATGGATGAACCTCATCAGATTGATCCGGACAGTACAATGTAAGGATAAATTGAAAAAAATTGAGGAGTAGGGGAAACTTGGGAAAATAAAATTCAAATTTTGGTTTTGTAAAATATTAAATTTCCTTTTTTTAAGGAATGAAAGTCCTCCAGACAATGCTGGTGGCAGTAATTCGTCGATGAATAGACGTACAAGTGTTAGCGGTGCTAGTACACTTTCTGCGCCACCAAATAATGGTGGAAACGCTGAGGAACAAAATAAACATGTTCAAATGCAAATGGCTACTGTGATTCAACTTTAAAATTTAAAAAATAATATCAATGATTAAAAGAGTAGGGAAAAAATTTATTTAATTATGGGTTACCATTTTTTAATTTTTTAAAAATTCTCTTTAAGAAACCCACTACTTTGTGCCAAAAAATACTCTCAAAATAAATTTCATAAAAATTTAATACTCTGATTTCATTAATAAGATAAACCTAAAACAGCAAAGGTCGAACCTACATAATAACAAGATCTGACTTATTTTAATTAATTAATGGAAACCCTTATTTAAATATAAATAATGATTTTTAATATTGATAATTATTAGTTAGTGATTTTTCTATTAAAATATATTATATCTATATATATTTTTTTATTTTTAAACACTCCTCTCCCTCACTAAACGAACATAATCTTAAAATTATTTTCATAAAAAATACTCGTTTTTTATATTTTGTTATTTAAATCAACGATTAATTAAACACTTACTATATTAAATATCTAAATAAATAAATATATACACAGCCTTTAAATTTATATATTTATTTTTTAATAAAATATTATTTTTATAAGGCAAGAAGTACCTCTTTTTATTATATTAGCGCTATTTTTGTAAACGCTTTTTTAATTTGATAAATAATTAGTAGTTTGTCATTAATTTTTAAAATTCATCTATCTAGTTTTCAACTAACCTCCAAAGTGGGGCTCTATTTTTGGGTGGGGCTCTAATTTAGAATGGGCTTTATTTTAGGAAATACGGTTATATATTAAAGTGCGGTTTTCTCCTTTTTGTACAGGCATTAACTACAACAACACATAATTGCCGTCCCTATACCCGAAATACTTTTACATAATTTTATTCAAAAATTTTATTCCTTTTAATTTGAATTACAATTTTTATCATTTTCTGTACAGTAAATACTTTTTTCTAAAGATTCTGATTGTTTAAGTAATTTCCCAACAGTCTCGAAAGAATGTTCAATTTCAAAAGTTTGTGTTTCCATCAATTCTACTTGTTTAGCCAATTTATCCAAATTTTGTGCTGAATTTTGGGCAATTCCGTCAACCGCTACAAAATTACGTATTGAAGTTTGTAGAACGTCAGAAAGGCCGGAAGTTTGTTGAATATTGCCTATTACTGTACCCATTTCAATTATTATATCTTGAACTCGATTTGGAAGACGAGTTTTGCCTTCGAGTGTTATAATATTTGTTGGTTTTTTATTAGCCATTTTAGTAAATCTGGAAATAAAAATATAATGAAGGTTAATATCGAAATTGTCGGGAAAAAAACAAATAAAAATAATTTTTCTGTCATAACAAAATATAAAAATAAATATAATTTTAAAATATTTATTAAAAAACAAAAAACAATTCCCTAATTTAATTTAAATTCTTTCAATAGGCTCTATACCAATTAACTTCATTCCTTCTCCCAAAACCTTTTTAGCTGCAGTAAAAAGTAACATTCTAGGTAAAGCATTAATTAAAGGTTCTCCTAAAATTCTTAAAGAAGGCAATGTTTGTCCAATTTTATTTGAAAGGCGAACCTAAAAAATAAAATTATTTTTTTTAAATATTATTCAAACCAAATGAATTGCAATTGGACTTGGTTCCATTTTTTGTAAACTATTATTTAACACAGTATCAAATTCAAGAATCATTCTTGCCAATTTTCGTCCATTTTCACCAATTTCTGGTTGCATTTTCATTAAATCAACTTCACTTAAATTTTTTAATTTTTCCAAATGTTCTAAATTAGCCTTTTCAAGAGAATTTAAACGAGAATATTTTTCCTTTAAAAAAATTTATTTTTATTAAAAAATATTCCCTTTTTAATTACCAATAAAATTAAAGAATTTGTCCCTTCTGGGAGAAAAGCTCCTTTAAAAGAAAAATTAAAATCCGAATGTTTTGCTCTACAAATAATTGAAAATGCTAATTGATTTTGAGTAAGTAATTGACACAAAAATTCTTTTTCTTCTTCAGTACTTTTTCTTGTATAAGATTTTTTAATATAAGCATCAGATTCTGAATTACCTTCAGAAATTAAATAATCAACAGAATCATTTTTTCCTTCTCTTGTAGATAAACCAATTACTTTACCTTTTTAAATATTTAAAAAATAAAATAATTTTTACAAAAAATAACCATAAGAGTGATGAATTATTTTTTCAGCCAAATCAGAATCTCCTCTCATTTTTAAAAGTGCTCTTAAATGGGCAAAATGATTTGCTTGTGATTTGTCTACAACATAAATATATTTATCTGCATTGTATTTATTTTGTCTATCATAAATTGAAGCCAATTCTCTTAAATTTTTTAATACTTGTTGGGTTTTAAACTATAATAAGTTTTGAGCCCCCCCCCCCCTCCCCGATACATTAAACGGATTAAATAATTATTTTTACATCAAAAAAACTAACCTATTTAAATATAAATTTGCTCCATCAATTCTTCTTAAGGGAATTCTGGACAATCCAGGATCAAGATTAACAATTCCCCAACATTCATCTTCTGCAGGAAAACGTACACATTTTCCTTCCAAAATCATTTCATCTACCAATTTAGCTCCTTTCAAAACATAATTAGATTCTCCATCCCAAACATCAAAATTCACTCCAAAACGTGAATATAAATCTTTTAAATAAATACAAGAAATTTCACGCCATTCTTTTAAAAGATTTAATGCTTCAAAAGCCTGTGAAGACGAAGTATTCTTTTTTAAAAATTGAAAATATTTTTTTAAATTTAAACAAAAAAAACTTGTTCATTGCCTCCTTCATTAATTTTTATTTTTTCCATTTCAAGAAATAATTGACGAGACCTTGCACTAAATGATGCATTTAATTTAGACATTCGATGAGCAGCAGCATACGAACTAAAGAGAAATAATTTCCTTTTTTCTTTTATTTAACGAAAACCTCGTTAATAATTCAACTTTCTTTTTTTCAGTCATTTCATTCCATTCTTCAGGTTCTGGCCTTTTTATTCTTCCTTCTTTTCCATCCATAACAGCAAGCCAATAAAATGCAAGCATAGAAAATTGAGGTCCCCAATCACCCAAATAATTAATTGAAACAACCTCGTGTCCAGCCAAACGACAAATTTTTTGTATAAAATTTCCATAAAGTGTTGATCTTAAATTTCCCATATGAAAGGTTTTTGCAATGTTTGGAGAAGAAAAATCGATTACAAGCTTTTTACTTTTTGTACCAAATTTTGCTAACATTTCAGGAATTAAATTACTACTGAAAGCGACACGATGAAGACTTTGGGCTAACATCTCTCTAATTAAAAAATTTTAAGAAGAAAATCTGTTTTAAAATTATTTATGTAATAAAACATTTTAAAAATAAAAAAATAATTAAAAAAAATTTTTTTATATCTTAGGATAATCAAAAATTTATTGAGGAGAACAAAACTGTCCAATTAAAAATATTAAATGAAAGAACAAAAAAAGCAGCAATTACTAACCAAAAATGGCAAATTAAAAAATTGTCCAAAACGTCTAGCTACCCAAAAATTGTGCAGTCATTCTTCCTCTTCTATTCGTTCAAATCTTTCACGATTATATCGATTATTGTCACTCTCTGTCAATCCCTCCAATCCACAAAATGAAGCAAGACATAAAGCTATTCTTTCATTATGGATTCTTGGAAGAATTTCTCTTCGAAACCAAGGGCCAAAAAGTAAATCATTGTAGACAAACATTCCAAGCGTCAATAAAGCAAAACCAATTAACTTTAAATTAATTTTAATTTAAAATTAAAAGATTTTTTTGAAAAACCTGTACAGGAATAAAATTTTCGCCAAAAAGTGGAATAGAAAAAGCCCAAATTACAAAAGTTCTAACACTATCCAAAACCTTAAAAATTTTATTTTTATATTTTTAAATAAAATTTAAAACCATTCGAGTGGTAGCAGAAAGATGTTTAGTTACAGTCACTCCAGCAAAATTAAAAAATGCAATACTTTAAATAATATTTAAATATATAATTATTTTTTAAAATTTTACCTTATAATTACAAAAAATAAAGCTAACATAACTATTGGTTTTTCATGTATTTGTTTAAATGCATAAAAAATATCTTCAAGTCGATGTTCGGGATTTTTTGAAAAAGTAGCAGGCACGTGAATAAAGTACATTGGCAATGAAAGGAAAGAAAGAATTATCATCCCGAAAAAACCTTAAAAATAAATTTTAAAAATATTTCGACTGAAAAAAATAATTTAGAAAAAAGACTTTTAAAAACCTTCTAAACCAACTGCCAAAAGTGGAGGGACGTCATATTCAAGAACAAATTTTTGTTCTGAAACCATCTGAATTGCGACACTGTCAAAGAAAATAAATTTATTTATAGAAGAAATATTCAAAAAATAAAATAAACTAACACAATTTGGGCAATTACAATCAATAAATTCCCTAAAAAATTAAATAGAAAAAATATTTAATTTAAAAAAAACCAGTTATAATTGCATTTAAATCATCATTTGGATTTGTGTCAAATTCAATATCAGATAAACCAACAACCAAAAGACCCAAAGCAACCAAGCCCATTCCTAGCCATTTAAATCCTCTCAAACGCGCACGTAAAAAAGCTGTCGAAAGTAGTCCAGTAAAGATAATCACAGAGCCTTTAAAGGCAAAAAAATATTGATTGACCTTAAGAAAAATACAAACCTCGAAGCATCTGAAAGCTGGATGCTGTTGTCTTTAATTTAAAGAATATTGAATTTTTTAAAACTAAAATTAATTCAAAACCAACCAAATTAAGCCCAACATACATCTTTAAAAGAAATTTATTATTTTACTTAAAAAACAATTTATACTATAGATGTGCCTAACATATCACAACATGCAGGAGGAAGGAAAATAAAAGGATTAAATCTGTAAAGAAAAATCAATTTTGAAAATACTAAAAATAGACCTAGGCAATTTAGGCTCGTCTTCCAGATCCAAATCGAAAACAGCTCCACCCTCATGAAATTGACTTAAAAAATAAAATTCTGGTATGTATGTAGTTTACCTCTCTCTCTCCCAAAACCTTCCCTCCTTATTAGTCGTAGTATCGGGGTGGTCTGTATATCTGTCGTCAAAATTGGATAGGTGTTCGAGTTTCAACTAGGTAATTTTGGTGTTTTTAATTTTTGAAGGAGACAGGGAGGATTTCCTACTAATTTTCGTAAAAAAAATAAAAATAAACTTTCTCAATTTCCATTGCCGTTTTCGAATAAAATGCATAATTAAATAAACAATCAGACAACAAAATTCACCAAAAAACATACAAATTGTTTGAAAAACTGGATGATCAAAAGCTAATTGATCTACCCATTTTGCAGAAAGTGTATTTAAACTTCCTTAATAAAGAATAAACGTGATTGATATTAAAATATGTGAAATTACCTGTAGCAACCATAAAAGTGGCAACAATTAATAAAAATATGTAATCAGAGCCTTCCTCATTCCTTGCCATATTTAAGCTAAAAGAAAAAGAATAAAGACAAAAAAATTGTTTGTAGGAAATTACAAAAAATTACAAAAAAATTACAATAAATTGCGGATTTAAATTTGCGAACACGAAATTTGCGGACTGACACTCGAGTAAAAAAATATAATTTAAAATAATTTTTACGCAATTGATATCGGGAATCTCAGGGAATTTGAAGGGATATTGTAAGGATTTGGGAGGGTTAATGGAGGGTTGAAAGATAACGGGAATTAATGGAGATATCGACAGATATCCCCTTTTTAGTTAAACCCTCCCTATACTCGTTTTGATTTTAGTTTTTTGTCATTTAATTTTTTAATTTTAAGGATTATAAAATGTCAATTTTTCGTCATATTATTCAAAATTGTTTTCAGAATCTTCGTTATTTTGGAACACGTGAATTAAATTTTTGTAGACACAAATCTTTTTGGTGTAATAATCGAGGAAAGGAGTTTGTTTTTAATTTAATCTACTAATTAATTTTTAATTAAAGGACACCCAAATTTTTTGATGGTTTTGAACTTGAAAAATTATTTGTTGATGAAAATGTTCAAAAATTGTTAAAATCACTTTGTGGGTTTGATTTAAATAGATTATATAGCTGGAGGCTTATAAATAGTCCAAGCCGTAGACATTATGCTTTAATGACTGATAATATGTATAAAGAGGTTTTTAGCTGTTAAAAATTATTTTTTAAATTATTTTTTTCAGTTTCTCTCCAAAATGGCCTCTAAAGCTCAATATTTTTTACAATTTGTACCTTTGAAAGAACCAAGGCCTAATAAAGCTGAAACTTTGTCTGTGGATTCAGATATTTCTGGTCATGATCCTAGCAAAATAATTTTTGTTGATATTTCCCATGACTCTACTGAAAGGGTATTTTCTTTTAATTTATATTTGGTACTTATTTGAAAAATTTTTAAGGATCGGGCAATTGTGGTTCGAGAGCCGAATGGCAGACTTCGTACTGCATTACCAGAAGAGCATTTTCGGATGAACAGAATATTTTTTGATAAACCTGACAGGCCTGTTAGAGAACCCCCTCTTTTTCATTTGCATTCGGACAGTGATGGACAAATTGTTTGTGGCGACATTCTTTTGGTTTTAAAATATTTTTATAGAAAAATATATTTAAATTAATTTAAAGCAAACATTGGCTAGAGACGAACATGAATTTGTTTTGGATTGGGCCTGTCAGTTTTATGAACCTGATGATCACAAATTTGTTGAGGTTAATTTTTTATTATTTTTTTGTATTTTATTTTTTTTAAAGTTGTGTAAATGTATTTTTGAAAATACAATTAAAGAACAAAAATTATCTGTTTTACATTCTACTCGACATTTTGGAACACTTGCTTTTTATATGCTAATAAATAATTATTATTTTGAATTAATTGAATTTTTTGCACAAAATCAAAAGTTTGTTTTTATTTAAAAAATTTAATTAATTTTTTTAAAAGTATTTCTGGGGTTGCAAATACAATTCGTTTATTGAGAATAGTTTATCCAAATTGGACAACAACAATTCCTTCAAATTTTTCTGATTTGGATGTTTTAAAAGTTTTTTTTGATTGAATAAAATAATTAAATTTTGAAATTTTCAGGAATATTTAAATCAAATAGAGCAACAAATAAATGATAATAAAGAGTTAAAACAACATTCTTCTTCTAATATTCATTTAAAAGGTGATGAATATGAAAAAACAAAAATTTTGATTTCTTTGCTAAATAACCTTTTGAAAAGTGGAGAAAAGAAAAGAAGGCAAACAGCAGTTTAGTTTGATTTTTATTTAAAATTATTTGTTTTTTTTTGTTTTAATTTAAATAAAATTTTAATTTTGGAATTTTTATATTACTCAATTAAAATTTAAAAAGATTTTATAAATATATTTTACTTTAATTTTATCAAAAAAATTAACTTAAGACGGAAAGATTAAATGGGAAAGTTGCCCAAAAATTTTGCACTTCTTAAACGAAGCGAAAACCAACGAATTTCTAGACGCCGTTTACAGGAAAATTCGTCATTTTCTTCTAATGTGTCTTCTGGTGAAGATGACAAGAAGGAATTGTTGGATGATATTGTTACAGATTGGAAAGATTCTGATTGGGCGCCTTCAATTTCAGCTGTTTTTAAAGTAAATTTTTATTTAAAGTTGAGAAAGACAAAGGTTTAAGGTTAGTTTTTACATAATTTGGGTTTTTTAGACTCCCTTAATAACCAAATTCTTTTTATTTGACATGTTTTTATCTTCAGAATAATCCTAAACAAAAAATAATTCTTCAGATTCTTTTTTCAATCCGTCTTTCAGCATCACTTTGGAGTATAATTTCTGATTGTGACGAAGTATATAATTATTGGGAACCTTTACATCTTGTTTTGTTTAAACGTGGATTTCAAACCTGGGAATATTCTCCTCTTTACGGAATTCGGTTTTTTAATTTATATTTTTTTAACTTTTCTTTTTTACAGTTCTTGGTTATATATTCTTTTATATGCTGGCCCAGCCAAATTTTTAATAAAAATTTTTCCAGAATCTAAGGTTGCACTTTTCTTTTCCCTTCGTTTTCTTATTAGGTTTCTTAAATATTTTTTAAATATTAAATAATCAATTAAAGCTTTTTTACTTTATTTTCTGAATTATTTTTATATCGAGCTATTTGTCAAAGAATTTCGAATTCAATTGGAAGAACATTTATTTTATTTAGCACATTTTCTAGTGCAATGTTTGGAGCTAGTTGTGCTTTTTTACCTTCTTCATTTAGCATGGTATAAATTTAAAAAAATTAAAAAAAAATATTTTTTTCTAGTCTTTAAATGCTTGTGCTTCTGCTTTTTATTTATTTGAATATTGGTAATTAAATTTAAAAATAAAATTAAAAAAATTAATTTTTAGGTCACTTTCAATTTTTTGTACGGCTATTAGTGCTTTAATTGGTTGGCCTTTTTCTGCAATTCTTGGATTACCTATTGTAATAGAAATGTTAATAATTAGAAAAAGAAAATTAGCTTTAAAATTTTTATTTTATTCAATTCTTTTTGGAGTATCAATTTGTTTATTACTTTTTGTTGTTGATACACATTTCTTTGGAAGGCCTGTTCTAGCACCTTTAAATATTATTTTTTATAATATATTTTCGAGTAATGGGCCAAATCTTTATGGGTTTGTTTTTTTATTTATTTTAAAATTTTTATTTTATTTTTTAAAGAAAAGAACCAATTTCTTTTTATTTAAAAAATTTGTTTTTAAATTTTAATATTGCTTTTATTTTGGCTATTTTTGCAATTCCATTTTGTTTATTATTTTTAATTGCTCAAAAAATAAATGAAGAAAAATACAAAAAAGAAGACAAAACAATATTATTTAAAAATTATTTTGAAAGTAAAATTTATTTATTTATTAAAAACATTTTTATTTTATTACAAGATAATCCTTTAAAACAATGGGAAAGATTTAGACCTTTAATTTTTCTTTCAATGTCGGCAATTGTTTGGATGTTAATTTTTATGTTACAGCCACATAAAGAGGTATTAATTAAATGTGATATACTTGACAAAATGTTGTCGAAACACCAATCTAAAATAATTTTTTTAATTGTGACGAGTTTTAACTTGAATATATTTTTCAACTTAAATTTTCGTTCAATTTTAGGAACGTTTTCTCTTTCCAATTTATCCACATATTTGTTTATTGGCAGCTTTTTGTTTGGATTGTTTGTATAGATTATTAAATAAAACAAAATTGGCAACAACATTTTGTATTGCTATTTTAATTATTTTTGTTATTGCAAGTTTTTCGCGAATTGCTGCTTTACACAGAAATTACTCTGGATTGCTGGATATTTACAAAGATTTTAATAATAAAATATCTTCTGATAAAAGTTTAATACAAAATGTAGGTTTATAATTTTGTTTTTTTTTATTTAAAAAATGTTTAAAGACAACAGAAATATTGCCAATAAGAGTTTGCATTGGAAAAGAATGGCATCGTTTTCCTTCTTCTTTCTTTTTGCCAGAAAGTGGAAGAAATTTTAGTGAAGTAGAAATGCGTTTTATTCGCAGCGAATTTCGGGCTCTTTTACCAGATATTTTCCCAAAAGGGTCAACATTATCAGAAATTACAAGGCAAATACCAATTCATCAAAATGATGAGAATCGAGAGCAATTAGAGAGATATGTGCCTCTAGAATCTTGCAATTTTCTGATTGATTTGGTTGGAATGGAACCGACAGAACTAGAACCAGACTATTCAAAAATGGTGGGTAAAATAATAATTAAAAAATAATTACTAAACCTAACAAATAAGGTTTGAAAGAATATTTCTAAGGGACTAAAAATTTTATTTAAAATTTGGGAAATTGAAAAAGTGAAAAACAAACATTTAAAACCCGAAATAATAATTTAAAAAATATACTTATTTATTCTTCTTTTAAACTAGTTATCTTCTTCATCACATGATTCACATTCTAAATGTCGATCACCCAAAAATTCATATCTAGTTATTCTCACTAATTTATAAGGCATTTCATCCCACCATTTCTTCCAAACAAAAACTTGCACGTTTCCATTATTTTCATCTTTTTCTTCTTTTGTTTTTGGATCTTTTTTCGAATCTTCTTCTTTTCTATCACCATCGTTTTCTATTGAAGATACAGAGGCTATACAACTAGGTGCTTTTGTTTTTTCATTGAAGACAAGTTTTTGCTAAAGAAAATATTTTTTATTATCAAATCTAAAAAATAGACAAACCCAGTCTCTTACATCTTTTCCTCTTACAAGTTTTTCGTTTACCTAAATTTAAAATAATATTTCATAAATATTAATTAAAAGCTCACTCTAAGTTCAGCATTTTCTTCTAATAATTTAATTAAAATAAAAGCAATATTTAAAGCATCATCCATTCCACAATGTTCTCTTCCAGTAAATTGTATATTTAAATGTTTTAACATTATATTTAAAGATATTCCATTTGGAAATAATTTTTCTTTTGTTGTTGTTTCCTCCACTACATGGACTAAAAATATTTTTTTAAAATATTTCTGAAAAGAAAATATTACCAGAATTTCCATCACAATGGTATCGTTGAGGCTGTGACTGCATAGTATAAAAATTTACAAATGAACGCCGGATATTCAAAAAACACCGAAAATCGTGTGGAATTGATTGGTTTGAACGTAAACACTCCATTTGAAAAAACTTTCCAATATCCCAGGGCCCGTCTGTAACATAACAAAATCGTCTTGCATTTCCCATATTTCGTTTACCATCTAGTCCATGTTTTGCCATCCAACCTCGAAATAGTTGCAAAGCTATAGGGAATGTTGGAGCTTTATCGACGTTTTCTTGTGTTATTCCTTCAAATGAGAATTTAATATGGAAATCCTGACATCATCTGACCAGTTAAATCTTTGCAAAATTCTGTCAATCTCGGATTAATAGATGGCTTGACAAATGTATGAAATTTATCAATCTGAAGAGATTATTTTTAAAAGAAAAAATATAAATTCATACAATTTTACAAGATTGCACGCTAATCAGGACAGCAGGGAATTCAATTATTTCATGTTCAAAATCGTAATTATTTTCTTCACAGCTACATTCAAAATCAATCACAATAAAATAATTATAAAATTTTTTTGTAGAATATTTTCTTCTTAATTCAATTAATTCATCTCGATAATGATCTTTTAATGTTGCAATCATTTTGCTCCTTTTTAGTTTACTAAAATTTAATATTTTCTTTTAAAATATTTAAATCAAAAAAACCTTGAATCTTTATCTATTCTTTTCATTTCTCTTTGTAATTCGATATCACTCATAGATTCTAAAAATTCAAAAAGATATTCTACACGTTCGCTTATCATATTTAAATTTCGCAGAAATTATTTACAAGTAGAAATAGACATTTCGATTATTTCTCCATTATTGACGTTATGAAAAATATTTTATTTTTACCAAAATGAAAAAAATACAAATTGCCAAAATTTGTTTAACCAAAAAAGGATTAAATAATCGAACTGCAAATTAATAAATGCGTGTTAATTTTTGATTATTCTTTTTTTTGATTGTCAAAAGTGCATTTTTAATCTAATGATTGGCTAGAAATTTTTTGTGACGTGTCCTTTTTTAAATTATATTATTTCAGGAGGAATTCCAGTCAATTATTCAAAGTCGCGTGCTTCTTTCTTCCAACTCTCATCCTCTTTTTAGAGCGTTTTACATTCCTTTTACACCCAATGAATTTCTTAAATTTGGAAATATTCACGTATTTCAAAGAAAATTAAAATAATTTATTTCTTTAAAATTTTAGTTGAATATATTTTTAGTTGAATTTATTTTTGTTTATTTAAATTTATTAATTTGTTTAATCATTTTATCTTATTAATTTTTCAAATAATTTTAATTTTACAGACCAGATTTTTCTTGGTTTTTAGCTAATTTGTAAATTTTATTGTTAAATGGCACCAAAGCAGCGCATGAATGTTGCCAATCAAGCTTTCAGCAAAAATGTTGTATCCCGCGGAAATGTTGCCAAATCGATGAAGCCAGAACAAAACAAGTATGCAGCTGCCCCTTGGCTTATTGGCGTTTTTGTTAGTTTTTAATTATTATTTTTTTATAATTTAAATTTTATTAAGGTGTTTGTCGTTTGCGGTTCTGCCATCTTTGAGGTTTTTATAGTTAAAAATTTTAATCCTAGTCTTCTAATGTTTTCTAATTTTTGTTAAAATCCATTCAGAATTAAAGTTCAGTATTTATGATTTATTTTTGTTAAAAAAAGGGGGGGATAACACCATCAAGATTTAATGAAATAAATTTCTTTACGTTTATGAACTTTAAAAAAATAATTTTATAGGTTGTGCGATACATAAAAATGGGATTTTAAATGACATTTCTTGGGAAGGAACAAAAGTTGCTGAAGTGATTTCATGACAAAGAACGGCAAACATTTCATCTTTTTGGTTGTTTTTCCTTTTTGGTCGGACCATACTTTTTTTAAAAACATTTCTAATCTATTCTTTTTTTATTTGACTATATTCCCTAATTTCTATTTTTCGGACAATTATATATGTGTATGAACTTAACAAGAAATAAAAGTTCTATATATAACTTGAGTAAATAGCTGTTACTTTGGGGAATAACGAGTCTGGGACTGCCATAGGTTTGCACTTTTTAAAATTTAATTTATTAAAAAAACAAAAATATAGAATTTATTATGATTTTAAAATGTTATAATAACGAAATCCTTCAATCTATTTATTAAGCCACAGTAAACATTAGAATGTAGCCAACCTGAAAAACTTTTTACAATGAGTTGAGAAATGAATCAAACCAAAGGTAAATAAGGTTTGAGATATGAACCTAAACAAGGTGTACATCTAAAATATTTTTTTAATTTTGAAAAAAAAAATAACAAACAAAATATAATCAACAAGCCACCAATAAACTTTAAATTGAAAACGTCCCCAACTTAGGCGAACAGGTCCTTTTCCAATATCAACTTCCCCCCTTTCCATAGCTTGTTGTGCTTTGTGTACTGCTTTTTTATTGCATGTACGGCCATCAGATTCTTTTAAAAAATTTTTAATTAATTAAAAATAAATTTAAAATAACCAGTAAAATAAAACCCAAAACGAGCTAATTGTTGTAATTTACCTAAGAAAAAATATAATTTTTGTATTCTTTTTCTAAAATTTCTTCTTACTTCTTCCATCTGTTTCACCTTAAATTTATTTTTTAAATTTAAAGAATTATTTAAAAATAAATACAATCAAGCTGCATAATGTATGGGGGATTTTTCTGTTCTGTATACATCCATTCCCAAGAATTGGCAATTAAATGTGGAATATATTCACAATGGGGAGTTTTCCATGTATGACACTTGAAAATTAAAAATAAATTTTTATTCGGTCACAAACTTGATGAATCATTATTCCCATATCTGGTGTATACCAATGTGATAATTTTGTGGCAATTGCTTCAAAAAATTCCTGTGTATATTTATTTGCTTTAACATAAAAATTAGCCCCTCAAAAACAAATATTTCTTTAAATAAAAAATTATTTAAATTTACCATTAACCCATTCTGCTCTTTTACTATTTTCTTCATAACCAATTTGGTCAAATAATAAATCAAAACCTAATTTTTGTTCTAAATTAATATCAAATAAATTTTTACGCCAAAACTAAAAAATTTTTAAAAATTTAAACAAAATTAATTTATTTATTTTTACAGTATCTTGTTGTTGCATCCAAAAAGATTTTCCTTTTTTGATTAAAGCTAAAGCTAAATTAGCTCTTAATATATAAATTAATTGATAGGGACCTTCAGCAAAACTAAATTGTTTCTAAAAAAAGAAGAGGAAGTAAATAAACAAATAAATATAGATTTTAATTTACATATAATGAGGGTGTTGGCCAATAAAATTGTTTAATATTTGGCCAATATTTTTTGAGTTCTTGATGTGATTTTTCATCTAATGTAACAAAAATAAAACGTTCATGTACACCCGGAAAGATTGCTGTGTTACAGAGAAAATTACTGAAAAAGAATTTTAAATAATTACATATAAGAGACAAGACAAAATTTTGTCACGTGAAAACTTTAATCAAATTTTGTTTGAAATGGGAGCAGGCTAATGTACCGTGAGCCCAGGGTACCGGCAAGCTATAACTTCGTTCAAAATTGTAGAATCCAGGACGCCTTGGTATGGCTAGATTTGGCTCGTCGGATCGCATCGAACCATATCAAGGCGGCTCGGATTCAATAATTTTGAACGAAATTATGGCTCGGCGGTACATTGGGGGTATACCCGTTTGAAATAATTAGACAGAAATTATTATCTAGTGCATATTATAGCTTTTTCAATGCATATTATAGTAGCTTGAACCGTCGTAGTAATAAACAAAGGGCGTCGAAAACTGGCGGCGCCGAAATACCCAAATTAAGCCTAAACCTTTAGAAGCCTAAACCTTTTGGATTAAAAAGACAATTTGGCGTCGACAACGTGGCGCCAAAGTTATTTCTTCAACAATAACTTTTTTAAAACTGACGAACTCTATTAACTAAACTATATCATTCGAATACTAAAGAAATAGGAATTATTTCTTAATGGATAAATTTTAAGAAAGAAAAAAAATTTATGGGAATAAAGATATTGGCGTCAAATAATCTGCGCCGAGTTGTCTTCGACCGTTTCCCCTACAAAACCTATACCTTTTGGTTTCAAGTTTTAAGCAAAAATTTGAAGCCAAAAGGTATAGGTTTTATAAGGGAAAGTGTTTTGGACAATTCGGCGCAGATTTTTTGGCGTGACTAAGTTTATATGCCCGCGGTTACATGTCATTTGTGCCGTAATTTTACAGCTGCTTTCCTCGAAATTTCTGTCAAAAATTTTATAAAAATTATCTCTAACAATGTCATATTCAGAGCATATTGATTTAACATTAAAATTGATGGCGGTTTGTTATCTTTATCAATTTGTTTTAAAAGTGAGGCAAATTCTGTAGATTGCTCTATTGAATCGAGTGAAACACTTGAACCATAATTTTTTACATAAAACATTGCTGCTGTGGCTGTTCGGGTTTTGCGAAGAACAAGTCTTTTTAAAAAACAACATTTAAATATAATCAAGAACAGGGTTAGGAAATTCTGATTTTGCTCGTACTTTTATTTCGTGCCCTCTCTAATTTTGGCCTCATACCCGTGCTCGTAATTAGCATAATCTTATTTAGTCCGACTTTTGGTACGAGTATCCATCCAATTACTAATCAAAACTTAAGGTATTTATTATGCGTTTATATGCCCTCATTCTCCTTTTCTTCTTTCTCCTTTCTCATATGTAATTATTAATTATAATTATATTTTTGAAAAATCATGCACAGCCCTGTTTCAACGAGTACCAAATTCTGTATTTTAGACCGGTATTGAGCGTGTGTGCCTTGACTATTGGTGAATAAAGTTGGGTTTCCACTAAGATTTCATGGGCAACAGTGAACTATCACACGATCCTAATGGCGGTATCGGTTCTAATGCAAAAACACACGTGAACTCACGGTTGAAAATAAAAATTTAGGAGAAAGGAGGGGAAAAGTAAAATGCTGGCAGCATATAACTGCATAGTGCCAAACTTACACTCCAACTGTAAACCAAAATAAATAAGAAATATAACAAAGAATTCTGTAAAGTGAAGATGGAAAATAACATTTTGCATAAGTGCTGGGAAGTATATAACCAAAACAATTTTTAACATCAAGTTTAAACCTAAAATTGGATGATTTTATTTAAAAGATTTTTCCTTTTAATTTTCTACCTTAAATTTATTTCCTTTTCACTATCCAATTTATTAAAATTATTATTATTTTCATCAATTTGAGAATTAGCATTAATTAATAAAGGTAATTGTTGTTGTTGATGTTTATTTTCGTCAAATACCAAAATATTTCTTTTCATTATTAAATTATTATCATTATTTTTATTATTAAATATTTTTTTATTTAATATATTTTCTTTGTTTTCTTCTTCTTTATTGTCATCATGGTGGTAATTAAAAATATTAACTCCATTATTTACTTCTTTATTTCTATTATTATTAAGCAATTTATTGCGGAGTATTAATTGTTGATTATTTGAAAAAGAGGAAGAAGAACGATGTTCGTTAATTAAACAATAACTGTTTGTTGCTGCTGCTGGCATCTTATTAAATTAAAAAATAATATTCCCAAAAATTTAAAGGAAAAATGTATTTTAAACAAAACAATTTAATTGAAAAATTGATTTTCTTAAAATGAAAAGAAGACTTTGATAAAAACTTGTTTTTGATTATATACGCAATTAAATAAAGAAAGAAAAAAGAAAATAATTTTAAATAAATAAATATACTTTTTGCAACATAAAAAAACTTTTTTTTATTTTAAATAAAAAGTTTAGGTAGGGAAAAACTTTAAATAAATATAGAAAAGAATGAGAAATCCTCAAATCATCGAAATTTGTTTAAAGGAAGATTTTCCACTTTCTTCGTTGTTGAATGAAAGAATAATACATATCCCTCCCCCCCCCTTTCCCCCGTACATGCAGACACGAAATATTTGTGTGAAACGTTCTTTTTTCTCTAATAAAACACCCATTTTCCCCTACTTTTTTTTTGTAAAATTCAATTGAAATATTTAATCCACCCACATAAATGTGAAGAGTAATTCAACCAGAGAATAAATATATTAAAATCCAGAAAACGTTAGGTGGTGGAACTTTTAAATATTAAAAAAAATTTAGAATTTAATAGTAAATCCTCTCTTTAAAAAAACCGGAAGGATTTTCAATTTTTAAACATTAATTTAAAAAAAAAGAGAAAACAAAAACTTTTATTTTTAAAAACAAAACTGGTAAATATATTTTAATTACTCTTTTTTTAAATTAATGTTTAAAAATTTAGAAAATCCTTCCGGTTTTTAAAAAGAGGCGTATAGGTAGTACAATACGGAATACAAACCGATACGAAATTCCGGGCTCTAATTTTATTGTTTATGTTGAGATAAAAAATACAAAAAAGATATGTATGTATCCAACTTACAGAATTAATCCCGTGGGACCTTTCTCGGATTTGCAATTTTGCTGAACCTAAGCTACAATATTACACCAAAATTAGCAAGAAAATTAAGTAAAAGTTTTGAATATATTTTTTTTATATTTGAACTAGCTCTGGGTTACGTATGCGATGGCGGCGTAGTGCGTATGCAATTCCTATTAGGATACTTTAGGTTTAATAGCATTCTGCCCGTTGGAAAGCCTAACGGCTTTGGGGCGCGCTTCGCGCGCGGCTAGAAGGTTTTTTGCTTCTTCATTTAAAAATGGCCTTGGAAATCTCGTCGGGCCTTCGGCCCGCCGCGTCTAAACAACATTCTACATCGTGGGATGGATGCCAATCTCGGGCCTTCGGCCCTCGACTCACTTTTAAAATGCCTCGAGGGATGGATGCAAATCTCGGGCCTTCGGCCCTCGAAACTCATTTGCCTTGCGTCGAGTGCTGGATGCAAGGCTCGGGCCTTCGGCCCGAGCGTTGCTTCGGGCCTTCGGCCCTCGCCCTCTAAAATCCTTTGCCTTGCCTTGAGGGATGGATGGGTGCTCAGGCCTTCGGCCCGAGCGTTGCTTCGGGCCTTCAGCCCTCGCCCTCTAAAGACCTTTGCCTTGCCTTGAGAGATGGTTGGATGCTCGGGCCTTCGGCCCTCGCCCTCGAAAATCCATTGCCCTGCCTTGAGAGATGGATGAATGCTCGGGCCTTCGGCCCTCGCCCTCTAAAGACCTTTGCCTTGCCTTGAGAGATGGTTGGATGCTCGGGCCTTCGGCCCTCGCCCTCGAAAATCCATTGCCATGCCTTGAGAGATGGATGAATGCTCGGGCCTTCGCCCTCGCCTCCAAAATCCTCGGCCTTCGGTTTCGAAATCTCGCACTTTCGGCCCTCGAAATTCTTTAGCCCTGCCTTGAAGGATGGATGCATGCTCGGGCCTCCGGCCCGAGCGTTGCTTCGGGCCTTCGGCCCTCGCCTCCAAACTCCTCGGCCTTCGGCCTCGGAGTTTCGGGCCTTCGGCCCTTAAGATTCCTCAACCTTGCCTTAAGGGATGGATGGATGCTCGGGCCTTCGGCCCTCGCCGCCAAAATCCTCGGCCTTCGGCCTCGGTGTTGGGGGCCTTCGGCCCCCAAAACCCCCAATCCCGAAAACTCTGACACCCATAACTTGGTCAGACTCAAATGACCCCCCAAACATATTACATATTTTTCGATGGATTTGAGGCTGCTCTACAATATAACGTAAGTCTTTTTAATTAATTCCAACTCATTTGGTACCCCATTGACTATGGTACCACCCACCCCCAAAATTTTGACCATTTATAACTTTTGCCAAAATGGTCAGAAATTTTTCAAAAAAATATTTTTAGACTTCTCTCGGTAAGGGCTTTCGAATGATATAACATTTGGGCCATTTATTTTCATTTTGGAAAAAATATTTTTTTGGCCGAAAATTTCGACCGAAAATTTCACCCAAATTTTCAAAAATTCATAACTTTTTCAAAGTTAACATTTTTGAAAAATTTTAAAAGCCTATTCTATGCAGAAAATTCTGCTCTATCCATTAAAAATACTTTCGGCGCGAACCGCCGGCAAAAATCTCGAAAAAATTTCGAAAAACCGAAAAATTTTCGGATTTTCGAAATTCGACCCCCTCGGGCCCAATTTCGACTTTTTTCGAAATTTTCTTCGGTGAAAAAATACCTAATTTTTAGAAGTATTTTTAGAAAGAAACCCCATCCGAATTCGAGAATCCCAAAAAAAGTTAAGGTCCCCCAAAAAATCCCGAATTTTCCCCAAAAGGGGTTCGAATATGCAAATAATAGCTCATTCGAAAGAGCTCGTCGAGCTGAGTCGAATGACACCAAAATCAACGAAATCTGACTTGATTTGACAAAGTTATGAGCATTTGTTTTAGCTCCTTACCTTTGGTCTACGTGCAGGTTTTTGCTGTTACTGGAGCCCCAAGTACATTCAGAGCAAGGGAGATGGGAGTAGGTTTATGTTACGAACCCAGACCCATCGCCCGTAGACTCCCCGCGAGGCGCGTGCCGCAAAACCCCGCGCGAAGCGCGGGGTTTTGCACAAGCGCCTCGCCGACGCCCCATAGGTTTATGTTGATTGTTTTTCTGTTGTAACTTTATCCAAACTCTTTCAATCATGATGATTCTGGTATCATTCGACTCAGCTCGACGAGCTCTTTCGAATGAGCTATTACATGCTTTTTCGAATTTTTGACCCTAAAATCCGCCCTATGGGTTTTGACCATTTCGAGCCCTATATCTCGACTCCAACTTGTTCAATCAAGCTGATTTTGGTGTCATTCGACTCAGCTCGACGAGCTCTTTCGAATGAGCTATTATTTGCATATTTGAATTTTTCAACCCAAAATCGAGCTTACTCCCCCCTATGGTTTTTCAATTTTTCGGGACCTATAACTCGGCCCAGAATCATTTCCTAAAGTTGAGAGTTGTACCATTCGACTCAGCTCGTCGAGACGAATCGAATGACATATGTCACGTCCCGAACTTTTACCACCGGTACACTACACTATATCCAAATATTTTTACACTCAGGGCAATAAGGGCTTTCGATTGATATATCATATGACCCATTTACACCCATTTTTAAAAATTAATTTTTTTGGCCGAAAATTTCGGCCGGAAAATTCAACAGAATTTTTAAAAATTCATAACTCCCCCAAAGTGAACCTTTTTTTAAATTTTAAAATCTTATCCTATGCAGAAAAATTTGCTCTACATAGGAAAAATACATTCGACCCGAACGGCCATAACTCCCCCATAACAGGGGCCTCTCGTTCTTCTATGAGAGTTAAGCGGAAATGTTTAACAGAATCAGGGCCATCCCTTTCGAGGGTTTCATTGTATAAAGTATGGAAATTTTTATATACCTTGGGAAATGGGTGGTTATCTCTAAGCATTTGATCTAATTTTTTCAGGGTTGATGGGTCAACTCGATCTCCACCATATTGGGAATTTTGGGTGCGTAAATTGAGGGCTTCATTAGCGTCAAGAATATATAATTGGGAGAAAGAAGGAGTTAAATGGCCAGAGAACATTGAACTAAGCATACGGGAAAATTCTCCGTTCAACATAAAACATGTTGCGTCATCTAGATTAGAGTCTTTATGACCGCAGGAAATAGAGGCAAATGCCAGAAGGGTATTATAGACATTTTGGTTTTGAAGGAATTCTTTTGATTCATCTGAATCACCTTTTAACAAATCTACCAAGTATTTGGGATGAGGGGTATATGGAGGGAGAGTAACTTTGCCAAGTCTACAACAAAAGGATGAAGAGATATTTTTAAAGGTATATTTATGTTCTTTATTAACTTCAGATTTTAATAATAATGCACCACAATAATCACAAATGGCATCACCTAAATTGCCGGAGTCATAATACTGCGCCGTATGTCTTGCGCGAGTATCAGCGCAGGGAAGGTCTTTTTTATGTTTTTTGTTACATTTATCGACAAATGGGTGGGATAAGGGACCTGAAGGGACAATAGGTGAAGCTTTAGAGGTTGTAGGGGTTGGTGTAGCATTCAGTTTGGTTTTAATGCGTTCTCCGGGACGTTAGTTCTCCGGGACGTTAGAGTCTCAAAAAGTTTTGCGACATTTGCGAACATCGCCCATAACTTTTCGAGACTCAAGTGGACCCCCGACATATTATACCTTTTTCGGAGCCCCAGGGGACGCTCTTTCGAATAGGCTATTGAAAACGCGTTTTAATTCACACTACAAAAAGTCGACTTTTCGACCCCGACACTTTGGTCCATATGACTCTCAAAAGTTGGTCACAGACTCAAGTGACCAACTATTGAAATATTCCCCACATCCAGCCCTACAATACCACTCCCAGGCCCGAGAACCCCCCAGCTCTCAAAAACACGTTACAACACTTTGAAATTTTGATCCGGCCATTTCGGTGCCACACTCAAGTGCGGCACCAAAACTGCCTATGCCATTAAACTCCCCATGGCCGTTTACCTATTACCCCCAGGTCTTATCTTAATCAACGGCGCGGATCGCGAGATATTGAAAAAGTACAAAAGACCGCTACCCTATGGCGCGACATTTTGCCAATACACGTTTGGGTTTGCGCACCCATAAGTCCCCGGGGGTTCAACCGATTTTCGAAATTTTTTTTTTATATTAATCCCGTAATAGAGGAGCAGTGCCCTCCCAGCGGGACCTTTCCGCTCCGACTTTTAGTTCACGAGATAGCAAAACTCATGGGGTCGTTTCGGCGCAAAGGATTAGTCATGGCGCCGCGGCGATAATTTTCCTGAAAAGCCCATAAAAAGTACCCAGCAAGATGTCACACTCTCAAGAGCGGCCCGGCCTTCGGCCGGGCCAGAAACTTTTTTAAAAATAAATTTTCTTGTAATTATAGGTATAAGGTAAAAACTTGACCATTAAAAAAGGAGAGGGGAATTTAAATATTATACGGTTGATGGAATTTTTATAGATTTTCCTAATGTAAGAAATGCGAAAATCTAAAGTGAATAAAGAATTATGAAGCAGATAAAAATTTTAATTAAAAATTTTAAATAATACATGTAGATATTAAAATAAAAATATTTTTCAAAAATAAAGGTTTGTTGCTTTAATTTATTTATTTAAAAAATACATATTAAAACATTTATTTCTTTAATATTTTTTTAAATTCCTTTTAATTCATCAATTCTTTTTTCACCCGGATATTCTAATTGAACATTCCTGTTTATTTTTTAATTTTAAAAATATTTAATTAAATTTACATTGTTCCTAAATTGTAAAGACGGCGAGGGACTCGTCCAAGGGTTACATATTCTGAAGAAATATTTAAAATAATTTAAATTAAACATTAATTAACCTCTAGGATAACGTAAAGTTATTTGACGATAACCTTTCTTTAAAAAATAATTTAACCTTAAATATAAATTATTTCCTTTTACCTTCCCTTCTTTATCATCACATTTATGATAAATTCTTAAAAAAGGGTCGATATTGGCTTTAATAACAAAAACAATTTTTTTTAATTTTTAATTCAAAAAAACCTTCAGTTCCCTGATAATTAGCTGTATTACCCTTTATTTATATTTTTAAATTTAAATTATTCTACAAATTACCGCAATTATATATTTCCCAACATCAGTAGTTGTTGCTGTAGCTAATACATCTTTTAAATCTTTTTTTAATTAAAATTAATTTATTTTTAAATTAAATTTTTCTTTTTATTACCGTCAGAATTACTTTTAAAAAGACGAATATAAGCACCTTTTATTGGTAATTTTCCACAAAGTAAAATACCTTCGGCTCTGGTACTTCGAGTTGAAATACTTTTTAAAAATAAATTAAAATATAATTTTATTTTTACCCCCCCCCCCTCCCTTCCCTTTAAAAATAATTTTTAATTAAAAGAAAACCTTTCTATCTGTTCAATTTCAATAGTGATTTGACTTAATATTAATAATAAATAAATTGAGAGGAAAATATTTAAATAAGAAGAGATTAAACAAAACATTTTTTCTATTTTTAATTTAATTAAAAATTAATTTAAAAAATAATTATTTTCCTCAATAATAAACAGTCGGTGGTCATTAAAAGATGTGAAAATTTCAAAAATAAAGGAAAAGATAAAAATTATTATTATTTTGTTAAAAAAAGAGGGGGGAAGGCTTTTAAATATTTTATTTTTAATTGATAAAAATAAATTGATAAAAATTACCGATAAATATAAAGAAATTATTTGAATCATCCTTTTATTTTTGGGAGGACAGGGAGAGAATAGAGGGAAATTAAAACATTTGTTTTTAGTCTACACATAAATGCCAGTTGTTTATTTAATTAATTAAAGCTTTTTGATTTTTTCTTTCTTTAATTAAAAATCTTTAAAGAAATATAGTATATTCTTCTATATTTTTTTAAATAATTAAAATGTCATTATTTATTAAAAATATTTTAATTTTATTTACAACAATTTTATTTGCAATTATTTTGAATAATTCCAATGTATTTGGAATGAGAAAACAAGGGTTCGGATATTTTGATTAAAAGGATTGTTGGGGGGGGGGGGGCTTTGTCCGGTCCAAACTGGCGATAAGTACTCGATTTAAAACATATGGTTCGATATTCCGTGTATGTAACATTGGATGAGTAGACACTCACTACGGGACACTCATTACCAGATTAGACAGATAAAATTTTGATTTGACGCTAATCAGTACAAGCCAATTGTTGTTTTTAAAAATTGAATTTTAATAAGTTTTAAATAGAAAAAATAAAATAAAAAAATTTTTTTAATCTCCTTCCCCCATTATTTTAACAAAAATAAATTAAATTATTAATACAGAGTAGCAATTAGTGGAAGATTTATTTGTGGAAATACTTCGGCATTAAGTAATTCTACGAAAGTCAGAATTGTTGATATTGATACAGGTAGTAATTAGATTTTTAAATTAATTTTTTTTATTTTAAAAAAGGTCCCGATCCCGACGATACTTTAGATGAAAAATTTGTTGATGCAACTGGGGCATTTAAATTAAATGGATATACTAGAGAATTAACTGGTTAGTTAATTAAAAAGAAAATATTTATTTATTTATTTAATTTAGATATAGACCCCGTTCTTTATGTTTGGACACGATGTTATTCATTGGAAGCTGTAAATTATATTTTAAAATGAAAAACTCTTTCTCCTATTTTTTTATTTTTAGCCCTGCCATCGCAAAATTAAATTTTTAATTCCCAAAAAATTTATTATCGGAGAAGAACCAAAATTAAATGAATGGCTTGATATTGGAATAATTAATTTACAATCAACTTTTGAAGTTTTTTTTCTTTAAAAGAATAATTATTTCTAAATTTTTTTTAAATTTAAGGATGAAAAAAGAGAATGTATTTTTTAAAAGAATAAAATAAAGAAATGAGAAAACAAAAATAAATTTTAATTTTTTCTTTGTCATAAAAATATTTGTAAAAAAATCTTTAAATAAAAATTAACAAATTTTATATTCTCTTCCAAAAGGTAATTTCAAGCAATCTTCTAATTCAGGCAACTTTTCATTTTCCAAATCTTCATTTTTTAATTTATAACGTTCCAAAAATTTATTTTCTTTTTCTTCATTATCTTCATTTAATTCAATAATTTCACAATTTAAATTTTCCAAATTTTTTGCCAAAATTTTTTCGCACATTAAAATATTTTTTAAAACAGATTCTAAATGGAAATGTTTGTCTAAAAGTGCGTGTTCAATCCCAAAAAAGCCTTGTCTTGTTCGCCGTAATTTTCTAGTACTTGCAACTGTTGACAGATTTAATCCAATTTCGTGTATAAAATCACTAGAAAAAAATTTAAAAAATTTCTTTTCAAAAATTACCATAAAAATTGATCAGTTTCACCATTTATTTGAATATTTAATTTAAAATAAGGAAGTTTAAAATAACATAAATCTAAACCAAAAATTAATGGACTTCCAAGAACTCCTAAAAATTTTAATTAAAAAATGTTCTTTTCAAAAAAGGTAGTCCTTATCTAATATCCGACTCCCCCCCCCCTATTTGAGTTTCAGATTTTTCCTTTTATTCTTTTGTACTTCGAAATTGTCAAGTTTCCTTTCTTGTAAATCTTGGATTTTTGCCGTTAGGTTGATTTTCGCCGTTTCCGTCTATTCTTCCCTCACTAATTTTTGCTTATCTTTTACTAAAAATAGAAAATAAGGAGGAACATAAATGATAGATAGTAACAGGAAAATTAATCATAAACTCAAATAGGAAATTAAATAAGTAGCTCAAAAAATTACTTGGTCTGGGGGCTCCACGCCTAGCTAATTCAAAAGCTTGTTGACTTTGCATATTTAAATTTGCAAATTCAAAAGATGCCTTTTTGTATTGTAAACGCAGAAGAGAAAGTAAAGTATTTAATCGAGGTTGAGAAACATGATCTACAAAAAAGATTAATTAAAATAAAATAAAATTAAAAGAAAAACCATATTCCATTCTTGAATTAACAGTTCCTCTTATAGAGTTTAGATGAGTACCTCTACCCAATTCTGCTTCAATAAAATATTCATTAACCCAGGCTAAACTTCGAATAGCCTCTAAACGATCACAACCATCATTGAGACCAAAAACTTTAAAAACAAAAGTAGAAAATTATTTTAACTAAAAATTACCACAGACACCAGAACTGGATGGTTCTAAAGGATTTAACGGTTCCATTTGAAATTCTTCTGGTCTAAACATTTCCCCAACAATTGAAGGGTGCAAACTTTAAATAAATATTTATTTTTTAATTAAAAATAAAAGAAAAACCTGTAATCAATTTGTTGCCGTTTTCCAACAATTAAAAGAGAACCAGTTTCTTTATGTTCTTCAACTATTGGCATTTCAATTAATGGGAGTGGACGACATTGAGCAATCACATTTGCTTGATCACAAATTTCTTTTAAAAACAATCTTTGTAAAGCAGATAAAGGAATATCTCTTGGCTTGAATAAACAAACAATTCCATTTAATAAATTTTGTATTTCTCGACAATTAAAAGAATATTTAGGCATTTAATTTTTAAAAAAATTCAGAATTTTTAAAATTAGGGCAAAGAAAAATAGTATGAAAAAAGCGGAAGAGAAAAAGGAAAAAAGAAATAGTGAAAGAAATAGACAAAATAACCGGATTTTAAACATTTTGCCAAATTAATTATTAATTTTGAATATTTTTAAAAACAATGATTTTCGAGTCTTGTAATTTCAGTAAATGCTCAAAATCTTCAATTATTTATTACAAATCACCCCATCACACCATAATATATTTAATTTTCTTTTATTTTTAACTAAAAATTCATTTAGGATTTTTGTTGAAAAATGGAAAAACAATTAATTTCAATAGAAATTTTTAACGTGAAATCGCCTCAGAAAGGAATTACAATTGACAATGTATGGATATTTTTAATTTATTTTTTTTAAAATAATTTTCTTTTGAGGTTTCTTTAAATGACGATATTTTGTCTTTAAAGAAAAAATTTTGTGTTTTAAAGAATTTGGCTGTGGAGCGTATTTCTTTTAAATTGGAACCAACAGGAAAGAATTTAGCTGATAATCAAATTATTTCTGAATTAAAATTACCAATATCAAATGCTCAATTATATTATCGTGATTTGGGTCCACAGATTGCTTGGAAAACTGTTTAAGAAATTAAAAAAATTTTTAAATAAAAATTATTTTTGAGGTATTTTTGGCAGAATATGCTGGGCCTTTCTTTATTTATCCAATATTTTATTTTCAACCGACTTTAATTTATGGGGATATTTCAAAGAATTTGGTTACATCTTCCAAATGTGTGGCAACAATTGCTTTGATTTGTCATTGTTTGCATTATGCCAAACGACTTTATGAAACTCAATTTGTTCATCGATTTAGTAATGGGACAATGCCTAGACGAAATTTGTTTAAGGTTTTTTCTTGTTAAGAAATTTTTGAAAGGAAAAGTAGATAAATTAATAAATAATATAATAAAATTTTTTAAATATTTTTACGGGGAGGGGCGGATTTGTAAACCTTGAATGGAGATAATTAAATTTAATTATTCCCAAGAAAATCTTTTGGCCTAACTACAGTTTCCGGATCAGAAACACAATTGGACGATTTATATGTCATTCGAAAGAGCTCATCGAGCTGAGTCGAATGGCACCAAAATTTTTCAGCGGAAAAAATTCGGAGCCGAAATATAGGGCTCGAAATGGTCAAAAACCATAGGGGGGACCAAGCACTTTTTTGGGGTAAAAAATTCGAATATGCAAATAGTAGCTCATTCGAAAGAGCTCCTCGAGCTGAGTCGAATGACACCAAAATCACCGTGATTGAACTAGATTAAACAAAGTTATGACACAAAAAACAAAAAACCTAAACCTATGGGGCGTAGGCGAGGCGCTTGTGCAAAACCCCGCGCTTCGCGCGGGGTTTTGCGGCACGCACCTCGCGGGGAGTCTACGGGCGCTGGGTCTGGGCTCGTAACATAAACCTATTCCTATCTCCCTTGCTCTGGACGTATTTGGGGCCTCCGTAGCAGCAAAAATCTCCACAGATGCCATAGGTAAGGAGCTAAAATAAAAGATCATAACTTTGTCAAATCAGTCAGATTTCGTTGATTCTGGTGTCATTCGACTCAGCTCGACGAGCACTTTCGAATGAGCTATTATTTGCATATTCGAATTTTTGACCCCAGAAAACAGCTTGGTCCCCCCTATGGTTTTTTGAACTTTAGGGGTCTGTAACTCGGCTCAGAATTTTTTCCGCTGAATAATTTTGGTGTCGTTCGACTCAGCTCGACGAGCTCTTTCGAATGACATATAAATTGTCCAATTCTGATCCTGATCCGGAAACTGTAGTTTAGCCAATCTTTTTAATTGACTGAAACAAATTTTTCTTTTATTTCTATCACAGAATTGTTCATATTATTGGGGATTTTCTGCTTTTATTGCCTATTTTGTTAATCATCCGTTATATACTTCACCAGGCTTCACTCAAGTTTTTGTTTCTCTCTGCTGTTTTTTGATCGCGGAAATTGGTTAAAATATTTTTAAAAATTAAAATTTTATTATTTTTCCTCAGGTAATTATTCAATTCATATTTTGTTGCGTGATTTACGTCCAGCCGGTTCAAAGGAGCGTAAAATTCCCTATCCAAATAAAAATCCTTTGACTTTACTTTATAATTATGTTAGCTGTCCAAATTATACTTATGAAGTTATCTCTTGGATTTCTTTCTCTTTAATGACTCAATGCCTTCCCGGTAAGGGGTTTTTCCTGTAATCTTTAAATAAAAAATTTTTTCTAGCCGGACTTTTTACGATTGCCGGTTTTTTGCAAATGAAGCAATGGGCAAACGGAAAACACAAAAATTATCGAAAAGAATTTCCAAATTATCCAAAAGGCCGAACTCCTATTGTGCCATTTATTTGTTAATTTTGGATTTAAAAAATTATAATTGAAATTATTTAGGGTTTAATTAAAATTAAATTTTATATTTATTTTATAAAAATACTTAAAAGAGAATTTTTTATATAAAATCTCTATTTAAATATAAACTTTATATTTTTTTGAAATAAAAATATTTTTTGGATATTTCTTTCTGTAATTTCTGTTGCTTTCCTCATTTCAATTTTTGCATTTCCTTATGGAGATGAAAGGATTTGATGTTTCTCTTTAAAACAAAAAAGGTCGAATATAAGAAGAGAATATCCTCAAAAGATAAATTTTCCCAAGAGAAAATTTTCTGCCTTTTTAGACACGCCAAAAGCAATACATACACAAAGACTTTTTTCCTTAAATCCACAATTGAGAGAAAGGTACTAAATGGGTGTTATTGTCTGTAAGGAGGAATGAAAATTTGTGTGAAAAGAATGTAAATTTGTGTTTGTTAAAACTTCTTTTATTTTTTTAAATCAACAGTGATTATTTTAAACAAAAAATAATTTTATTGTTAAAAGTTCCGAGAATGTTCCTCAATTTGGAAAATTAAATTTTCTATTTTGTTGCGTTGTAAATTTGTTATTTTCTTAACATTAAAAAAAAGATTTCCGTATATTTTTAAAAAGAATTTTAAATGAAATTATTATTTATTATAATTATTTACTTTTTATTAATTGAAAATGTATGTTTAAATAATTATTATCAAAAATTAAAAATAAATTAATTTTAAAGATTAATTGTGTTAGTCATCATTTTCTTCGCCGAACAATGGCACAGCAAAGGCAAATTGATAAAGATACTGAAATTGAAGAAGAATTGGATTCTGATGTGGAAGAAGCTGTAAATATATATTTAATTATAAAGTATACATTCTTTTAATTTAGATTCTTGTTGATAAAATTATTTCTTTAAATGGAGAAAATGATGAAGAAAAACAATTTATACAACAACAAACACAACAGCAATTTGGAAAGGATACTGTCTTTGAACAGGGGGAAACTCGCGATTTTTTACATTTTTTGAGAAGAATTAAATATGATCACAGACAATGTCCTCAGAATGAAGGTAAAAAAATTATTTGAAAAAAATATTTTTATTTAGGTAAAGCTGTACAAATTTCTGTTTCTGTCGTTATTTCAAATATTAGGGCCGTTTCTGAAGTTACTATGGTAAAAAGAAATAAAAATTTTGTAAAAATTTATTTTTTAAAGGATTATAGTCTAGAAATGTTTTATAGAGAAATTTGGATGGATAAAAGATTAAATTATGATATTAAACAATTTAGAAATAAAACAGAACTTGCTTTACACGAATCTTATGCAGTTATAATTTAAAAAATATTTTATATGAAAATTTAATTTTTTAAAAAAGAATTTTTTGTGGCATCCTGATACATTTATGCCAAATGCTATTGCTTCAAAAAATCCAAGAAAACAGTCAATTTCACATCGTTCATTGTTAAGGTACTTTTAATTAAATTAAAAAGTTTTTTTCTTTAGTGTGACAAAAAAATAAACAGCCGAATTTTAAGATCTAAATAACGAATTTTTTTAAATAAATAAATATTTAATTCATGGAGTATTGCTTTCCTTTGTACAAAACTGAAAGTGTATATTATAAATCTGGGTCTACATACATTCGTTATCTGACTTTTATTAATTTTTGTTTATATTCTAAAATAATTTTAAGTCAATTAAGGGGAGAGGGGGGATTGTAAAAAATATATAAAAAAAACTATTTTTTAGGCTCCAATCAGATGGACAAATTCTTTATTCACGTCGTCTTTCTGTTGTTGCTGAGTGAGTATTTATATATTTAAATATTTTATTTTTTTTGTTTTTAGATGTCCAATGGATTTAACTTTGGTAAATTATTTTTAAGAGAAAAACTTTTGATTTATTTTTTTTTAAGTTTCCATTTGATTCTCAAACGTGCAAATTGGGAATTGAAAGCTGTAATAAATATATATTTTTTTAATTAAAAAAGATTATTTTTTTAGATGGATATACTTCAGATCAAGTTATTTATGTTTGGTCACATGGGCAAAGAGCAGCTTTAAAATTACATAAAATCCGTCTTCCAGATTTTCGAATTAAAGAAGCTTTTGTTACTTCACAAATAGAAAATTATGCTACTGGTAATTTTTAAATATTTTATTTTCTCCTTTTTCTTTGAATTTTGTGAGGGTAATATTTACTAGGACAAGGCCGGTTAACCGCCCGGTTAATTTTTCCCTGTAGCGGGGCAAAAAGAACAGAGAATAGAAAGAGAAAAAAAACCCCGCCAAAGGGAAAAATTAACCGGGCGGTTAACCGGCCTTGTCCTACCCTAATATTTACTGTTTTTTTTTGTCTTGGTTCTACCCTTTCAGAATTCTTCTCTTTAACTACAAAACTTTCAATTAAATTTAAAGGTAATTATAGCCGTTTATATGTTTGTTTTGTTTTCTCCCGTTCAGCTGGATTTTGTTTTTTACAATTAATTATTCCATCAACTGCTGTTGTAATAACTAGTTGGGTATCCCTTTGGATGGAGAATGAAACTAGTTTTCAAGTCTAAAAAATTCTTAATTTTTTTCCAAAAATTTTTTTTCCTTTAAAGGATATGATTTCTATAATTTTAACAATTACTTTTTTACTTTTTTCTTATAATGAGGTAAAAAAATTAATTTAATTTTTATTTTTTAAATTAATTTTAAAGGTAATGCCGAGAGTTAGTTATTTAAAAGCTTTGGATATTTGGTTGGCTGTTTGTTTTATGATTGTTTTTTTGTCTTTAATTAAATTGGCTATAATGAAATATATGAGACAACGTTTAAAAATTGAAAATAATTTTAATAATAATAAATTGTTTGTTTTTTTCTAATTAATTTTTAAATTAATTTTTTTCAGAGATTTATTATTAAATGGACTTTTAATGCCTAAATTAATTAATTTAATAAATAAAAAAAGAAAAGAAAAAATAAAGAAAAATAAGAAACATTCAGCTTTAAATTTTGGATTTACTTCAAGTATTAATTCTTCTTCCTCAATTAATAATAAACAAAAAAAGTAATTAATTAAAAATTAATTTTTAAATTATTTTAATTTTTATTTTTCAGTTTTTGTAATCGTCAACGTCCACCTACACCTCCACCACATTTAAAACAATTAAATATTAATTTAAATAAAAATATTCAACAATCATTTCCTCTTTCTACGAAAGAGAGGAGGTTTATTTTTAAATTAAAATTAATTAAAATAAATTTATTTTTCAGAAGATCTTCACGTCTTTTAAATTTAAATAATAATTTTGAATCTTTATTGGTTGAAAGTGCTTTTTCTAAATTTTTAATGAAACAAAAATTAAAAGAATTAAATAAAAATAATTGTTGTTGTTATTATTGTAATAATGAAAATAAAAATGATTTTAAAAAAAGAAGAAAAATATTAGTTGATGAAAATAGAAATGAATTTTTGGCTAAAAAAGGTAAAATAAGAATTTTTAAGGAGAGATTTTTAAAAAAATATTTTTCGAAATTTAAAAAGAAAAGAATTTTTGAGAGAAAATATTTAATTATTTTTTATTTATTTATAAGACAATCACAGGTATGTACATATTTGTACACTAATGTGATAAAAAAATGTCAATAATAAAAATAACTAGGCAAATTAAAACATAAAAAATGGAAAATTAAAAAAATATAAAAATCTTTTTTTTATAAATCTTTTTTTTATTTAAAGATAAAAACAAATTTACCACCACACGTTCACCAATTAATTCAATTAGAATAGGAATTGAATCAACAAGTTCTTCATCATCTTCTTGTTCAACACCTTCTACAAATTCTGACAATGAAGAAGAAAGAAAAATAATTTTAAATAAAAAAGAGTTTTTTATAAATTTAAATTAAAAATATTTTTTATTTTAAAGAAAATTATTTTTTTGTTTTGATCATCTCGGAAATATTGAATTTTCTTCTCAATTTATGAGACGTTTTCATTGGATATCACAAGTAAAAATAATTAAATTTTAAAATAATTAATTTTATAAAATAGATGGGGTTTTTCTTTGGTTTTGTTTTATTTTGCCTTTACTTTTTTCTTGTTTATCCAAATAGCAGATCGACTAGTGTTGATCCAGCTTGTCGAAGGGATGAAGCAGAATGGTTTGTTTGGGGGGTTTTAATTTTTAAATAAAAAAAATATTTTTTAAAGGTTTGCTTCAATACCGACATAAAAATGTTTTTTAATAATACAAATTTTTTATTTTTTTTTCACATTTTCTCAAACTTTTTTCTGATTTAGTTGTAAGACGCATAAATTTTGCTAAAAATTTTTATTTATGGGGGGTATAAATAATATTTAAAGTGCCAAATGATTAAAATAATAATTAAGAGATGAACATTTCCTTTAAAAACCCTTTAGGGTATTTATTAGCGTAACTTTTAATAAAAACTACTGTAACCACCTAATTTTTAAAATAGAATAACAAAATATTTTGGCGAAAAACAAATATGAAATAAAGGCAACTTAAAAATAAAAAAAAGTACATATAAATTTTAAAAGGAAAAACAAAAAAATTTTTACAAAGGATTCGAACCTTTAATCAAAATAGAGTGTAGTCGGGAACGTTAGCACTACAACAGTTTTTAATTGGGTTCTCTACTAGAGCCTTTAATTTTCTAGGGAATACTGAATAATACCGAAACTGATAAAATTCAGAATTTTACCGAAGAGTACTACGGATGGCAATACAACAAAAACACCGTCGGTAGTTCTTTAGGAGTCAACGTGGGTGCCGAACAGTGCCGAAACAGTTAGTCTTTTTAGAAACATGTGAAACATCGTGAGGCCTACTAATGTTTTTTCAACCTATTTATGGATACTATAAAAGGACTTGGAATTATCCAGAATTATTCTCTTTCTTCAACTACTATTATTCTCCATTTTGTCCTCTTCTCACACAATGCCAACGGTGCGGGAGCAAGATGACGTCGACCGTGTTGTCTGCTGCAAACATGGAAAGCCTTGTCAACTCTCATTGCAACCAGTTCCAAAGTCTGCACGTGGTCAAGAAGTCCCAAGATCGCCAGATGTTGGTCGTTGTGGTGGTGGCAGACGCAAGAGACAGAAGTGCCAGCAGGCGGATAATAACTCGTCCATCACCGACTTGAAGGGAGGCAGTGTTAGCAGCTCATCGACCAACTATGAGAACATCCCGCCTGGGGGATTGCCGAATGAGGGTGACAATTTTTGTGTTTTTTGAACGTCTTGAACTTCTTTAAAATTATTTTTACTTTTAGCGACCGCTATTGACATTGGAAGTGGTGGCGGTTCTGCAGTTACTAGCGAGACGGAAATCACTGAAGACGAAAGCAATCCTGCGACTGATGAACGCCCTCCAAGCGTGGACCTGTTTCGCCAGAGATTTGAAGACGAGCAACTGTATGAGGACATCCACCACGTGGGTGGAATGCATCGATGTGGACATGCTGCTAAGAAGACTGCCAAGAAGCCAGGCGATGGTCAAAAGGAAGCTGGGAAAACCAAATCGAGCGAAAAGTGAGAGTATAGCTCTTATTCCTAAATAAAATTTTTTGTTTAGATCGCTCGCTAGGCCGGTTCCTCCTTCTGCTGCGGGTGTCGCTGTTCCAATGTGAGTTTCTCAAAAGAAATTTTTTCGTTCAAAAAATTCTTTTCACTTTTTTAAAGGTCAACTGCTGATGTCAAACACGCGGCGAAAGTAGACATGACCAAAAGCAGAGACCTTGTAAACCCTAAGGAGAAGCTGACTGAGTTCTATGCAGGACCGTGCACACCGAGTGAAGCTGAGCGTCAATGTAAAGCTGCTGGCATGTTCCGTCTCTACCATCGAATTGTGGTTGTCGATGAGGATCAGCTGCAAAGTGTTCTGCCGTTGTTCATTGTCTACAGAAATTTGAAGGGGAAATACTGGTAAGTGGGGAATTGGCGGCCTTTCTCTATAAGATACGCCCTTGGGGCTCAAAAATACTAATTTCTAAACTTTCTTTTTTCAGTCATGTCCGGATTGTGCGCTGCGGGAAGGACCTCATAAAGATTGATATTGAAGGAGAGCCCAAATTCCGAACGCTTAGCCAGCTAATCACCTTCTACGACATCTACGCGAAATTCGAAGACGATATGAACCCGTTCCCGCGTAAAGGTGGCGAGTCTGTGGAGGAAGTCAACTAAAGCAAGAATTGTAAAAGTATATAAAAATGTTAGGTGATTTGTGGGTATATTTGTTTGTGTGTGTTGATATGTAAATATACATATGTATATTTGTAAATATAATTGTGTGATATTGTTATGTAAATATATAAATTGTTGTGGAAGTTGTATTTTTTGTTGTATAAATAATGTAAAAATAAATTTGAATTGGTACAGTACTTCGCTAGAAAAAATTTTATGGTAGCGTCCGGGCTTTATTCTCCACAATATGTGAGAGTTAGAGGTTATCGCTTAGGCGAGGTATCGCTTAATCAAGAAAAGAAATAGGCACAAATTTAAAGGACATTTGGGGTTTACTTGAGATAGCAAGGGCGTAGCTTCAGGGGGCTAAAATGGGGCTACGCTTGATATATAAAAAATTCTCTAGGGAATTTTTTAAATAAAATTAGGTTCTAATCGAATTTATGAGTCACATAAAATTGTAGATAGAGTAGTAGAATTTCAGGTTTCGGACCCGCCAAAGTTTTATGGGGTTCCTCTTTTTAAAACAAAGAAAAGCGGGCAAATAAAAAATTAAATTAGAAAAAAATAATTCCACAAGCGGAATCGAACCGCCGTTAAAAGCCGGAAACAATACCACTACACCACAAAAGTATTTATTATATTGAAAGAATTATTGAGAAATTAAAAAGTAAATTTAATAATTTAATTGGTGGGGAACGAGACAATTGAGTACCGCCGTTTGAGTCCTTTGCTTTCCTTTGTAATTGCTCTTCCTTTGTAATTTCTTTTATTTTCTAAATAGTTACAATTTCTATAAGAAATTTTAGTGAAAATGTCTGAAGAATTTGTTAACCAACGAACTCTGCCAAAATCAAAAAAATGGTGGAAGAATGTTCAAACTGAAAGGTTTAAAATTTATTTTTATTTTTTCTTTAAAATTATTTTTTAGGCCTTTAAAAAGCAATACAAAACCAAAATCTGATTGGAATTCAAAAATGAAAAAGAAAAATATGGAAAAGCAAGTTCGAGCTTTGCAAGAAGAAATTCGTCAAAAATTAGTTGATGAAAAGAAGGAAATTATCCAGACAAAAAAGGAAAGAGAAGAACGCCGAAAACAAAATTTATTAAAATCAGAAATTGTACAGGTAATTAAAAATCCTGCACGGTTAAAACGGATGAAAAAGAAACAGCTTAGAATGATCCAAAAACGAGATATTACAAAAGAGTAATTTGTTTTGGTTTGTTTGTAAAACTTTATTCTTCTTTAAGTCTTACAAATTATTTGTTTTAAATATTGTTGATAAAATTTTTTTGTTTATTTTATTATTATATTGCCTAATTGTTATTTTAACGAATATTTTTTCTCAAAATTATTTTCTGTTTAACTTTTGAAATTTTGATGGACTATGTGCGTGAACATGTATACTCACTGAAAAGGTTATTTCTTAATTTTTAATCCAAAAATTCGAAACAATTTCATTATTTTCAGCATGCTGGACGTGTGCCTAACTCAGGACCCCGGATTTTCCTCCCTCGAGGATTTGGCGCTCGCCAACGGAAATGGGCAACTTTGCGCGCATCTTTTGGGTCGAAGTGTGAAAGGTTTGCTTTTATTAAATTTTTTCTATTTTTCTTCAGATGTCGAATTAATTCGTCAAATCTCTCGTTCACTCATTTGGTTTACTTATCGCCGTAATTGGCCTTCACCAATAGGTGGCTCTGGAGGCCCAACTACTGATATTGGTTGGGGTTGTATGATTCGTTGTGGGCAAATGCTTTTTGCACAAGTTTTTTTTAGAATTTTTTTTGTTAAATTTAACTTTAATTTTTAGACTCTCTTAGCTCTTCATTTAGGCAAAGATTGGCAGCTTTTATTACATCAACAAAATGTTGAAGCTTTGGATATTTACAGACGTATTTTGCGTCTCTTTCAAGATAAACGGACAGCTTTGTATTCAATTCATCAAATTGGTATTTTTTAAGGGTAAATTTTTATTTAAAATTATTTTCAGCACACATGGGCATTTCCGAAGGTAAACAAATTGGTGAATGGTTGGGACCTAATACAATGAGCCAAGTTTTAAAGAAATTGGTTGTTTTTGACAATTGGTCCCAGATTGTGGTTCATGTAGCATTAAATAATGTATAAATTTTTAAATATTTTTTTTTCTCTTCAAAACAATTTTGAAGGTTTTAATTTCCTCTGATGTTCGAATTGTAGCAGCACAAAAGACTTGTAATAAATTAAATAATAGCCAAAATGATAGCATCCAAGAAGATAATTTTGACCAAATGGAGGATGAAGAAATGGAGGAGGATGAAGAGAATAATAATAATTGGAAGAGACCTCTTTTATTGATGATACCTTTACGGTTAGGGCTTGATTCAATTAATTCTTGCTATTCAACTGCAATTTTTGAATGTTTTAAATTGCCACAATTTGTTGGAATTTTGGGCGGTAGACCTAGACATGCTGTTTATTTTTATGGAACTGTTGGTGGTAGGGTATAAATTTAATTCTTTGACACTTGTAAAAGTTGAAAAAATTCTCTAGTTACTTTATTTGGATCCACATTTTTGTCAAGATTTTCAAGATTTGGATATTTCTTCACAGCAATCAAGTAATTAACTTTATTTCAAATATTTCTATTAGATATTTTTAGCAAGTTACTCTCAACCTTCTGAAGAACCAGTAATTGTTTCTTCGCCAGATGAATTAATGGTAATATCTGACAACGGAGAAAAAGAAATAAACCATAGAAGATCATCATTAAATATTCAAAACCAACAAAGACCATCACTTTTTGAATTGTCTTCTTCAGCTGGGCCTTCTTCTGAGTATGTAAATCTTCGTTCAGCATCTTCTTCATTAGTTGCTGTAGCTACATCTTCAGTTTCCTCATCTCCTTCACGGCATGATAAAAACGAAAATAATACCGGCGGTGTCACTTCAAACAATTTACTTGCCTCATCTTCTCCCTCTTTCCGCGGATGTTCTTCCTTAAACTGGTTAATATTATTTTTTTAATCTATATTTTTTATTTTTCTGTAGTTCTCCACATTTAAGTAGTGTTTGTAGTAGTTCATCTATTGATGACCAAAATAATAAACAACAAAATATTGACACAAATATTTCATTTCCAACTTCTTGTATTTCTACTAAACATTCATCTCCACATCAATCAACATCCTCATCTCGAAATGAAGGTATTTTAAGACGTATTCGTTCTGAAGTATCAACAGTTCCAGCAGTTGTCGATTCAATTCTTGATCGTTTTATTTCGATATTTGCTGACAAAAATGAACAAAAAACTAATTTTTATGATGAAGAAGTAATTCAAATTGAAAAAGGTATTTTTTAATTTTTAATAAAAATATTTTTTATGTTAATAGACGATGTTGGACATTCAACAAATCAAAATATAAATAATAATACAATATTGCCAGACGGGGTTAATAACTTTGATGATTCTTCTTTTCACTGCCCTCATCTTCTCTCAATGGATTTTAAATCCTTAGGTTTATTTTTATCTTTTTTTATTTCCATAACATTTTTTTAGATCCATCTCTCGCACTTGGTTTTTTAGTTAGGGATTCTTCTGATTATGAAAATTTAATTGAAAGACTTGAGGTTTCTTGGAATTAAAAAATATTTTTAAAAATATTTTAGTGCTCTTTATTACCAAAATCATCTCCACCTCTTTTTGAAGTTCTTGAAACACGTCCAAAAGGATGGCCGCCATTTTCTCTCGAACCTTCTTACCAAAATGAATCATTAAATATTAAAGGTTTATTTTTTGTTATTTAAATTAATTTTTATATTTAAAAAGAATATGATGATTTATTATATGATAGTGATGAACAATTTGAATTATTAAATGAAGAGTAATCGAATTTATGTATATAAAAGGAATGAAATGCTTTCTTTAATTTACACCGGGTTTCGAAAATATATAACATAAACTTTTTTAAAAATATTTTCTTAATTTTTTGTGTAAATTTTACATTATATAAAAATATATTTTAAGAAAAAAATTGGTTGAATATTTTAAAATTTAAATATTTTTGTAATATTCACCCACGACAAAATGCCTTTTTTTTAAATTTTGTGAATAAAGAAAATTTTATGTATTTTAAATTTCTTTTGAATTATAATTTTTTAAATTAAATAAATATTGATATCTTTTCGTTAACCTATTTATTTTAATAATTTCAAATGTCTAATGTTTGTGATGGATTTATTCAAATTTTTGATATTGGAGATAGTTCTTTTATTGCATTTGAAGGTTTTTTTTTAAATTAAAAAAGCATTTCTAATTTTTAAATTTTAATAGATTCCGAACAAATACTTCAAAAATATAGATTAATTTGTTCATCGTTTTATCATTCAAAGTGTGCAGAAGACAGCAATGTTTTGCCTTTTTTGCCGGTTATTTTGTTTTCAGAACAAGTGCAGGTTTTGGTTGAAAATGGTATGAAGGGTTTTAAACGAATAATTTTTTAACTTTTTAAAATTTGGAGGGTTTGCTCAGATTTGTCGTGTCAATAATTCAATTGAAGGTATTGAATCATTTTCAGACATTAATGGCAAATTAGATAAATCTGGACCGGTAAATGAATTTAATTTGGAAAAAAATAATTTATTTTTTAAGAATAATGAAAAAGAAGGGGAAAATCTGCTTTCTTTGGCACAAAAAATTTTAATTGGTCGTAATTTAAAGAAAAGAAAGAGAGCTTTATTTGGAGCAGATGCGCCTTCTAATCTTCTCAAAATTCGAAAAATAGATCATTTAAATGAAAATAATAATAATGAAAAAGCAGCAAATTCTGATGAAATTGAGAGCTGTGAAAATGAAGAATTACAATTAATTATTAATGAACTTCGTTTACGAAATGTGGAGAAAGAAATGAATTCAAAAAGAAATTTAAATTCTTATGGTATTTTAATTAATTAATAAAATAATTTTTATTTATTTTTTCATGCCTTCCATCAACATTATATAATTTGCCTGATGATTTACTAGTTCCACAAAATGCTGAGTATTTTATTAGATTAACTGTTTTTCGAGACCTTTGGAGAAAAGGTTAAAAACAAGTTAAATTATTAATTCTTTTAATACCAAACAAATTAATAAAAAGGTTTTTATCTTCTAAGCGGTGCAAAATTTGGTTGTGATTATTTAGCTTATGAAAAACCTCCTGGCGAACAACATTCTCTTTTTATGATTATTTGTAGCGATATAAATAAATCATTAAATTTATATAATTTAATTGCTACTTCACGTGTTGTAAGTTAAAAAAAAAGAATTTTTAAAAATATTTTTTCTTTATTAGAGTACACAAGTAAAAAAGAAAATTCTGTTGGCTGTAGTAAGTCCCGGAACTCTTTTACCTTATTATTTAGAAATGAATTGGTGGAAAGGAGATGGAAATCGTTAATTTTTTAATTAAAATTATTTTTTTGTTAATTTTCTATTTATTAAAAGTTTTTAATTTAATTTTTGTTGTTAAATTCAAAAAAGTCGATTTACTTTTTTATTTATATATTATTTTATGAAATTGTTTTAGATTAATTATTCAAAGTTATGCTATTCTTTTCATTCTTCAAATCGTTGGTTGGCCGAGAAGTTATTATTGAATTGAAAAATGATTTAAGGTTTGTTCGATTGGGAGATTGAGATCAATCCAGAGGGACCCCCGCTTTATTCTCCATTTTGCTGCACCCACATGCGCTCCTCTTTTGGGTGCTTTAACTGCTTTGGGATTCACAAGTTGTATCTGTGATTTTTTTGTCTATTTTGCTCGGAATTAATTCCCTCTTTACGCCGCTTTTTTTCTTTCATTACCGCTTTTTCCCCGTTTTTAGTAAGGAGGAAAAATTTAATAAAGGAAAAGTATCATTTTTGCAGTATATGTGGAACTCTACATTCAGTTGACCAGTATTTAAATGTTAAAGTGACAGACATTAATGTTACCGACGTGGAAAGGTTAAAACAATTTTTTTAATTAAACGAATTAAATTTTAGACATCCACACATGATTTCTGTTAAGAATTGTTTTATTCGTGGTTCAGTAATTCGTTATGTACACCTTCCATCTGATGGAATTGACACTCAATTACTTCAGGTATTTTTTAAAAAATAAAAAATTAATATCCACTTTTTAGGAAGCTACTCGAAAAGAAGTTTTGCAAAGTCGACAACAGGGGGGTACATCTAATAAATAAATTAACAAAGATGTTACGATCTCTGGACAACTATTTTTTACTCTTATTTGTTCGTAATAATTTATTTAAAAAATAAAAATTTGATTGAAAAAATTAATTATCATAATTAAAATGCAAAAATATTTGGGCTTTAGCAAGTTGTCCATTTGCAGAACTAGCTCCTCCAATACCTTCGCTTTCAACCAATCGAGAAACAACTTTTTCTGATTCTGAACTTGAAGGGGGAGCAGAAAGAAAAATTTTAGCCAATTTTCGAAGATTTGGGTAAGTATTGCTATTAGCTGCTTTTCGCCAGTATTCAAGTGGGTCAGCACCAATCCTTTCAATTGAGGACTAGAAAAGAAATTGGGAATTAGAAATTTGATAGTTCCTAATTTTTAATTCGAAAAATTATTTCAAAGCAGAAAAAGAATAAGTCAACTAGCCTCTAAATAAGATTCTACTTCCTCTGTCACTGTCGAATATTCAACATTGGATGTAGTTGTTTGGACCATAGAATTAATCTCATTAAATCCCGTCAAAAATTCTGACATAGCATCTGTCTATATAAATTAAAAACGTTTATCTCTCAAATTTTTTCCTCTCATGTCAGAAGAATTAAAGAATGGTCAACGACACATAAATTGATAGGATTACCAAATTTCCGGTAATTTCTTGTAAATCCATTTAAAGTAATTTCCTCAAGCTTCATAAATTTAATCTCATTATTTGCTATTGACCTGTAATTCTTCGATGAAGGAAAGGAAAATGTAGGAAGATAACACAAATTTTTAAATTAACTAACCCCATCAAATGCATGTTTTTGTAAATTTTGTCTTTGTTCAGGATCTAAATCTGGCAATATAGTTGCAAACAAAAGAGTTTTATTTCGAATTCTTTGGTCAGAATCAAAAATATTTGCTTGGTTTTTATATCGAGCATCGAGTAGTGTTGACAAAATTAAAAAACTAAAAAAATAAAAATCTAAAATAAATTAAATATTTATTTACCTTCTATCAATTAATCCATCCATTCTGCATCTCAATCCATCAGAAATTGTTCTTTTAAAAGATCTTTCTTCTGATGAGTCACAAGGATTTTCTGCCAAACAATTAAGCAAATATTTATATGTTGGTAATACAGAACTAATACATTCATTTCTGTTGGATAATAATTTTGTTTTATTTTCAAATGGTTGAAGAATCTTGAGAAAAAAAATTTTTTAAATATAAAAATATTCACAAAAGTTTATTTATAAATTTCTTACATTCAAGATCTTCTTTAAAAATTCAAAATTTGGAAGTGTAACATCTTGAAAGTCTAAACAAGCAGCCAATAATGCATTCTGCTGTTCAATAACACGTCTAGCCATTGTTAATGTAGAAGTCCATTGTGTCGGGATTTCTCCAATTAATGGATTTTTTGGGGCATCAACAAGTTGTTGTTGCCTTGAAAGAGCACTTTGAAAGGCTGAAGACCTAAAGAATAATTTAAAAATTATTTTTTCTTTAAAAACAAACCAATTATAGAAAGCAACTAATTCTCTACAAATTTGTATTTGTTTAGAGATTTCTGGTAAATTAGAACCATCACTTACTGACAAGGCTAATTTATGTAGAAAACAATCAAAATATTGAAATTTTAAATCTAAAAAAATTAAAATAATTTAATTTAAATTTAAAGAAAACCTTCAACAGATCTACACATCGAAGAGGCAGCATCTCGTAAAAATAAATGTACTTTTGTTGGGGAAATTCCAAAATCAACAAATATTTCATTAATTTTATTTGTTATAGCATTTGAAGTATTCTCTCCTGTAATAGGTTCAGCAACAAGTACTTTCCAACAACGATTAAATGAATCATCAATAAAATGACAAGTCACACTTAAGAAAAATTAAAATACTTTGAACCCTATAACTTTCCGATTTAGGGGGTAGGCTCGAAAAAGAAAAAAATTACAATAGGAAATCGACCCTACTCTACACGAAGGCATAAAATTATGAAATTTTTGGTCACAGTTCGATATGATTCCTTGTAAGGAAAATTTTTTTCAACATTTTATTTATTTAAAGTCAAACCATAATTTTAAATAAATTTAATTTAACAAATTTTTTACCTCAAAAAATATTGTCCTTTAGAGTGACCAATAGCTGTAGTGAAGGAACAACTCTGACATTTCCTTAAAGCATCCTTCAAACCCGAATATTTTGATTGAAATTTTTTAGTAATTAAATTTGTCATATATTCTCTATTCTTCACTGTATAACTTTTAAAAGGATTTATTCACAAAAAAATTTTATTTTTAAAAAAATACTTTGGACATGCAAGTGACAACATATCAGTAAAACTTTCCTGTTCAGTTATTGAAAGGGATTGTGATGAAAGACAAATAAAACGAAGAATTGCATCATCCATTTTCTTTGATTTAATATTATTTTGCTCCCATCTTTCAATTTTAACTTTTGCAAATTTTGAAATTTTATTTTGATTTGTTGAAGTTTTTGGGGAATTAAATTCTCGTTTAGTTTTAAATACAGGAATTTCAACATTTTTGGCTATAGCAAATTGCTTGAAAAAACTAAAAAAGATTTTTTAAAAAAATATTAAAAAAAACCTTGGATGAAGCATTAAATGTCTGGTTGTTCCTTTTGTGTTTCCCTTCTTCCGACTAATCCGTTTTTGGCAAATTCTACAAATTGCTGATGGATCCCCTCTGTCATACTGATAATAACGAAGAAGTGAATGAGGCGGTTTAGACAAATCAATTATTGTTTCATCAATTCCATTATAATTAGAATCTTCACTCAAAAAAGTATTATCGGGACCTTTTTCACTAAAAATTTAAATATTAATTTTTAAATTTTAAAAAATAAAAAACAAACCTCTGTCCATTTATTTTTGTTTTCTTCAGAGGGGTAGAATTTTCGTTCTTTAACATTCTAGTTGAAGGAGGCATAGAACTTTTGGCCGTAGAAAATTCTTCAAAAATACTTGAAAATAAAAATCTTTAAAAATAATTTATTCGAAAAAAACTTTGGATGTTTCATTAAATGTTTAGTCATTCCATTTGTATTTCCTTGTGTCCTTCTAATCTCTTTTTGACATAATCTACATGTTCCAAAAGGTTCCCCACGAGAATATTGAAAATATCGCAAAAGAGAATGTGCAGGTTCGGATAAATTAAGTTGATTTTTTTCATTAAAATTATTTGGGGCATCTCTAGTTATAACTAAAAAAAGTTTTTTTCAAAAAATTTTTAAAATTACCAATATGTTCTACAAAATTAGAAGTACTTCCATTAATATCGTCTAATGAAAATATTTGTGTATCCATTTTTTGATAAAATTTTATTTAAAAAAATTGGTGAAAATAAATTAATTAAAATAATTAGTTTTTGTTTAAATTAATAACTAAATTAAATTTATTAAATTGAAAAAAAAATAAAATAAAAATTAAAAAAAAAACACGAACAAATAACCAAAATACAAATTTTTCTACAATATTGTTTTTTACAAAAATTTCATATCGTAATTTGACAAAATGATTTTTAAAATTAAAAATATATCAAAATGTTTCCTTTCAATTTACCTAATAACATTTTAATTTATTTTTCTCCAATTAACATAAAAATATTTTTTTTTAATTTTAAGAAATGAGGATTATTTTTGTTTTTATTATCTTTTTTGTTGTATTTGCTGAGGATGCCTCTACTAAAGAAGATTTACTTCCTCGTGGTGTTCATCCACAATGTTTATTTAATTTTTATCAAAAAAAGATTATAATTCTTTTTAAGTTGCTTCATTCTATTCTAGCGGAGAGACATTTACCTGTCTTGATGGAAATAAAGTTACACCATTTAAGCAAGTAAATGATGATTATTGTGATTGTGCTGATGGATCTGATGAACCAGGTTTTATTGAGTTAGGGACAACTTAAAGCTCTCTCCCCTTTATCTATTACTCGTGGGGCCAATTTTTCACCTTTTCCAAAATGTGAATTAAAAAAAGTTCTTTGAAGCAAGGGAATAACCAGATGGCAGATTTGGGGCGCTATAGTTTGGAAATGCGCAAGACTTTAGCGTCCGAACGTTACCGCTGCCTACGAAAATTTTGAGAATTTTGGAAATCATAGGCCCACATTTCCTCATTCCGGAAGTAAAATAAAATTCCTCTTAATTTTAAGGAACTGCCGCTTGTCGAAATGGCAAATTTTATTGTAAAAATTATGGATACAAACCTTCATTAATTCCTTCAAGCCGTGTGAATGATTATATTTGTGGTTTGATTTTAAAAATATATTTAATTTTTTTTACAATTTTTTTGAAAGATTGTTGCGATGGAAGTGATGAATGGGATTCGGGAACTGAATGCCCAAATGTTTGTGAAGCTCTTGGTTCTGAAGCACGTTCCGAGGCAAAGCAGCGACGTGCAACATATGAAGCTGGTTGGCGAAAAAGAGAGGAATTGGCCGTTGAAGGGAAGAAAATGATGGAAGAAAAGACAAAAGAATTTGAAAAACAAAAAGTTGAATTGACTTCTTTGGAGGAACGAAAACTTGAATTGGAAGAAGCAAAAAATGTTGCAGAAAAATTGGAAAGTGACGCGAAACGAGAAGTTGATGGACAATTTGAAGAAGAAAAGAATCGAAAATTAACTGAAAAAGCTCAAAATTTATTAAAAGAAATTGACAATGATGGAAATGGAAAGTTTGTTTTATGTTTGCTAATTTAAAAAAAATTTTTTTGTAGAATATCAAATGAAGAACTGAGATTATTTTGTGGATTAGGACAACAACAACAATTATTACGACCAGAAAATGAATTAAAAGAAGAATCTGAAAATGTTGGAGATAATTTCGAATTAGAAGAAATGGTTAAAGGAATTTTTGGGGAAGGAAGTGAAAATATTGACTTGGAAATGATTAAAAATAAATTTAAAAATATCAATGATTTTCTAACAAAATGTAAAGAAAAGAAACAGAAGGAAGGAAATGAAGAGGGGGAGGTAAAAGAAGGAGGAGAGAAGGAAGAAGAAGACAAAGAAGAACAACCTAAATATGATGAAGAAACACAAAAATTAATTGAAAATGCTAATAATGCTAGAAAGGAATTTGGAGAAATTGAAAGTCAAATTGGTCAACTTCAAGATGACATTAAGTTTGTATATTTTTTATATTTTAATTAAATCGAAAAATTATCCGTTCTAAATATCCTCAAACAGTATGTAAAAATCGGAGCGTTTTATCTCACCAAAAGCTTGTTTCACCAAACCCCCAAAAGCCATTAACTCACCAAACCGTGAAAAAAAGCTTGTTTCACCAAACCCCCAAAAGCCGTTAAATCGCCAAACTGTGGAAAAAAGCTTGAATCACCAAGCCCCCAAAATCCCTTGAAATACCAAATGCGAACTACCAACCACGGGGGTGTTGTTCCAACAACGGGGGATGTTGCCCCGTCAACGGGGGGATGTTGCCCCGTCAACGGGGAGATGTTGTCCCGTGAACGCGGGAAGTTGTCCCGTCAACGGAGGATGACGTTCCGTCCGTCAACGGGGGATGACGTTCCAATGACGGAAACAACTTTTTTTCAGAGAAGATTCAGTTTAGACATATATATCTCCTATTGTTGGGATAAAACCCATTGTCTCCTATTATTGGGATAAAACCCATTGTCGTTAAGAGTGTACATAGATAATAACCAAAAGAATTTGTAGCTTGGTATTTATTTGGTAATTCAAGCTTTTTTCCACAGTTTGGCGATTTAACGGCTTTTGGGGGTTTGGTGAAACAAGCTTTTGGTGAGTCAAGCTTTTGGTGAGACAAGATCATACCGTAAAAATTACGAAAAGAGGCTGTTCAGAGAGGGTGTAAAAGGAGGAGAGAAGGAAAATTATCCGTTTACCGAAAATAGTACTCTATAGGTAAAAATAAAATTTTAAATGCTTTACCTCCATTTTCCGTTGATTTTCGAGATTTGAGATCTCGATGAAGAAAGCAGTTTCGACTTCGTTTTTTCTATTTCTATTTAGTATCGATAGTTATGTCATAGAAATTTTTGTTAAATTCTAGCCGCCTTTCCGTGATTATCGGTATTTTCTAAAACTGTTTGAGGGTATTTGGAATAAGGTAATTTTTGCTGTTGAATCAATATATAAAAATTCTAAAAAGTAAACCTTAAGTCGATTTATCCGAAAAATTTGGGGGTGTAGAGGTTTTTTGGAACGGACTTTATTAAAATTCGCTTAACTTAAATATTTTTCTTTAGAGATTCGGAGCAATTTTTAAATCAAGAATATGGAATTGATTATGCATGGGCTCCACTTAAAGGTCATTGTGCAGAATTGACAACTACTCAATATACCTATAAAATTTGTCTTTTTGACCGAACTGTACAAAAAGATAGAAATGGTCATAATGAAGTAGATCTTGGGTATTTATATTTATTTTTAATTTCTAAATAATTCTTTTTCTAGTCGTTGGGGTAATTGGGCAGGTCCAGAAATAAATAAATTTTCTTTACAAAAATATGAACATGGCCAAAGTTGTTGGAATGGCCCAGAACGTTCAACAATTGTGGAACTTGTTTGTGGGTCAGAATTGGAATTAGTAGAAGCTAGCGAACCCGCCAAATGTGAATATAAGTTTTTGGTACGTGTACCAGCTGCTTGTCAAGATCCAAAAGAAATTGATGTTGGGGGAGAAGCACATTTTGAACTTTAAAAGTCTTAAAATGACAAAATTTTCAATTTTATATTTATAGTTGTCGATCACATATTAATTTATAAAATAATTAATTTATGACAAGTCCCTCCTTTATTTAATTTGCGTTTGTTTCGTTTAAATTTTTGAATGTTAATTTAATAAAATTTTAAATTTCCACGATTTTGGCATTTTGTTTAGATGACGACAATTTGAGGTTAAGAGAATCAGAGTTAGATTTCGATTCCTTTCTTTTATTTGTTGGCATTCAATAATTCTACATATTTTAACACTAAGATGTCATTTTTCCTTAATTTTAATAAGAATTTTTAATTTTTTTAATAAAAAAATTTTTAGTTTTCAAATGAACTTTATTTGGGTTGAAAGGCTTCATCGGCTATTTATTTTTTGTTTTCTTTTAAATTCTCATTTCCGCCTTGTTTTGTCCGGAAGAGATTTTTATTCGATTCTTCGAGTTAAACGTGATGCAGAACCAGATGAAATTAAATCTTCCTTTAAAAAATTAGCTTTAAAACTTCATCCAGATAAAAATCAAGATGGTAAAAATTATTTTATTTTTTAAATTTTTCTAATTTTATTTTTAAGATCCTGCCGCGCAAGAAAAATTTCAAGATTTGAGAGAAGCTTATGAGGTTATTATTTTTTTAATTTTTTAAATATTTTTAAATAAAAATGTTTATTTAGGTTTTGGGTGACCAAAAGAAACGTGATATTTATGATAAACACGGTGAAGAAGGAGTTAAGAAAATGGACGATGGAAGTGGTGGTTTTGGTGGACATGATCCATTCTCTTCGTTCTTTGGAGATTTCTTTGGTCACGGAAGCCATGAACATGATGAAGAAACGCCCCGTGGAGCAGATGTTATTTTCGATTTGTATGTTACACTTGAAGAGGTTTTGTGAATACCTTAAATATTTTTCTAAATTTATTCAAGGTCTATAAAGGAAAATTTGTGGAAGTAAAGAGGAAAAAATCTGTTTATAAACAAACAAGCGGCACAAGGGAATGCAATTGTCGTCATGAAATGCGTACACAACAATTAGGAGCTGGTCGCTTTCAAATGTTTCAAGTCCGAGTCTGTGATCAATGCCCCAATGTGAAACTTGAAAGACAAAATAAAATTTTAGAGGTTTGTTTAATTTTACAAAAAGTGATGGTGGGACTATCGCTCATCGAAAAATGTATTTTATGTAATAAAATATGAATTTCTCAGACATTTACTCGGAGACTAACGCTTAAAGGTAACTTACGATTGAAAATAGTTTTTTTTAGAAAAAAGAAGGTAAAATGGGGAAGATAACACAAGAGTACTGATCTTTGAAATCAGCATATTTTATTACTCAAGAAAAACACATTTTTTGACGACCGATAAGTCTAGCTAAAATAATTTTTTAAAGGTGGAGGTAGAAGTAGGTGTAGATAATGGACAAGAAGTTCGTTTTATTGGAGAAGGTGAACCTCATATAGAAGGTGACCCTGGCGATTTAGTTGTAAAATTGCGTGTTCAGCCTCATGCTCGATTTGAACGTAAAGGGATGGATTTATATACAAATGTAACAGTTTCTTTACAACAGGCATTGTCTGGATTTGAGGTTTTTATTAAATTATATATTTTTTAAATTTCTTTTTTAGCTTGATATTGTACATTTGGATGGTCATAAAGTACATATTACTCGAGATAAAGTATTTTTTCTTTAAATTATTTTTTTAATAAAATAAAATTATTCTGAAGATAACATGGCCAGGTGCCCGTATTCGTAAAAAGGATGAAGGAATGCCCTCTTTAACAAATAATAAACAAAGAGGAATTCTTTATGTTACTTTTGATGTAGAATTCCCTAGAGGAGAGTTTAGTGCTGAACAGAAAAAACAATTGGCTGAATTACTCGCTCAAGATAAGTTTGAACCTAAAGTTTATAATGGACTACAAGGGTATTAAAATAAGCAATACACAATTATTGACCAAAAAAATTCTATGAAAACCCATTTATGTATAGTAGAATTCTTTTTATTTAAATGTTTCTAAAATTAGGGAAATGTAAAATAGTTGGGATCAGGGCTGATCGAAATAAAAATATTTTTTATTTCGAATCGAAACGAAATAAAAAAATTCCTATTTCGTTTCGGAGCGAAACGAAACGAAATGAGCTTGTTTCGGACGAAACGAAATAAAATAAAAATTTAAAGATATTGATTTTTCAGTTCATAAAGGCTTTTAATCGATATTTAAATCATAGATATGCACCCCAAGAGCTAGATGCGTGACAAAAGCAACCCAGAAAGACGAGTGGGTCCTATAAATCTGCCGATATCCCCATTAATCCCCTCAAATCGACATATATCCGCCTTAATCCGATATCCTATTAAAATCCATCGATATATCCAAATTACTTTGGAGTATACCACTTTAGATATCGATCAAGAGGGCGATATCTTGTATATTGCGATATCTTGTATATCCCCCTCCCAAAACCACCTATATTCACTTAATCCATAAAATCCAAATATACACAAAATCCCCCTATATCCCCTTAATCTCGCCAATACCACAATATCACCTTAATCTTGACAAATCTCCCTCAATATCACTAATCCCTCGAGATCTCTTTTAATCCACCGCACAAAGTAATAAAAATTTTAGTACAACTCCAATTTGGAGTACAACTCCAGCATATTCAAATCTAGGTTTCAAAAATTTTTATTATTTTTAGATCACAGAAATGAAGATTTCGGACTATTGTAGGTTGGGCGATGGAAGGCTGGTCTGCTCTAGCAAAACCCATAAAAGCTTTCTTCCTTTTTAGCGCCGCGGGCGAAAATTTTTTGAATTTTAGAGCTCAAGAAGCCAAATTTCTCGCATTTTCAGCGCCGCAGGCGAAAATTTTTTAATTTTAGGCTGCTCATAAGACAGAAATCACTAAAAAATTAATGATTATTTCAATAAATTCCCGTCATTAGGGGTGCATTTTCTCATTTTTTTTTGTTTCGTTTCGTCCGGAATTTTGGCTATTTCGTTTCGAAACGAAACGAAATAAATTTTTTTCTGTTTCGTTCCGAAACGAAACGAAATGGAAAAAAGGGCACGAAAGAGCGAAACGAAACGAAATTTCGATCAGCCCTGGTTGGGATATCTGACAAGGGAACATGGATATGTTTTTTTATATATTTTTTTCTGTGTTCAAAAATTTTTCTACACAGTATCCGATGTTCCCTTGTGAGAAATATTTTGACCTCATTAAGTAATTTTCAGAAACATTTTCTTTGTTTTATTTTCACTTCTCTTTCTACCCATTTCTAATTTCGTCTTTTTCTGTTTAAATGTCTAAATCAACCTCACTAATGGCCTTTTTGTAACAAAAAATTAGTAGAGCTCTGTTTTATTGTTTTGTCGGGTTCTCGGTGTTGCAATTTTTGCGGTTTTAAAATAAATTTTTTTCACAATTCTTTACTGTTCTGTTTTAAGAATAAGTTTACACCGCAAATATTGACTAACCCGCCGATTTTCTATTTATTATTTTCTATTATTCCCCAATTTTGGTTAAGTTTTTGTTTTTCTTTTTAAGCCATTCCTTTTCTTATTTTTATCTTTTGACTCAAAATTATTTAAAAGATCTGAAAAGTATAAAAATTTTCAATTCTAATTTTTTTTATAAATTTAAAAAAGAAAATAAAAAATGCATAAAAATATTCAATTTGAATATCAAAAAGCCCGTCATTTAAATCCCCGTTCACAAATTACAAAAAATTATAAATCGTTAATATATCTCCAGTCTCAGTCATAATCAATAAAGCTTTTGCAATAAAAAAGTAAATAACCTTCACTAGAAAGTACATCTTCTAATCGCTCTTTTCTAATTTTTTGATCATTACAATTAAACCAATTATCTCTTTGATGGCGAACATAACAAGTGTACTACAAAAATATTAACAAGATTATTTTTAAATAATGGAAATTTTGGAAAGAATGACGATAAATATCGGGCTTGAAAATTTAACTAAATTATTCCTACCCCATTCAATTTAAAATTATTTAACTAACATGTCCACTTTCTGTAGAACCAGTATGGTTAACAACAGCAAAAAGTGAATATCTTTTTAAATTCAAAATAATTAAAAAAGAAATTTTTTTAAACAACTTACTGATTACTTAAAGATGTTAATTTTTGTCTAGTTTGTCTCATTTCTTTACTACATCCTTCATGAATATTCCTGTAAGGTGTTGTATATGGAGTTAAATCCTTTAAAAAATAAAATATTTTTTAAAAAATTAACTTAATTTACGATAGATTCTGGAAAACGAAAAGGTTTAATTATTTTTTGTCTTTTATTTGAAGTATTAACATGTTCAAAACGTTTTAAATGGAAACAAGCAACAATTGGCAATTTTCTTAAAGTTAATTGTTTTGTTGATATTTCATAAGTACCACAACGTTCACATTTAATTTTTGTTCCCAAATTTTCTGCTCGGACAAAACTTTAAAAAATTAATTCTTTTTTTAATTAAAAAATAAATAACCTTAATAAACATTCTTCTAAAGATAATTCATTTTTATTTTCCTCATTATTTAAATTAGATATAAAAGTTTTTGTTGTTGAACATAAAGAATTACTTCCAACAGATTCACTTCTTCTATTTTCTTCTTCTTTTAATTTTTCTGTTAATGTTTCTTCTCTAATTGTTGTTGTTGCTGCTGTTTTTCCATTTAATAATTCTAAAGAAATATCCCAATATGGATCTAATTTTGTTGAAATTCTTCTTTAAAATTTTTAAAATTAATTTTTATTTTAATTTAAATAGAACCCGCATTTTGTGCATGTTAAATCAGATTGTAATTGCCCAGTAAATAAACGATCGATTATACATTTACAATCATGTGGATTTTGTTTCATTGAAAGACCTTTAGGTAAAATTTAAATAAATAAAAGATTTAAAGAGATTCTATTCCTTTTATTGTCTAATGACTAGGGTTGGGCAAAACATACAAATGCATGGTTTGTTCCGGATATGCTTTGAAGTATATCTTCCAAAGATTTGGAAGACAAAGGATTTGTGGGTATTAAGGGGGCTTCGGTGGATTTCGGCGGCTAATAAAAAGTAAAAATACTTTCAGAATGCCTATGTAATATATTTAAAGCTGATATAAGAAATTCATGTGCATCATGTTGTTCATAACCAGATAAATGTTTTGCATGCGTCCAGACCTTGAAAATTTTACTTATATCTATTTCGTCAAAAAACTAGCGGCGTAGCCAAGGGATCGGTTCCAGGAGGAAACCTTTGTCAAAAAGTTTCCAAAATTTTAGAGTTCCAAAAATTGCAGAATTCGGCTTGAAACCTACGAAAACGGCCCGCTCAAAAAATCTAAAACAAACCAAATGTAGCATCCTATTTGGTACAAAAGGAGAATAAAGACTTTCACCACCATAAAATTCCTTAAAAAATATTTAAATTTTTAAAAAATTAAAAAATAAACTTGGAATATATGTGATAACTCACACATCAAACAAGTATTTAAATCAGAATTTGGTGTAAGAGAACAGAGTTTACAGTTATGTTGATCTAAATATTAATTAAAAAGATATAGAAAAAATGAGATTAAATGGGGAAAATTCTACAAAAATTTTAAATTAATTTTTCTTAGAAAATTAATTTTTTATATTTTGACCAAATAATTATAAAATTAAAAAGGGAATGGTTGTAACAATTTGATCAATTGTCCATTCTCAATTTCTCACTAAATAAAATATACACAGAACCTGAAAGAAAATAATCTCTAAGCATTGGAATGTGAACAAGTGTTTGTATAATACCTAAAAAAATATTTTAATTTAAAAATAAGACAAAATATCCCCCAACTATTCATAAAACAAGTATTTCCCAAATTTACAAGTCCTCTCAATCCAGGAATTGATAAAGTCCCTCCAATTGATTGTTGAGAATTTCCAGAATTATTTGAATTCAATAATCGAAGTAAACGAAGAGAACTTCGTCTACAAAGACGCGCTTCATAACGACCAGGATTCCAACGATGTTGAAGACTTAAACCTAACAATTTCCTTCTCGCATTTTGATATTCACTAAAAATTAAAATTTTAAATTATTTAAGAAAAAAAACCTTCTAATTTTTTCAATTTTTCTGTCATAAATAAAATCATCACATTTTAAACAAAAAATCTCTCCAAAACATGTTGACATAGCTTTAAATTAATTTTAAAATTAAAAATAAATTTTAAAGAAAGAAAAACCAAATAAATGTCCTTTTTCTTGTAAATGTGCATTTCTTAAATGTTTTAAACATCCAAATGTTGAACAATCTAAACAGCACATCATTAATGGATTTAATCGAGTACCACAACAACGACAAAGAACTAACCAAGCCTGAAAATAAAATTTGGTAAAATTTCGGTATACGACACAGAAGCCGAACAAGTCGAATGATATGTCATTCGAAAGAGCTCGTCGAGCTGAGTCGAATGACACCAAAATCAACGAAATCCGACTTGATTGGACAAAGTTATGATCTTTTATTTTAGCTCCTTACCTATGGCGTCTGAGGAGATTTTTGCTGCTACGGAGGCCCCAAATACGTCCAGAGCAAGGGAGATAGGAATAGGTTTATGTTACGAGCCCAGACCCAGCGCCCGTAGACTCCCCGCGAGGCGCGTGCCGCAAAACCCCGCGCGAAGCGCGGGGTTTTGCACAAGCGCCTCGCCTACGCCCCATAGGTTTAGGTTTTAGTTTTTCTATCGTAACTTTGTCCAATCAAGTCGGATTTCGTTGATTTTGGTGTCATTCGACTCAGCTCGAGGAGCTCTTTCGAATGAGCTATTATTTGCATATTCGAATTTTTTACCCCAAAAAAGTGCTTGGTCCCCCCTTTGGTTTTTCGATTTTCGGGGGCCTATATCTCAGCCCCTGTATGAGTCCGCACGAAAATTTTTTCACCATTCGACTCAACTCGACGAGCTCTTTCGAATGACATATCACTCGACCTAATCGGCGTCTGTGTCGTATACCGGAATTTTTCCTAAAATTTTATACAAAAATAAAATAATTTAAACTTTAATTTTATTATTTTGTTTAGTTGTTGGGAAAACAATTCTTTTATATAATAAATCACATTTACGAAGAATTGACACTTTTTTCTTTGCAAAATGTATACAAGAACGCATGTTTATTTTGTTAATTATTAATTTTTATTAAATCTAAAAATTCAATTTATGTAAGAAAAAGGAAAAATGAGGGCTCCCGTACAGAAGACCGACTGATTAAAAGACCGCCACTGTGAAAAAGCCAGTTCTTTTAACCCTTGTTAGCCGAATCGGTCTTTTACCCAGCGGTCTTTTGTACCTGAACGAAAATGAGCCAGCGGTAAATCTAACAAATGCAAGATGAAATAAAAATTAATTCTATCTGCTGCTAGTTACTTTATAATTTCAAAACACATGTGAGATAGTACAGAAATATTTAATTTTCAATAATAAAAAGTATCGAAACAAAGAAATCTTCGAAAAGTATTTCGCCGACCCCAAACTTTGTTTTTCTGTCATAACTTTGTCAAAATTTATTCAATCACAGTAATTTTGGTGTCATTCAACTCAGCTTGCCGAGTTCTTTAGAATGATTCTTCTGTTAAGAAACAAAAACCCCTTATAAGTCACAATATTTTCCGGGATGTTTAGTATTCTTGTGTTAGGTTAACTCAATTAATGTAGGCGCTGAATTTAGAATTAAAAAACTCAGCCTGGGAAATAGAAGATCGGAAGTGACCCGGATAGTCTTGTGAAAAAATTTTTGCGTACATTCTATATTACAATTCCTATAATTTCTTGACACAAACGATATTTAAATGAGGTAAATTTTAAAAATATTAGTGAAAATACTACATAAAATATAATACAATAATAAAAAAATATACACCTATCCATATAATTATGTATTTGTGACATAAAAAATGGGTACTATCGCAAGCCTGACTGGTTCAATTTGTGATAACCAAAGAATCCTCTTATACCCTTGAGCATTTTTAGAAAATAGTCAAAATTCGTCATAAAAAATAAAAATGCAGGGTCAATAATGCGATAATACCAAAAATTAAAAATATAAATTTCGAGATTAAATTAAAATAAAAAGTAGCAAATTTTTTAAAATTTTCGAGTTTTTTGCACCTAAGGAAAATAATTATTAAATAAATGCATGAAATAATTAGAGAAATATTATTATTTAAATTAAAGGCGAGAGACAAATGCTGCAACAGAGGTTGATGGAACTGAAGTGTTTTGATTAGTTGTTGTTGTTGGTCGAATTGTTTCAACTTTGCTGGTTAAAACAGAACGGCGAGAACTTTGTTTTTGTGAATTATTTAAATTATTATTAGTTAAAAATCTTGAAGGAATATTTAGTTGACTACGAGGACGTAATTCATATTTACAATTTGTTTGGTGTGATAAAGGACCGTCAATTGGCGACCGAAATTTTGAAGAGGAAGAATCATCTTTTAAAAAATTGATTTTTAAAAGGTAATTTATTTTTTAAACCTAATATTTTTGTAGTAGCTTGTTTTGTATTTGCATTTATTTTTGCATATTGTCTAGTTAATGCCCGATCAAAGGAAGAGGCTGCTGTCGACGAGGATGTAGCGGTTGTGCCTGAGGGAATTCTTAAAATTTATTTTTTCTTTAAAATTATTTCTAAATTATTTAGAAAAGAATTTTCTACTAAATCTTAAACATTTTAAAGGAATATATTTTAAATTTAAACAAACCTTCTAATCCAACAGGTAAATATGTCTTCACAAAACGAGAATTACTTTAAAATAATTAAAAAATAAATTTAAAAAAATTATTTATTTACCTAAAATGTATTCTTCTTGGAATTGCAGAATTACTAGATCTAACACCTCCAATTGTATAATTATCAAAATTTGTTGAAACTGAGACTTTTTTAATCTTTTTTAAAGAAAAAAATATTTAAATAATTTTAATTTTTTAAATTACAGGTATTTTTGTATTCAAATTTTTTCCAATTCCTCCACAAATTTTTTGATTTTTTAGAACTTTTCTAGAAAAATATTTCTTTTCATTTTCCTTTTTTAAAATATTTTCTTCAATTTTTATTTTATTTTCAATTTTTGACGGATTTGTTGTACTCAATTTTAATTGTTTTATCGGCGTTGTTGTTAGTGATGTTTGAGGAGGGGGAAATGACAATTCTTCTTTTTTATATTCCAAAATGGTATTAACCTTTTTTTTAATTATTTTTAATAAAAAAAATTAATTAATTAAAAAAAACCTCAAAACTTTCAGGTGAACGATTAGTTAAAATTATTTCATCTCTTTCACCCACAGATTCTTCACTTGATCTTAATCTACTATTACTCCTTCCAAAATTTTGTTTAGACGATTGACGATGTTGTCTTGCTGCTTTAATTTCACATAAACGATCACCTTGGCTTTTACCTTTTTCGTCATCCTAAAAAAATATTTTTTTTATTTGTATAAATTAAAAAAACCTCTTCTTCAAAAGTTTTTCTTTCATTCCACAATTGTTTATTATTAATAAATTCTTTTTCATTTTTAATTATTTCTTCTTTATTTTTGGAGGAAAATGTTTCATCATTATCCTCTTTTTCTAAAGAAATTTGTTTTTTATTTTCACGTCCCAATTGCCAACACCAGGATTGTTTTTCAATTAAAAATTGTTGTTGAGGTCCAATTACTTTAAAAACAAAATTAAAAATATTCTTTTAATTAAAAAAACAAACCTGAACCGGGCCTACAAATTCGTAACCAACCCTTTAAAAAAATAAAAATCATTATTAGAAAATATAAAAATATACCATGCATTGTGGAGCTGTTAATCTAAAATTCTTCATCATCCAACAGGCAATTAAAGTGCCTGTCCGGCCAAGTCCCGCCTTTAAAAAATTAGACGAATTTTTTTAATTAAAAACCTTGCAATGAACGGCAACCGCCCCTTTAGCATTATCCACAACTTCAATAAACTTCAAAACAATATCATCACTCGGAGTAGTTCCATCAATAAAGAAAAGATCGTGATGATCAAAACCCGCTTTTGTAAATCTTTAAAGTTTAAAATTTAAAAATACTTTCTTATAAAAAAGACCTAGATGCTTCATATATTTTTCTATTTAATCTAATAATTGTTGTTACTCCATTTTTATTAAAATAATCAAAATAAACTTCAGGTGAATGATATGGGTAACCTTTAAATTTAAATTAATGTAAACTTAATTTTTAAAAAATAACCATTATCTGTTGTATATGTTTTGTCATGGGGACCACAAAAACTCAAAACTTTTTGAGGAATTATCCAATTTAAATCGCCATTCTCTACTTTTTCGTAAAATTCGTATTCGTCTGGATCAAAATTTTCAAAATTTAGCCATCTAAATTTTAATGCTTTTTCGACTGATTGAATGACATGCTAAAAGAATATTCTGTTAAAGTTTTGAACAAAATGTTCAATTTAAAAAAATTTAAGGGCACAACTACAAAAATTAACTAAAAACATTTTAAGGGTTTTTTGGGGAAAACAATAAATTTATATACCTGTACATGAAGTAAATATAAAGGAAATCCAACTGAAGCATCACGAAATCCATTATATCGAGGAGGTTCAGCAGCTTGTAATCGAAGATATGCCTGTTCTGCACTACAGTTTTTGAAAATAACCTTTAAAAATTAATTAAATAATAAAAAATATTTTTCAAAAAGAAACCAAATAAGCGGCAATTAAATAGGCAGCATTCACTCGGTTTGCTTGATCCATACTTGTAAAGAGAAATACCCGTTTATTTTCATTTTTCTAATTAAAAATATTAGAGGATTATTTTTTTAGAAATTTACTTCAAGTAAAGAATCCAAAAATTCACAAAAACGATAAAGCACTGACAAATTAACTGGACCAAAATCATCATAAAAGGCATCTAAATTTTAAATAAAATTTTAATATTTATTTAATTCAAACCATAATGAAGATGTTCTTCAATATCTAAATATATTGTTTTTTCATCATCATCTGGAACATTAAAATTGAGGCCGTAAGACGTGAAGTAAAGGCGACCCGATATAATTTGTGCAATTGCTGAAGATTTGTCTTCATCATTATTACTTTCTGGACTAGTAGTTGTTGTTGTTAATGTCATTTAATTATTAAATTAATTAGTTATTATTAAATTATATCTAATTGTAAGTCTGTTATTATTAATTATCGGACTAAAAAATTTTTTTATTAAAATTTCATAATTTTAACATTAAAAAAGGTGAAAGGCGGAATTCCACTAAAAAATACTGTCTATGTAAGAATTAAAAAAAAATTAACCTCGGTTTTTTCGGTTCAGCCTCCATCTAAATTAATATTAAAAATTTGGTACTTTTCCGTTATGTGACCGCACTTTAAAAATGTTTAAAAAGGGTCATGAATATGGGCAAACTAAATAAAAACGAATTTTGTACCTTTTTTAACCCCAAAATACGACATTAAGAGCCGAAAAATCAAGTAATCAAATTGAAAGCTTATTTGAAAAATTAATCGAGTTGAGTTCAGTGTTTGGAATTACACTGAGAGAAATAATTAAAAACAGTTTAATGTGAAGTTTGAATTTTTCTAACCAACCTACCTAATTAAAATCCAAACTTTACTAAATTTAATAATAAACATTAATGTTTTCAAAAAAGTGCTAATCACAATATCAATATAAAACAATTGTTCTAATTGATTAAATGACGATGATCGAATGCAAGTTCTATCGAACACATGAGAATAACAAGAAAAATAAGAGTAACCGAGAACAAATGTTCTTTACGTAAATAGTTTGAACGAATTGTCCATTTTTTGCTAATTTTTTACTCACACGGAATGAAAAAATTAAAATAAAAAAAAGTAGGTAGATTAATAAAAATCTCTTTAGAAAAAATTATTCAAATAAAATTTTATTAAGAATTCAGTATTTTCATTAATATTTATATATAAAAACATTTCGTAGTATTTTAAGTCTTGGTCAAACATTTATATATGAAAAAGTGGTGATTGTTGGGGAAGGATATGGGGAAGTACTTCTTAGATTTTATTAAAAATGTTTGTTTTGTTAAGTTCAAGTTCGAGAGTCAGTAGTGGTTTTGTTACTTTATTAATACCCCCCCCCCCCCTATTTAGTCTCAGATCAATTTTCTTTTTATTTTTTTCTGCCAAATTTCCTTCTTTATAAACGTTGATTTTTTCCGTTACCTAATAATTTGCTCTTTACTTATAAATGTTTGAGGGAAAAAATGACTGATCTCAGACTCAAATAGAGATGGGGGCGATTTAATAAAGTACCGTGGTTTTGTTAGAAAATTGGAAATATAACAAAAGGAGAAGAACCAGAAATGGTCAAATAAACAACGGCATGTAAAGCCGAACCAATAAATTAATTATAAAATTTAACAAAAAATGTAAAGTTTTTTTGGTATAAATGCCGTTGTTTTAAGAAATAACATTATTCAAGCCCAAAAATCCATTTTTACCCCGAAAAATCTAAATTATTGGCGTTTCCCATATAAATGATTTTTTGTATAATTCCTCCGAATAAAAATTGATTTGGATCGAAAAATCAGTCCTCCTCATCAACGCCTATAATTGAGAGAAAATATGAATATAAGCACATACATAGTATATCAAAAAATAAACACAAAAACATCTCATCACATAATGAATGGGTTTGTGTTAGCAGAACCACCACGCGAAGCAGCAGAAACCGGCATCAAATTATTCATGTCGACTAGTTTAGAAAATGCTTCATCCAAGGTTCGCACACGGCCAGGCTCGTCCCATTTGAATTGCTCATTGCTAAAAGAATTTTTTTTATTTAATGGTCACACTATAAATTTGTGATTAAAAACCTTTCCCTTGCGCTTCTCTTATTAGACATTGCAGCGGCCGGCTGAGGAAATAAACCATCCACCGGAACAGCACCATTTTGTCCACCATTATTTATCACTGCCGCTTTATGGTCGTTAAAAGCCGTAGTAAAAGAGTCGCCAAAAGGATCATCCATTTGTGGAGCAATAACACCAGTAGAAGGAAATGAAGTTTGCCAACAATTATTGTAATCAATTGTTGAAGTATTGACAGAATTGTGATGATGATGACCATTCAGAGAAGCAATATTTGCAGATGTAGCTGAAGAAAATGGATCCTCAGGAAATGGATTTATTGAGAAAATAGGAGGATTATTTTGTTGCGATAAATTATTAGTTTCCAATGGTTGATAATTGTCATTTGATGGAAAAATTGAAGATAAATTATTCCCATTAATAGATGATGTCCCATTACTATTAAAGTCACTAATCTGAACAGATCTTTGAATAGGCAAACTTCCATTAGAAGATGAAGACAAGTCAAAAAGCGCTGCAAAATTTACTTTAAATTAAAAGAATTATTTAAAAGGAAAAATACACCCATAATTTGAGATTCATTTCTAATTTGGTTAGCCACTGAATGAAGGCAACAACTCCCATCCCCACGAAAAATTTTTTATTCAGTGGTAGATCACTGAATGAAGGCAACAACCCCCATCCCTACAAGTGGCAATACCCATTATTTTAGATACATTTCAATCTTACATAAAAATTTTTAGTCCCCAGGAACGAATTAAGACAAAAAATTTTTTTTTACAAATTTTTGTCGGATTATCATTTAATAAGCCAATATTTCCTCCACCATTATGTTGTCGACTATGAACACTTCCATTAACTGCAACCGGCGGCAACCATCCAGTAAAGAAATCATCCTCTGGATGTGCAGGAATATTACTAATTTGTTGAACTCCTTGATGAATTATATCAACTTCTTCCTCCAAATTAAGTAAATCAGCTACAGCTACATCATTTTGACCAGAACTATCTTTAGTCGAACAAACACCATTTTTGTCATAAGAATTAGCTTCACGTTCAGCATTCTAAAAATTTTAACAATTAAAATTTTCAACCGGCACTTTCCTTGCTAAATTTTATTTTAAAATGGAAGGTTAGAATTTTCCGTTACCAAACACTTTCTTTTGCTTATTTATTCAAATTAATTTTAGAAATATATTTAAAACTCATATTTCATAAATTAATCAAACCCTTAAAAAAAGAATTTTTAGAATGGTTCTGTTAAAATTTAATGTTTAAGAAAATAAAATAAACCGTCAAATTTTCCTGTTCTTCCTGCTTTTTCTTGGCCTCCTCAAATTGTTTCTTCTTCATTTCAAAGACAATTTGGAACATATCCTTAAATTAAAAAAAGTAAACTTTACATAAAAAAAGAATTAAACCAAAAATTACCCGAATTGAAAGAACAGCATGATCAGAAGTCTGAGCAGTTTTTAAAGCATAAAATTTATGTTTTCCATCAGATGTTCCAAAAATAAAGCCAAATGCGCGTGCGTCAGTAGTATCACGAGCAATAAATGAAACTTTGCCAACAGGAAAGTTGTAAAGAACAGCCTAAAATAAAAAAATAAAAATAAATTTTTTAATCAAAAAATAAACCCCAGATTTCTCGTCACGTAATTTCAGCCCTTCTAATGAAATATTTAGCACCACTCTTGTCTTGTGAGAACCGCTAGCCTTGACACTAGCTTTTGCCAAACGCATTGCTTCAGAACATAATGCATCACCTCTAGCTTCGGCTACGTCACGTTCACCAATAAATTTTGCTTTAAAGTCAACTCCAGAGCCTTGAAATCGAAATGGGTCGCTGTTTGGGCAAGAAGAGACAACAGTTGTATCTTGAATAAATATTAGAAAGTGATTTCTCTGATGTTTTTAACGATTAGCTGAAAACGAAAAAATTCCAACCAAGTTTACTTAGCTTTGGAACATGTGAAAAAACATACGAGGAAATCCAAGAGAACGAGTTAATTGAAAAAGTTTAGGCATTTGCGGAGCAATAACACCCATCTTTGTAAATTAACTTTGCTTTGATTGTTCAAGCTTGTTGAATTTTTAAGTAATTAGTCGTCAACAAAGAAATATGTATATGCGAACACAACGAGAACTAATCTGTTTAAAAAAGTAAATACATGAAAAAGATTTATAGTATTTAATTTTAAAAATGAAAACTCGAAAGAAGCATGATTCATGAAAAATAGGAATTTCAGAAGACAAAGCCTAAAGTGCATGTAACCAGCTTACGAGAATCTTGGGAAGGTATCACGACTTTTGCGCCGAGAACATTTGCGCCGCGACTTATGCGCCGCGACTTTTGCGCCGGACGACTTTTGCGCCGCGACTCTTGCGCCGCGACTTTTGCGCCGGGCGACTTATGCGCCGCGACATTTGCGCCGCCATTGTTTAAAAAATCCGGATCCGAAAAATGCCGGATATCCGAAATTTTCAGTTCGGATATCAGATCCGAAGATTTCCAACCATTCGACAACCCTACTAAAGTGAGGTCCGGCTGTAGTTATTGATATATTTTTAATGATAGTGGCGGCGCAAAAGTCTCCCGGCGCAAAAGTCGCGGCGCAACAGTCCCCCGGCGCAAAAGTCGCTCGGCGCATAAGTCGCGGCGCAACAGTCCCCCGGCGCAAAAGTCGCTCGGCGCATAAGTCGCGGCGCAACAGTCCCCCGGCGCAAAAGTCGCTCGGCGCAAAAGTCGCTCGGCGCATAAGTCGCGGCGCAACAGTCCCCCGGCGCAAAAGTCGCTCGGCGCATAAGTCGCGGCGCAAAAGTCGCGGCGCATAAGTCGCGGCGCAAATGTTCTCGGCGCAAAAGTCACGGAACCCTTGGGAATTATTACGGCTCGAGAACTGTCACTCTGAACCGGGTGACTAATTTTTTATATGAGTCCGCCCCAAAAGACCTACAGCCAAAAGACCTACTGACACAAGGCCTACAAATTTTTAAAGCGAATATCGAGGGATTTAGAGGGCTTAAGAAGAGTCCCTTGACCCAGCTCTATGAAGATAAGTACCCGGTATGTATTTTAGAACCAATGGTGCCGTATTTTGTGTGTGTACCATAACTCTGGGTGGTAGAGATCATTATTCCCTTCAATCATACTAAATCCATAGATATCCTCTTATTCCCTCCAAATCCGTTGATATTCTCTTTTGATATTCGCTTTCAAAAGTTGTAGGGTGTATTTTTCCAAAATGGGGAGGTTTGTTCCAACAACAGCCTTCCACCATATCCGATCCTGGAACAACATGTTGGACGTTGTTTGAACAACATCCCCCGTCTTTGGAACAACCTTCTCCGTCGCTGGAATGGAACAACCCCCCCACCCCCCGTTCTAACAACCATATCCGATGCTGGAACAACATCTTCCCTGTTTAACAAGTTCCCCTTTGTTGTCTAGGATTTTGTAAATACTGTTCAGTAGTGTCAGCTGGAAAAAATCATTTTCCCGGGTCTATCGGATTTCATACTCGACTGGTTTCGGCCGGATTTTTCGGAATTAATCATATCCTATTTTAGTCTTGTAAAAATAATTTCTGGACTACGGCTGGAGTTACTCGATTCCGGATCGGACTCCATGTTTTTCAGGATTTAATAATTTCAGACAAGTCAGGAAATTTTCTAATGGAAATATTCAGATAAAAGAGAAAGTAAATCTACTATTCAGTTTACTCGTATAAATTTTTAAAATTTAAAAATAAATAAATAGAACATTTAAATTAAAAAAAAGAAAACAAGAATTAATATTAAAATAAAACAAAAATTATGTAAATTTTGTTTTTAAATCCTATCAAGATTAAATGTAATATGAGCGATAATATTATATTTATTTATTTTATTTCCCAACCAAAGTTCGTATTCAGCCCTACAGTTATTTAGAGAGAAATTAAAAAAGAGGGGAGGGGGGAATTAATTTTTTAAATAAAAAAGTGTATAAATAAATAAACATTCCCCGTTATTTATAAAAAAAAATTTTTTGATTCTTCGAAATATAATAAATATAATTTAATAATCGAGATTGTGTATTTACAATTCTTGAAAACCGTATATTTTTGTTAACAAAGGACTTAATAATTAAAGAATATGGGGAGGGGGTTAATTGTAATAATAATTTAAAGTTTATTATTGCAACTTTAAATTGTAATAATAGAGTTCAGGCTTTAATTCAACTTATTATTTACTTTCGAACCTGGGCCCAGGTTCGAAATCTAAAAATACGAGTTCCATGCTTTCCTAGGTTTTAGTCAAGATTTAGCTAAGTGGTGTGTATAATATGTATTTTGAGCATTTTAGATTCATATATGTACATACTTTGCCATTTCACTAGCCAATCCAAAAATGTTTATCCTTCCTTAATTACAAATTACCTACTACCTACATACATATTATTTAAACAAATTTTTACTTAAAAAATCAATATTTCTTCCAAAAAAAATAATTATTCTGCTAATGTTGGTTAAAAGAAATTTTAAAAATAAAAATTGAATTAATCTTAAAATAAACTTGCCAAAAAAGAAAAAAGAGAAAATGGAAAAAAGAGAGAAAAAATAAAATAAAAATATAGTTGTGATTAGAAAATCTTTTTAATATATACACAAAAATTGTGGCTAAAAATTTGGACTTTTTTTTTAATTTGCGCGAGTTATTAATCATTATTGCATTTATCATGACACATTTTTAACACAATTTTTACCCGTGAAAATAAAATCTAAATAAAATTAAATTGCAAAATTAATTTAAAAATATTTTTTTGTAAAATTTTGGAGATTTAAAAATTGTCTTTTCCTTTTTTTAGAGATTTTCTTTCAAAAAAAAATTAAGCAATAATTATTTAAAGAAATAATTTTAAACTTTTCCTTCAAAATTTAAATGATTAATTAAAAATTAAAAAACAAACGTCAGCGAATATTTTCGAGAAAAAGTTTAAAAAATAATTTATTAAATAAAAAAAATATTCTAAATTTGGGTATTTTCTACAAAAAATATATATTTTTGTATTTATGTAAATATTTGTAAAAAAATAATTAAAAGTCAAAATCTACTTGCTCTTTTATTTTTTTAAATAAAAGTCTCCATATTTAGTCACATTTTCGGGTCCTTGAGCAAAAAATCTCAAAACCGGTTTTTATTTGGGTGTTTAGTATATTTTATAAGAAAATTCGCCATTTATTCAGCATATTTTTTTAATTAATTTTTATAGGTAATTATTATTATTTTTTGGATTTACCCTGCTACAATTTTATCAAGAATAAATTGTTTAAATTTAAAAATGTTGGATTAAAAATTGCAAAAACTTACCCAATAAAAATTTATACAGAAAAAAACCTTTTTCCTTTATTCTTTTTAATAAGAAAATCTTAAAATCGGCCTCCTTAAATTTTAATTTCAATTTTTAGTTAAAGTTTAAATTTGACTAAAAAAAGGTTTTTCTCGTCAACCTAAACTGTTTAAATAATAAATTTAAAATGAAATGTTTAGTAATTCCTTTACAAATTCTTTCTACTTAAAAAATAACCTTGAAAAACTCTCCCCTAATTAATTTACTTTTAAAAACAAAGAAATAAATACGTATATGAAAGCTTTCATAACTCAAAAATTAAAGATTTTTATAAAAATCGTTAAAAATAATTATTAAATTATTTTTATAATTTAACGAAAATAAATATTCCCAAAAATAATCAAAAAATTGAAGGAACTCCGGAATTTAATGGTGAAAGGAAATAGAAAGAATAAGAATTTATTTGCGCATATTAAAAAAAGAATTAGGTCGTTATTTATTCTTTAATAGAAATTTTTGCAAAAAACAAAAATAAATTATTGGTAATATTTTTATAAAAAAAGTTTTAATTTAAATTTTCAAAACAAAACAACAAAAATCACCCCAAATAAATTAAACATGCTAAAATTTGTTTTTAAATATTTTGTTGCAGCAATGGAAAACTAACTACATATAAATTGTGCGGAGCAGTCTTTACAGAGGGGTGTAAAAGCTTTTTATTTATAAAAATGCGCAAATGTCTGTCGCTACTCTTATATTTTGTGATCAAAAGAAAATTTATGTGAATATATACAAAACAAAAATATTGATCCTCAAAGCTGTGCAATGAGCGCGAAAATGTAACACATGATCATTACAAAAGGAAAATATTGGAAATTAAAAAAATTAGAGGAGGGGGGGGGATTATCAGATATTTTTTGAAAATTTATCAATTTCTTCAAATAATATTCTAAACTTTCTGGAAAAGTCTTAACGAAAGTAGTTTTTGCAAAAATAATTTTAATCTCTCAATTTGAACAAAATATTCTGTCCAAAAGAAAATAAAATTAGCATTATAACCAAGTAAAATATTTATAAACGTGAAAATCAAAGTTAAACAAAATTGGGTGAAAAAATAAAATTGGAGACAAAAAAAAAATAAAGTGAAATTGGTGATGGAAAGTGAGAGTCTCGATGCGACATTTTTTTAATTTTAAATTATAAAATGGCATAAAATTAACGAAAAAAATGTAAACATTTCTAATTTGAGAATAAAACGTACTAACAATAAGTATTTATAAGAGCTGGAGCAGCAGCAACTTGAGGCAAAGAAGTAGAAGCATCGGTAATATTTGGTTCAGCGAGAAAAAGCTTAAAATTGAATTTTAGGTATGTTAGGTAGGAATAATTTTAAAAATTATATTTTTTCCCTATCGCTTACTAGGACGAAAAGTTCTAATTCTTCTCATTTTTTAAAAATAAAAAATAAAGAATTTACCGCATGGTTATCAGCTAATGAAACGCTAATAACACGAAAATTGTCCAAATGTGCAGAATGAATTTTACGTGGAGTAGGCACAACTTTCTCGTCATCATCTTTAATTCCCAATCCAAGTTGACCAACAGTATCACATCCAAATCCATAAACATTACCTCAAAATAAATTCAAAAATAACTTTCAATTCTTTTTAAAAAATACCATCATCAGTCCAAAAAATAGAAGCACCAAGTGTTGCATCTATTCCTGCCGCTCGAACATTTTCAGGTAATGTAATTCGTTGGAGCGTGTCATAACGCCAATGCTTAAACAGAACAATTTAAAAAATTAAAAAACACTAATCAACCTGATCATCCTGATTTCCTTCCCAAGTACCAATACCAAGTGCATTGTCTGTATTTTTTCCAATTCCATACAATTCACATAAAATTAAAATAAATATAAAATTTAATTGTAAAATAAAAATTACCATCCTCATTACGACAAACAATGTGTTGGACCCCTGATACATGAGACCAAACATGTTCTGGCTGAAATGCTTGTGCCCAAGTAAGTAATGCAACCTTGTTAACTTCTTTTTGTTCAGGAACATTTCCATTTTCATCTCCATTTTTAAATTCCTCTTTTTTCTCATTATTACTATCATCCTCGCTTTTTTGAGGTTTCATTTCTCCATCCGTTTTTTCATCGGTATCTGGATCTTGGGAAGAATCTTCACTGCTATTTTGATTTGCAGAAGAAACATTTAATTGATTAAGTGCTTTAAAAATAAATATTAAGAAATATAACTCTTTTATAATGATTTTTTACAAATTTCCATGCTTTCAGATGATTGTTTAAAAGAATTTGTTGTCGAAGTATCTGCCCCCTGTTGATCTCTATTTTTTTCTTTTCTTTGCTGATCTGAATCAGAACGTCGTCCTCGACTTCTTCCAGTTTTCTTTTCATTTGCAGGTGTTGCAGTTACGCCCAATTGACCAAAATTGTTTAAACCGCAGGCAAAAAGACGTCCATCTTCTGCTCGAGCAATAGTCCAAAATCCATTGGCCCAAACGTTAACAAATCGAATGAATTGATGTTTTTCGAGTACACGAAGGATTAAAGAGGTGCCTGATTGATCGACCATGAACTTCGATCTAATATGTTCTGTACGCGTAGAACGGCCAAGTTGGCCCATAGATCCTTCACCAAAAGTAAGAAGTTCTCCATCCGAGGAAAGCATTGCCAAATGATTCTCTCCTGCAGCAATCTGAATTTCTTAATTTGAAGAAACGTTGAAAAAAAGTATTTACAAACCTTAACAATATGCCATTTTTGTCTGCTTTTGTGTTTAATGACCACAACTGGTTTCTTTTGGATATCCTTGAGCATTTCATGGACATTCACTTCACCTTGCGTGTCCTTAAATTCTTAGAATTAAAAATTTTTTCTAAATATACTCTAAGATTCCCCCAAGCGATAACTGAACCCTTCTCTGTTAAAGCAGCAGAAAAACTAGCACCAGCAGTGACTTGAACAATCTAGTTAAAATAATTTTTCATCAATTAAAGAAATAAAACCTTTCCCAGACGCTTAATTTCTGGTGAGAAGACAATTTCACTAAATCTATCAGTACTTCCTTCAGCTTCAAGACCATGAACTGGTACAGTGCCCTTCTCATTAATTCCACAACTAAAGACAGCACCCTCCGTGGTAAGCACAAGAGAGTGGACACCACCAGCAGCGACCTAAAAAGTTGATTAGAATAACCAGCGCTAAGGAACACTAAAAAGCAAAATGGTTGGATTTTATTTGGGTCTTCTCTTACATTGATAAAAATTTGGTCCTTATTTATTAGGTCAAAAACACCGGTTTTCGGCTTCAGTTAAACGCGTTTGAACCTCCAAATAAGGAATTCGGTAATCATGAAGAATCTGAGATCCACTTGGTTCAGTATCAGTTCTTCACATTCCAAACCACTGGGTCTGGAACAGTTCCTTACCCTGTTCCTCGAAATTTTTGGAAGTTATAGCCAATTTTAAAAATTTCTGAAAAACGATTATAACTTAAAATTTCGAGGAATAGGTTAACGAACGGTCCCGGACAATGTGGGCGTAGATCCCGAACATGAAGAACAGTTACGGAACCCAATCTTAAAACACATCGAAAAATCGATCTTAATTAAAATCAATGTAATCTAACCGGTAATTGTCCTAAAATGTAATTTGGACGGTAACACATACAAACCTGAACAAATTTAGTTCCATCATCAAAAGTATCAATTGCACGGGGCTTTCTTGTTACATTTCTTCCCGGATGACCTAACTGCTCCCCTTCTCCACAACTGAGAACACGTGTACCTACTTGCTTTGGTACAAATTGATCTATTGAAAGTTGTTCAAATACTTTTCGAGCTAAAATTAAAAAGAAAGCAATTCCAAAAATATAAAATGGGATAAAAAACCTTTTCTGGCAGAACTAGGTGCACTTTTCACTGGTGTAGCTGACGTTTTTCGTTTTTTGCCGTGTCTTGCTGGTGTGCCCATTTTTTGTTTCGATTTTGTCGGAATGCTCTAAAATAATAATTGAGCTCTAAATTTAAGTTGCGTTTTAGGTCCTTTTTCTTTCCCTTATTCCCATATTTTCTTCAGGACACGCCCAAAACAAGGGACACGCCCGAATAGTCGCGCGGCCATAAGGTCACCAAGCCATAACTTGCTTTAAGATTTCCGAATGCTTCAAATTTAGTATTAAATGATTCGTCTCATCGAGCTCAAGAGATTGGTACCAAAATTGATAGGGGCAAGAAATTTTTTAGCAAGTTATGGCTTGGCGACCTTATGGCCGCGCTATTATTCGGGTTGTACCCAAAACGGCTGTACTATAGTATAGGTCCACCGAGATCAGAACTCATAGTATATACCATTCGATTCGTCTCGCCGAGCTGAGTTCAAATATGCAAGAATTTTCTGCGGGAGACGAAAACTCGCAGAGATACAGGCCCACGAAAATCGAAAAAACAAAGGGGGGACCAAGCTGATTTTTGGGGTCAAAAATTCGAATAGGCGAATTATACCTCATTCGAAAGAGCTCGTCGAGCTGAGTCGAATGACACCAAAATCAACGAAATCCGACTTGAATAGACAAAGTTAAGATCTTTTCTTTTAGCTCCTTACCTATGGCATCTGTGGAGATTTTTGCTGCTACGGAGGCCCCAAATACGTCCAGAGCAAGAGATTTAGGAATAGGTTTATGTTACTAGCCCAGACCCAGCGCCCGTAGACTCCCCGCGAGGCGCGTGCCGCAAAACCCCGCGCGAAGCGCGGGGTTTTGCACAAGCGCCTCGCCGACGCTCCATAGGTTTAGGTTTTTTTGTGTCATAACTTTGTCTAATCTTGTCCAATCACGGTGATTTTGGTGTCATTCGACTCAGCTCGACGAGCTCTTTCGAATGAGGTATAATTTGCATATTCGAATTTTTTACTCCAAAATCGAGCTTACTCCCCCCTATGGTTTTTCGATTTTCAATCGCCTGTATCTCTGCAAGTTTTCGCGTCCCGCAGAAAATTCTTGCATATTTGAACTCAGCTCGGTGAGACGAATCGAATGGTATATACTATGAGTTCTGATCTCGGTGGACCTATACTATAGCGACCCCCCCAAAACAACGCACGGCCATAAGAACGCAAAGCCATAACTTGCTTCAAGATTTCCGAATTTTAACAAATTTAGTATTAAACGCTGCCTATCATCGAGACAAAGAGATCGGTACCAAAATTGATAATAGCCAAAAATTTTCCAGCAAGTTATGGCTTTGTGTTGTTATGGTTGCGCGTTGTTTTGGGCTGTACCGATTTTCTTCGCGGGTAGGGGATCATTGTGTACCGGCCGTTTGTGTACCTGGCCATATTTTGGGCCATAACTTTTTCAATTCTTAATTGATTTAAATAAATAATATATCAATTGAAAGCCCTGGATGTGAGGATTATTTTTGCCAACAGGATTGATTTGATCAGATAATCATACAAAAAGTTACAGACAGATAAAGATCAAAATCACGATTGAGCGCATTTATCGAGATATAACTTTTTATAACATGATCTGATCAAATCAATCATGTTGGCGAAAATAATCCTCACATCCAGGGCTTTCGATTGATATAATAATAATTGAAGTCGGTTAAGAATCAAAAAAGTTATGGCCCAAAATATGGCCAGGTACACAAACGGCCGGTACACAAGTGGGACGTTCCGTTTCTTCGCACACCAGAAAAAGGACGATTCAGATCCGCCGATTCAGTGTTTCAGTGTTGGGACGATTCAGAGTATGCCGTTTCAGAGTAGCCTGTTCAGATTACGGCAAAAAGGGGACATTGGGGACCAACATAAATTTTTGGACCAAGAACATCAATTTTTCTTGCGATTTTTCTAGTTTTTCTTACTACGATCTAAAGAACATTCTTAAAGGTGGCCGAGTCTTCACTATAGATTTTTCTTAGGTTTTTTAAACATTAGAGTAAGGTTTTGGTCTCAACTTTTTTCTTCAGGGAACAAAATTTTAATTAAAAAACGAATCAAATTAACAAAATTTATCAAAAAATAATTAAAAATCATTGTTCTCATCTCACTTATTAAATTTGTGGCCCTAAAGAGGGGCATTTGGTTTAAATGTTGGTGAAATTCTATCACACATTTTGTTCCTTCCAAATATGCGTCATGCAGAATACTTCAGCAGCTCAACAGCTCGTTGTAACCATAGAAAAATGAATTTAAAAAATTTAAAAAATTCTAGACTTTAAGGAAACTAAAAATTTCAAAAATCAGAAAAACTAGAGATAGCCCTTGATTTTTCCTTGACTCAAGATCAAGAACCTGGTCAAGGCCCTCCCTTTAAAGTCAAGGTTTTTTTTTTACATATATTTCCGATCTCTAAAAAAACTAAAAAATCGCACAATATGGAGTAGAAAGCTCGTCATTTGGAATTTCCTTATAAAATTTAATAAATTTAAAAAAAGTTTAAAAATTTTAAATTTTTATTAAAAATTATTTTTTTATTTAATAATTGTTGGTGTTTGTGCTGATTGTTGTACTTAGGCGTGTCCCGCGATGATTTTGGTCCATTCAACTCATCATGCTCGAGCACGTCGTTGTAACCCTAGAAAATCGTCGTTGTAACCCTCTTTCAATTTGATCACTTGATTTTTCGTTTCTCAGATTTCTGTGTTTTGAGACGGAAAGAAAGGGTGTTCAAGATCATCACCCTTAATTACACTAAATGACATTTTTAGCGTTAATTTAGAGATGGTGGCTGAAATTAAAATTGTTTTTATTAACAAAAAATAAATCCGCAAGATTTCTACGCAAAGTCCAACAATAAACTATCGATTTTTGCGTGCGCCAGCCTGCTTTTTCCGTGTGCTTTGTTAATTTTCTCGCATTGATTTAAACATCAAACTGAAAAGTATGTAGTTCTAAATATGTGCATATATTGTTTTTTTCTAGTTTTTAGGGAAAAAAAAATTTTTTTTCTAAATATATGTATGTTAGAGCATATGTATGATCAACAATAAAATTTTCAAAGGTTGAATATATGTAAGGTATTGCTCGACAGGGGACGGAATTCCGACGGAAATAATTTTCTTATAACTTTACTTTCATGATTAGTATTCGCGGCAATTTAATTACTGCATAAAATTTCAAACTTTTACAAATTAATTTCTTTAAATTTTTCTTTTTGTAATTAAAAAATAATAAAAAAAACCCATTAAAAACATACATATATTTGTGTGTCCTTTCTTTCTTCTCTTCCTTTTCAATTTAGAACAAGCACATTGAATGCTGAGTCACCATTTTTTCTTTTTCAATCACTTTTTTTTATTTTAAAGTGATTTTGTCATCAACTAGTATAAGGGATAGATTTATCATTTAGAGAGAAAGAAATTAATTTTAAAATTAATTTTAAATTTGCAATAATTTTATTTAAAAAATTTAAATATTTTTTTATTACTGAAAAAATAAAACATTTGTTTTTCAGTTTAAAAATTTTTTTTGTTTGACAACTTTAACATGATCATCATCTCCTTTATTATAAATAAAATGTAAATTAAAAACAATTAATTAATTAACAACAATTTTTTAAATAAAAAAATGAATTATTTATTTCAAAAAGGAGAAGATATTAAATTTAGAGAAATAGCACAACCTCCCATTGAGCCAATTTTAGTGAATGATAAACTTGTTGGCTCTTCTAGGAATGAACAAATAATTAATAAAAATATTGGTTTGAATATTTTTTTTAAAATTGTTCAAATAATCTTTAAGTTCCATTCTCTTCTTCAAATTCTTCTTCCTCTCCTTCCACCCTTTCTGGTTCATTCTCTTTTGGTAATTTGGCTTATTTGCCATCTGTTTCAACATCTACAGATTTTTATGTGCCATCAATTGCAAGTTCTTGCTCAATCGGCGCTTTAGACCAAATTAGATCAACAGAAATAACTAAACTTTTTGATTACCTCTTTCTTGGATCTCAAAAGGACGCTTTGGACAATGAACTTTTGTTGAGACACGGAATAACTAGAGTAATAATATTTTATTTTTATATGAAGCCTTTATGGCAATAAATAATTTATTTTAATTTTTCTGTGAGAAGAAAAGGGAATTCTAAAACTTTTATCACTTACAAAAAATTTTACTTGTTTATAGAACAGATAATTTCTAAAGTATTTTTTATTGTTTTGCTAAAATTTATAAAAAAATTTGGCTTCATCGAAGTATTTAACTTAAAATTCTTTTATTGGTACTACTTCGGTTAATTCTTCGGGTTAGACCCCCCATTTTTTCCTGTTTCCCTTTGCGACCTGTTCTCTTTTTATGGCAAATTATATATCATTCAATTCGGCTCTTCGGACCGAGTCGAATGCCATTAAAATCAATGAAATCTGACTTAATGGACAAGGTTATAATCACTTGATTTAGTGCCTTGCAGCGAGCTCAAAATAGTAAGGAATGCCAAAAAAAGGGTCTAAACCGAAGAATTACCCAACTCCGTTAACCCTACGTGTTTTTGCGGACATTTTCTTCCTTCCCCAAAATGTACTTCTAAAAATTACTTTTTCTAAACAAAAGGTTATCAATCTCAGTGAGAATTGTCCTCGTCCAACTTCACTTCCAGATGATCTCCAACATTTTCTTCGTATCCCGGTTAACGATACTTATTCAGCAAAACTTCTTCCACATTTCGATTCTGCCTACCAATTTATTGGTTATTTTAGTCTAATTTTTTTAGAAAAAATTTTAATTTTTAGAAACTGCAAAACAAGAAGGGGAAAAAGTATTAATTCATTGTTTGGCAGGCATTTCTAGATCGCCAACAGTTGCCATTGCTTACGTTATGCGATCTAGGAAGATGACAAATGATGAGGCTTATAATTTTGTTAAGGTTATTTTCAAAATTGAAATGATTATTTTTGGGGTTATCTTTGTTTGTTCAATTTATTTAAAAATTTACAAACCCCCACAACCATTATTTGATTTTCATTTTTTTACAATTTATTATGCCCAGAATTTTCTTTAATAAAAATTAAAAACAATTCTTTTTTAGTGTCGTCGGCCAACAATTTCACCAAATTTTAATTTTCTTGGTCAATTATTTGAGTATGAAAGGATACTTAGACAACAAAATATTTTACCTTTTAATTCCTCAATTTCTTCGTCCCCCCCAAAACTTTCTTCCCCGCAAAATGAAGAATTAAATGAAATTAAGAAAAAATTAAAAGAAAATTTAAAAAATCCAAATCTTCAACACAAACCCTCACTTCCTCTTAATTCTTCTCTTCCACCAACAACAATGGCAAGACCTAAACATTTATTGACTTCCAAAGAAGATTTAAAAGTAACTTTTATGGATTACCGTAAATGCTCGAATAATTACCCTCTCTCGAATAATTACCCCCTCTTTTTCCTTCTCTAATTTTAAAAATATTGAAAAAAACATTGTCAATTTTAATTATTAAAACATTATAAGAATCAATATCAAAAAATAAATGGATTTCCTCCCTGATTTATTAAGATATATCCCAAATTTAGCACATTCCCTCAATTAATTACCCCCCTCCAGCGAGAGGTCAAAACAATAATTACCCAGGGTAATTATTCGAGAATATACGTTAAGTGTTTATCACACTTCCTTTCCTTTTTTCAGAATTTTCGACATTCCTGCCCTTCAACTACTTCAATTTCATTTTTATTTAAATCTCCACTGCCAAATTCTCCAATTCCTTCACCTTCAAATGAATTTTCAAAATTAGACATTTCCTTTTCCAATCCTTGTTTTGGTTTACAAAAAATGGAAGAACAAAAGATACCTCCTCCTCCTCTCCCTCAACCACCTCCTTCACATCCACCTCTTCCTCTTCCCTCTTCTTGTGATAATAAATTAAAACCAAAAATAATATCTTCAATAGAAAATCCAGTTTTTGATATTCCAATAAAAATAAAAACTTTATCAAAAATAAAAGAAGCAACAATTAATAGTAAAGAAGAAAAAAAGAAAACAAAAAAAGAACGTAAACAAATTAATAGTCACGAACCTTCTTTTGTTTCTTTTTTGGAAAAGGAAGAAAAGTTGGAATTTTCTGGTAATTATTTAATTTTTAAAATTTTTAATTCCTATTGACATTTTATACTCATTGTGGACTTTTATAAGGAAAGTATAGTTGAGATGTGAATTTTGCTTTTTAAATAATCTGGATTTTAATCGGTTATCTTGTCCAAATCCACAACAATTTATTGGGAATTATCAGAGAAAATAATTAAAATAAAAATTTATATAAAATTATTTATAAGGTTATAAAAATTCCCTTTCAACACGTGAATGTTTGGCAGATACTGAAGGGGATGAACTAATTAAATTTGGACCTTCACCTGAATTTGGAATAACTCCAATAACTTTTGATAAAATAAATGAAGAAGAAAATGAATTGACAAATAGAAAAAAGAGAAAAGGAAAAATAATTAGTAAATCTTCTTTAAAGTCTACAAATTTAATTAAAGAAACAAATAATAATAAACAACAACAACAAACTAAAATTAAATTATATAGGTAAATAAATGTTTAAAATTTATTTTTAAATTCAAAATTTAATTTAAAGTAATCAATTTGCAAATGCAACAATTTCTTCAATTCAAAATTTATATAAAAAATTACCTCAACCCCCAACAACTTTATTAAATAATTATTTTAATGAAAATCAAAAATTCCAAACAACAACTTCTTCAAATATTCCAAAATCCTCTTCCTCCTCTCCCTCTCCTTCTTCTTCTTGTTGTAATCACCGTTTATTTCCTCAATTTGGTTGTAGAAAAAGGAATAATTCTGATTTAATTTAACAACAAAAATGTATTCAATGCAGAAAATATTCTTTTAAAAAATCGCCACTTCCAACAATTAATGATGATGAAAAATCGGATGAAGAAGTGGAAGAAGTAAAAGATGAAAAGAAGGAAAAAGAAGAAGAAGGGGAAAATAAGGGAATAATATATTCAAAAATAATTTAAAATTATGGGGAAAATTGTAAATAAATAAATATTTTTAGGGGTATGTATTGTGATTTTAAAGTGGGGTTTTTGTTTCTGTATTAATTTGTCGAATATGGGGAGTGTCATCTGAAAGACCTCGAGAAGCTCAAATTTCCCGACTCGGTGACAGTGTTTTACTTTTAACAAAACAATTAGATTGTCGAGGTGCCGAATTAAATGTAGTGATTATTGAACAGCTATTTATCTCTCACAAGAATTTAAAGACTAAAAAGGATTTAATTTAAAGTTTAAATTTTTTTACAGTTTTTTTTTCAATTTTATAATTAATTTATTAAATATATAGAAGATTATAGGCTAAAAAAATATATTTACTACTATAATACCTTCCCTATAATTTTTTCTTTCTTTTTAATTTTATTTGCGGTAGTCACAGCTAGTAGCTAATCGTCATTTTTATTATCAGTTATTTGTCGGCAATTTCTTTTATTTAAAGTACTAAATAAATAAATAAAAATATATTTATTCTCTCTCCTTATTTTTATCGCAAACAATTTAATTCTTTTTATTTTCCCACAAATCTGTGTTTTTTTGATCATTACTATTTGATTGACCTTTTTTAACAAATAAAACTTTTATAAATTGTGTTAAATTATTTTTTTAAAGAAAAAAATTATTTTTAATTTTGTGTTTTTACACTCTTGAGTGATTTGCAACCAATTTGTCCGTTTTTTTCTAATTGCCGAAACGGCCATCAACTTTTTATACCGATAAATAATCTAAAAAACAATGCTTTACTTTTGTCGGCATTTTTTGAAATAAAAAAGACATTTTTACGAGGAAAAGCTAGTATAAAATATTTAATTTGGATTGGAGGAGGAGGGGGGAGGCTTTCTAAATTTTAATAAATTGAGAATTAGATACTGTGGAAAAAAGGAAAAAAATTAAAATTTTCAAAACTTTTAAAATTTTTGTGTTCTAAACATTGAAAAAATTATCGGTAATTTTCCGTTATGCGGCCGCAAATTGAAAGCCAGCAGTATTTGATCGGCTATAACTTTTTGACTTAAGATCCAATACAAATGAATTCATTTCATTCGAAAGTCCTTGATAAGCGGTATCTTTTTTTAGAATACTTCAAGTATGATCACTCATTAAAAAGTTATAACCGATAAGTTACTTGGTGTTTTTTCAATTATCGAGTTATAACTTTTTAATGGGTGATCAGAGCTGATCCATCAAATTGGAATAAAGATACCGCTTATCGAGGGCTTTCGAATGATATAAGATTTGTTTGTATTGGATTAAGCAACAAGAAGTCATAGCCTATCAAGATCGCCTGGTACTCGTATGACGGAAAAGTACCAAATTATCTTTAAGGAAGCGATAAAAAAGACCAATTTCCTTAACTGATCAGAATTGGGGGTAAATGTGTACAAATTCAAAAATAAACACTATTTAATTAAAATTTTTAATTTTATTTTTTTTTCAAATAAATTTAAATATCCCCATCCCCACCATCACAACAATTATCTGTTTCAATAATTATTTTCTTTTTATCTTCTTTTAATTTTCTTTTATCTTTTTCTGTTTTTTGCCTCTTTTTTCTTCTTTTTTGATTAAATGATAATTTATTTCTCCAACAATTTATTCTTTCCTAAATTAAACAAAATATTCATTTAATTTAAAAAAAGGAAGAAGGGAATATTTTAATTATTTTACAGAAATAATAATTTCACAGAAAAGAATCTTTATTAGAAAAGTTTAAACTTTTTTATTTTTAAATAAAATTTCCTACTTAATTCCTCCCTCTTAAGCCTTTAATTATTTAATTACCTTTTCCTTTTCTTCTATATTCCATTCTTCTTTTTGTGATTTTTGTTGATCAATAATACAAAAATCGTTGTTGACTGTATTTATTATACAATTATTATTTTGTATTTCTTCACAATTAATAATTGAAGAAGAAGAAGAAGAATATTTGTTTGTTGTTGGGAGGGGGAGGGGAGGGAGTTGTGGAGGTGGAGGTGGTTGTGGATATAAAGAAAAAGATGAAATTAAAGGGGATGTTTGTGGAATTGAAGAAGAAGAATTAATTGATTGAAGAAGAAATGAAGGGGGAAGAGTAGAAGAAGAACAACAATTAAATAAAAAAGAAGAAATATCTGAGGAAGAAGTAGAAGTAGATGATTGTGGGTGTTGTTGGGAGTGTGAATAGATTGATGATAAATTAGAAGAATTATTAGAAGAATACAATAAACGTTTAAATCTTTTTCTTCTTCTCAAAAAACTTCCATTATCGAACATATCTTCTGCGGCAGGGTCTAGTGCCCAATAATTTCCTTTGCCGGGATTTCCAGGTTCTCTCGGGCATTTAACAAAACAATCATTTAAACTTAAATTGTGCCGAATAGAATTTTGCCAGGCCGGGAATTTGTCTCGATAATATTCAAATTTGTCCATAATAAAATCACAAATTTGTGAAAGTGTAAGTCTTCTTTGTTTGGAATTAACTATTGCCATTGAAATTAAAGCAATATAGGAGAATGGGGGCTTTTTTGAATTGTTGTTGTTGTTGGTACTGTAAATTTAGTTGGGATATTTATTATTAGCTTTTTGTTAGAGAGAAAAGAGAAAATAATTTTATAGAATTTTTTTGAATAGAATTTATATTTACGGTAATTTAAATATTAAATAAATTTTTGTAAATTAAAATATATTTTTATTTCTCTCCAACCCTACATACCTATTATTTTCTTCAAACATTTTTTCTTCCAAACTTTCAAATTCCTCCATTCCTTCTTCCTCTTCTTCTTCATTATTTTCATCATTTTTCCATAATTTATCTTCTTCTTCAACAACATTATATTTTAATGAATTAATTGAGGATGTTGAAGGAAGTTGAAGTAATTCTGTTGAAGAAGGAATTCTAAATTTAATTTAGGTAATTTAAAAAATAAATAAATTTAAATTTACAGATTTAAACTTTTTTGTTTTTTTAAACGTTTATTATTTTGTTGTTTATCTTCATTATTATTATTTTCTTCTTCTAAATTTTTTGATTCTTTTGATGAAAGAATTGTTTCAATTCCAAAACGCATTTAATTAAAAGATTATTTTAAATATATACTGTAAATAAATAAATAAATAAATAAATAAATAGCAATTGAGAGAAAGGTAAATAAAAAGAAAAAGTAAATGACCTAAAAGTACAAAAAAGGGGTATATAAAAATATTATTTTTTAATTGGAATGTGTTGAATTGTTTTGTTTATTACTTGTTTTTTTAGGTTTTATTTAGGATATATTATTTAGTGAATATATGGAGTAAAAAGTAAAATAAGTATATATATCTACTATTTATTTTATATGTATTCCTTCAATATATTCTGTATTTTTTTAAAGAAAAGAGAGTAATGTATAAAAGACTATAAAATTTTAAAAATTAAAAATAAATAAATATATTTAGTAGAATAATTTAACTTTTCTTGTTCTGCTCATTCTCCTAAATTAAAATTTCATATTTAGGGTAATGAAAGGTGCCTATCACAAATCTGAAGGCGGATTCTGAACCCCTTTCTTTCAGTCTTAAAATAAAGAAATCTGAGAACCGAAAAATCAAGTTATCAAAATTGAAAGAGCCCAAAATGTTGAGTTGAATGGACCTAAATCACTGCAATTGGAAATTCTTGGCATAGTTTTATCAATTAATTACATATCAGCCAATTTGCGATCAGACTTTCCTTATATTTAATGTTTTATATAAATTTAGGGGGGGTGGTGTTAAAAAAAATTATAAATAATCTACTAATTTTATTTAATTAAAACCTTTTAATTTGAAAATTTTGTTTATCAAAAATTTATGCAAAATTTAAAAAATGATTTTCCCCAATTTAAATATTTACAATTTATTTTTAAATATCCTTTTTTTTATTTTTTTAAGAAATAAAAACAAAAAGGTGGAGCTTTTAATATATAAAATAAATTATAAAAGAAAAATAAACAGAAGGGAGGGAAAGGAGGGAGGGAGGGAGGAGTTATTTATAATGATTGGATAATAGCTAAAGAAAATAAAAATTAATAAAAATATTTTGATTGATATAATCATGTGTTTGTTGTTATTGAAATTGGAAAAAAATAAATATAAAAATAAATTGTTTAAATTTTTAATTAAATTTAAAAATAATATTATTGTATATTGCAGTAATCTTACGAAAAAATAATTTTGGTTGAAAATTAGCTAGAAATTAATTTTAGTTCCTCCACAGATTTAGATTGGAGACTAGCTTGATATTATTTTGTAATTTTCGAATCCTTTTCTCGTGTATTTTTAAAAGACCGAGAAGCCAAACACCAATTACCACTAAACTTTAATTTAAAGTTTAAAGCCAACAAAAAATCAAAATTAGAAAAACAAAAGAAAAAGATTAATTAATTGTGTATATTTATGTCAAACAAATTATTTCTTTTCTAAAATAATTAATTAGTCAATTGTGTTTTAAATATAAAAATATTTTGATTAAAAGAAATTAATTTAGTATATTTATTTAATCACAGTTGTTGTCTTTAAAAAGAAAAAAAAGAAAATTATTTTTTTTTTCAAAATTATTAACTATTGGAGCCAATTAAAAAGTTGATTTTGGATGTTTTGAATATTTAAAAATTAATTAAAATACAGTGTTTCCTAAAATAAATCCCTACCCTAAATTAGAGCCCCCCACTTTGGAGGACAGTCGAAAAATAGAGCCCCATTGGGCTATATTTTAGGAAATACGGTAGTTAGGGAATAGAAAAAATTCAAATATTTACAGTAGAAAAAGGAAAAAAAGATGAAAATCTTTTTTTTTGTTTATTTATAAAGAAAAAAAAGATAATAATAAATAAATAAAATAATATTCCTTTTATTGGATAGAAGGGGGAATAAATATTTGGTTGAATGAATTAAAAAAAATAAGAAAAGATAACATCTGCGCTTTTATAAAATAAATTCACGCAAAATTGGTATTTTTATTTAAATAATAAGTGTTTGAAGTAAATTTTAATTTAAATTAAATAAAAGGAAAACAAGAAAAAAATAATTTTAAAAATTTAAAAATTAATTAATTAAACATTATCTTACAAAAAAATTTTTTTTCTTTAAAATTCTCAATAAAAATAAATAAATTTATAACAAAAAAAGAAAACATTTTTATATTTTTCTGTTTAATGGTATAGCCTAGAAGCAATAAAAAGAAAATAAATAAATATTATTTTTAAAGGAAAAAAAGCTGTCACCAAAATAAAAAAATTAAAAAAAATTACTGTAAAAGGAGAAGGCTAAATTGAGAACCAATATTTTTTCTTTTGGCCAACTTAAAATTTCGAAAATTTCAAAACATTTTTTAGAATTTTAAAAATCTTTTTGTTAACCCAAAATATTCATTAGAAATAAATAAAATAATTAATAAATATTCTCTTTTTTTTAATTAAAGAGATATTCCTTTGGATTTCCTTGGGATTAAATGTTGGTCTCGCTTTTTTTTTTGGAAAATTTATTAAACTAAATGAACAAAAAGTTTGACTAAAAATGGTAACTCAAAAGTTTTTTGATATTAAAGATTTTTGATATAAAGTGTGAATTTTTAAAAAATTAAGATCGGAACCCCCTGCTTTAAACCAACGTTTTTAATATTTTTATGCCTTGATTTGTAGAATTGTCAGCGGTATGTTGGGCAGCTGCGAAAACCTGTAATACTTAGTTTTTAGGAATAACGCCCCTACTGTATAAAATTTAAAAAAAAATAAATACATATTTTAATCAAAATAACGAAAAATGAGGAAAAAATTAAAATATTTTAATTAATTAGTTAAATATTATTTTAAATATGTATTAACAAAAGGCCTTTAAGTTTTCCTAAAATCTTTACAAAAAAAGCTCCGCCCATTTTATATACTCTTTCTCTCTTTCCTGTACATATTTGTCAGTTCCGCCTTTTTTTATTTACTAAGTATTTTATTTATTTAATTCTTTTAATTTTTCAACATTTTCCAATATAAATTTAATTTATTTCTATCTATTATTTACCATATTTTCTCTAAAATACCCTCCCCCTCTCAATTCCCCTTTAGTGGATAGGAGTGGGTATGTTAGAAAGTCTTTACTGTTAGGGGTTTTTTGAAAATAATTTTCCAATTCAGAACACCAAATCCATAATTTAAACCAAAATAAAATATTTAAAAAAGAACAGACAAGAATGTTCAATTTTTTAAGTTTGGATTGTTGCCTGAGGAGAAGTGGGAGGGAGGAGAGATATTCCAAAACAATATCCCTCTATTGTTTATTCTTTAAAGATATTTTAAAAAATAATTTAAATAAAAAATATCAATTTTAAATATTCTCCTCCTCCCCCTCCTTCCCCCCTCACCCCTCCCAAAATTATGCTTATCTAAATACATAAGAAAGTGCCAATTTTATTACTTGATTTTTGCCGCCTTTTTTAAGAGGACGAAATTGGTCATTTGGGATTACGCGATTAGAAGATATTTTTTTTTGATTTAAAAAAGGGAAAGTTGTTGAGCCTCTCAAGTTTTTTATGCCGAAATAAAAAAATAAAAAAAGAATCTCGGTGCGCAACTTTTGTTTTTGATTATTATTTTGTTAATAAAAAATACTTCAAATAAAAAGTAACTAGTATATCGACCTTGATTTTTTAAGTATTTTTTGGCAAAGCAATTTCCGTTTCCCTTACTATTAGATTAGTAATAATTAAGAAAAAATGAATTATTTTTTACCTTTCAACTTCTTATTTTATTTTTAAAAATTAATTCAAAATTTTTATTTAGTAATTTTTATTTAGTAAAAAAAATTCTTTAGAATAAAATTTGGAATTGGAAAAATATTTTGATTTTTTTGAAAAATAAAATAGAAATAATTTAAATTTAAAAAATTTCGATAAATTTTATATAAATTTTAATTATTTTTTTCTCCTATTTAAAAGAAATATATTAAAATTAAATTTAGTATATATTACAAAACAAAAAAACTCCATAGGGGGTATACTTAAAGACTGACATTTTTTGTGTTTATTTATGTCAAAGTTTATTAGACCGGAAATATATTTAAATATTTTAACACTTTTATGAGACAGTAAATAAAAATAATCTTTCCAATAAATCTCTGAACATTTCTCTCTTTTTTTTCTTAAAAACTTTCGGCATTTTCTCTCCTTTCCCCCTTCCTTTTACTAATACAGTAAAAAAGAAGAGAAGAACGAAACACTTCAGAAAAAGGTAAAAGAACACTTTCTTCTTTATGGCCTTGGCAATTAGGGGATTAACAATTAATGAAGAAAATATATTTTGAAAAAAATAAGAAAATTGTTTTTCAAAAAAAATAAATTTATTTAAAATTACAAAAAGAAAATTAGAAAACTTGACAGAAATTAAAAAATAAATTTATTTTTATTTTAAATTTATAGTGAGGGAGTTAAATTGTTTTTTTTATATCTCATAATTTCACAATATTCCATAAATTATTGAAAGAAATTTTGACAGGTAAAGTCTTCAAAATATAGACAAGATTTGAGATTTAGGGTGTGTTTATAATTAGTTAATAAACTTTACAGTAAAATAATTAAAAGAAAATTAAAACTTTTTTTAAATTCAAAAAATACTAGCCTAAATTTTTAAATAAACTTATAAATTAGAGCCTAGAAATTTTTAATTTATGAAAATATTAATTAATATTTTTTGGTAATTATTTACTAAAATATTTATTTAATTCAAAATTTGAAAATAATATTAATTTATTTTGACAATATTTGAATGGAAATATATAAATAAATAAATAAACGAATAAAAAATATTCCAGCTGCCTACTTTTTGAATTTTATTTAAAAAATTTTCGGAAATTAAATGATAAACAAATACTTTAAAATAAATGTAATAAAATTTGGAAACAAGTAAAAAAAGATTTTTAGCTTTCCTATATCTTTAGTTTTGCTAGCTTTGAATGATATAAAATTTTTCAAGAGTTGTGATTGTTTGAATGACTTTGGCGTCACATTGTTAACGACAAATTATCTTTTAAATCCAAAGGTTTAGGCTTTATTTGAACATTTTGGGCACCAATTTGACAACGCACTTTATTTACTACTAAGTAGGTGTGACCCAACTACGCATTAGTTATATCGCTCCTCGACCACCCACCCACCATTTTTGCTTACTTTTATTGGCCCAGATCTTGTAACTTCTTTCAGCCCCTAGATCTGTTTTAAGCCATTGTACTTTCAAATGTCATGGAATATCCATCTTGCGCGTATATTAATTTAAAGAAATTTGGATCGACAGACGTAAAGGCGTCACTAATAAATATTTATACTATTCGAATTATTATTATCCCAATCCATCTTCTAATTTTTCTCATTTTCCCATAAACAAAAGAAAAAAAATAAAAGTTTTTGGAAATAATATATGTGCTTGGCCAATTTGTCAGCGGCAGTCTTAGTGTCGCCATTCACCTAAAAAACCTAGCACGAACAGACCAAAAGGAAAAGGCCCTGATTTAAACAAAGACCTATATTAATATATAGCGGTGATCGATGGGATTTAATGTAAAGAAAAGGGGGGATATTGAACGGGCAAACAGGCAACAGATATTAAAAAGACAAAGTTTAACAAAGAAAGAAGGCGAAAATTCAGCTGTTGAAGGGGATTTTTAATTTAGAAAATTTAAAAATTACTAAAATTGAATATTTAGAAATAGAAAAAGACCTGTTGATTGCTATGCCTCCTGCATAGCTTTAGGAATTAAATAACTATTCACTTTATAATATGTATTTTAAAAATACTTTGTTTAAAGTTAATTCAACTTCTCAAAATCATTAAAACATAATAAATACTAACATTAAATAAATCTTATCTCTCAAAAAGTAAATTAACCAATAATTTGCTACTTAAACTTAAAAAACCCAAACAAGAATTAATTGGGGGTAATAAAAATATTATTTTATTTTGTGCCATTTTTATTACTTTTTGTTTTTGAATAAATGTAAATATTTATAGTTTTGTCAATTATCAATAAGAAAAAGGGGAAGTTGTTGAAAAAAGAAAATTTTAAACAAAAATTAAATTACTTTACTATAAATTTCAAATGAAATTTGATTCAAAATACAAACACACAAGAGAATATTATTATTGAAAAGAAAAAGGTAAATTGAATAATAAAAATCTTTAAAGGTGTTATCGCCATGAAAATGTCTGATTTTGAAAATAAATCTGTTGTTTTTGTTGTTGTTGGGGTAGGATTTTTTGTTGTTGTGATTGTGGTTGGTGATATTTTGTTTGTGAATATATAACATTAATTGGAATATTTTGTTCTCCCATTTCAATTCTTCTATTTCGCATTTTTCTACTTAATTCAGCTTTCCAGTAATCAGCAATTTCATGTAATTTTAATTCAACACCATCAATCCTTCAAAAAATATTTTAAAAAATTAAATAAAAAATATTAAAAAAACCATCTTTCAGTTGTATTTTTAATTCTTGTTCTATTCCTTTTTTGTTGAGAGTTAACAATCATTCGATTTTCGTCTTCCACACCATCTCCTGCATAAATTGATGGACGTTTTCGCTTCCGTTTCTTCGAAGCTTTTGAATTCATAAAATCTGTGTCACCGTTAGTAAGAGCAACATTTCCATTTTCTGCAGGGCTATCATCATCTTCAATCGAATATTGATCAACTCTTATTTTGTACTGAAAAACAAATTTTAAAATTTAATTGAACAAGAATTAAACAACCAACCTGCTCGTAATATCCCTCTGGAGGATGTTCCAAGTGACCAATAACTACTCGAACCTCGTCATAATCAGTCAAATGTGTCCAAACACGCGTATCCTTTAAATGTTTTATTTCTTCAAAATTTTTTAGAAATTAAAAAACAGGATCATCGGGATCAGAGGGCCACATATCCATCCAACGAATTGAAGCATAAATTTGACGAAAGCGAAGGGCTAAGGCATGAAGCGAAGATGCTCTGCTTGTAAGGTAACGCCAACAATGATCAAATGCAGGCCGTGGACACAAATAAGGCCATGCTTGAGGATTGGCTTTTGCAGATGGCAAAAAGCCGGGAGCCAACGTTTTAGCACTTAAACCTCCTTGACGAGCTAAACGACGCATACACCTGAAATTTAAAAAAATAATTTGTATTTTGAAAAGAAAATCTGTGCTGTATATCGAAATGCAGACTTTTAATGAATTCTTATGTTTTCACACACCTATTTTAAGAAAACTATCGACATTTTTATTCACCGTTCGTTTTAATTGCTTAATTAAAATTAAGTTCTAATTGTTATTTAAAGGAGTAAAAATATATAAATTATAGTTAATTAAAGGAAAGTGCCCTGTATAGAAACTAACCAATTTGGAAGAATGAGAATGCTTTCCTTTGTTCTTCCATTATTGCACGATTTACGTTTAAAATTATAAGGCTTAGGATAAGGAAAAGTATTTGTTTCAGATTGCGTCGAATGTAGAGATAATTCTCGGTTAATAGATGGAGGTTTTGCTCTTGCAGGTTGTTCAGAAGTAAAAACATCTAACGACAAAGAAAAATATTAATTTGAAAAAAATTTTACTTGGCAGATTTCGCACACAGCTTGGATTGTAACAAGGTAATAAAATGGATGAGTCAATTAAAGAAAACCCGTTTCTTGGTTTCTTGATAGAAACAAAAGCAGCTCGGCAAGAAAATGAAAAACAACAATGACCATTGACATTCGAAAGTTTGGCTAACTCTTCTTTTGTTCTCCAAATTAGTAGACGGTTAGCAATCTGATAAAGATGAGCAGCTTTTAGAGAAGCAACAGACTTTGAAGGTTTCTGAATTAATTTGATTTTGTCAGGAATTTCTCAAAGAAAAATGTAAGAAAAACAAATCACCTCATATGGATTTGGTTTCTCAGGACATGGGACAAAACGCCGTGTCATTAATGAAGAAACCCAAAGCCATCCACCTGACAGAAAGTATAATTTTGAAATAATTTAAACCAAACCTAATGATCCCTGTCCATTTACTCGGAACTGTTCATTTCCATCTCTTAGCCTCCACAAGTTATGTCTAGGTAGATTAAAACCATAAAGGGAATATTTGACCCAAACAATCCCAGTTGATTCAGATTCATCAGCATTAGCAAGTAGCTAAAAATGAAATTTTATTTGAAAAAACATGTGGGATTTTTTTAAATTTCGAACAGAAAATTTAAATAAATTCTATACCTTTTCTTCTTTCCTTCTTAACGATTCAAATTTTTGTCGCTTTTCTCTATCCTAAAATATAATAAATTACTGAAGTAAAAATACTTTTAAATTAACCTCAACAGTAACTCGATTAAACCTGGTCAAAGCTAATCCTGCCCACCAAATACTTGAAAATAAAATTTAAAAAATTAAAATATTAAAAATGATTACTTTAAAAACACAGGTTTGCGAACAACTCGTTCAAAAAGAAGCAACAAATAGCGTAAAGTATTAAAGTTAGCACCTTCTCGTAATAGTTGCTGCATAAAACGTTCCTTTTCATTTTCAAGAATCCAATTTTGATGCATTAATGTATCAGGAATACGTTCAATCATGCGACGAATGCTAAGTTGAATACATTTAAGAACATCTGCTTCTGTTCCAAACGGGGAAGCTCCCCTATGGTTGGGCCACTTAAAATACTAACTTTTAACGAAGAAAAATAAAAAACAAACATTGAATTCTCCATCATCAGTTAAGCAGAAACGAGAATTTAAATAACGCTTTTTATCACGTTCTTTTGCTCGCAAATAAGGAGATCTAGCCAAATCATTTACAGAAAATTGATTGACATAATTTCTGTGTCCAGCGTCAGAAAATCCAAGACGAATTCCTCTACGCATTCGTAGTTCTAAATCTGAGGAAAGCGAATAAAATGAGCCATAGTTGTTTGATTGAAGAGAATCATTCCATACTTTATGATTAAAAATTAGTTGATCTTCTAAAGAGTTTTAATTAAAAATACAAAATTTTAACAAAAAGTATCTAACCATTCAATTTTCCACTCCAATAACAAGCTTCTAATCTACCATGTCGAATACAAAGAAGATTGCGAATTATTTGCATTATGCTGGGCTTTTCCACACTATCAACATTATTATCAGTAATTTGCTCTGATTTATTGTCCGCTTCAATTTGAGCTTCAGTCAAGATTTTAGCCATTCGATGGGAATTATCGACCTGAATTTTATTCAGAAGGTCAATTTATTAAATAAAACCTGTAAATATGCATCAACAACTGGCTTAGGCGATTTGGTTTGTAATAACCTACGCCGTTCTTCTGTCAGTTCAAGGGTAATATGCATTTGAACAGCAATGTGAGGCAAACATTCGCAAAGCGTTTGACATAACCTCTTTTCATAATAATTAGGGTCAAGAACAGCACAAAGATCAAAAAGTTGAGGCAAAGTTGAGTAATAATAAATTTCATTAATAAATGGATCATGACTGAAAACATTCAATTACTCTATTTATTATCTAGTTAAACTGACATAAAAACCCTTCTAACAAGGAACCAATAAATACGACCTTTGCGATCATAACCAAGTGGCAACTTCCTTAGAGTAGTCTGACCAGGTAAGATACAATCAGTTGAACCAGTTAACTGAAAATGTTAAAACCAATTCTAAAAAGCTTTAATAATTAATAAAGGATAAAATTAGAAAAGATAAATTGAAAAAATATTTAAATGTAATTATAAGATTTTAATACTTGGTGTTTAATACAAACAGAGCAAAGCCATTTCTCGTTTAACTCAGGCGGACCAAAAGAAGATTCTGTACAATTAAAATGATAAATTGCATCACAGCCAGAACATTCTATTGAGGTTTGTTGTGATTCGTGAGAGCCAATACAAGATTTTGCACAATAACGACAATGTTGGTCATGCTAAAAATATTAGAAAATAAACTTTCTAAAATTTTTAAAATAAAACCTTAATTTTTCCTTCATCGCGAACTAATTGTTTAAATATGGTTGTCTCAAAAAACCGATCACACATCCATTTGAGAACGACTAAACGTTTATCCATAGCTACAAATGGATATTTTCCCTCTTCCAAAATTTTTAAGACTTCTGCTGGAAAATTTGGATCACTTTCCAAATACAGTCTCAAAACCTATTTAAAATAAAAATATTTTTTAATTATTAAAGTATTTACTTCAGCATAGTTCATATGGTCGAGTAATTGCAGTACAACGTTAAAAGAAAGATTTGTATCAAAAACAGAAAATGTAGTTTTTTCTTGTTCCTCTTCAGAGAAAAATAAACGCAAAAAAGCAATATGAATTTCTCCAAGGAGTTTAGACTTAAATTAAAAACAAAATATGTAGAATTTATGAAAAACTAACTTGACTTTGGTTTCGCAAAGCACAACAAAAATCTTCAAAAAGAAAAGGAGAAAGTTGAATGGTAGAGCCAAAATTATGAATTACTTCATAAACCTAAAGACATTAATCAAATAACCAGATAGATAACCTCTAAAGTATGTAAGATATGATCGCTATCAATAAGAAGGTCCATGCTGGCTCCAGGCAATTCTAATGCAGGGATTCTCTCAGGTGGAAATTCCAACCACGGGCAAAACATATCAGGTGGAGTTTGTGAGCAAGTGGCTTCTGTCAACTCTTGTGTAGCAGAATCAACATCAGAAACAGTTGACATATTATCCTCACTGACCCCGTTAACCTCAGCCTCTAAAATATGAAAATAAATAAAATAAGAAAAATTACCGGAGTAGGCAGCAGAACTCTCATCATCAGGTTCAGAAGCTGAGAAAGATGCCCGATTCCATCCTTTCGGTTGATCCAATTCATCATCACTCTCTTCCCAAGGATTTCTCTTTCGTCCCCTATTCATAAGATTTTTGGAAAATAAAAAAACTAAATAAAATAAACCCATCGATCTGCTTTAAATCACGTCTTCGCGAGGTTATCCGGCCGTCTCTTTTAGAGCTAGTAATCGACACTAAGGATTTTGATGAAGACCTTTTTCCTCTTCTTTCTTTAACAACATTTCGTCCCTTTTTAACACCTCGTAAGTTTCTGTTTGGCGTAATATCTTTACTTCGAATATTTGCAAGCGATTCAGTTTGTTGACAATTGGGATATTTTGTCGCACGTCTTGTAGTTACAGGCATTAAAAAATTAGAATCTTTTTCGAATTATTTCAACTTTAATTAAAAATTTTTTACATTTGAGTAAATAAATTTTTAAAAAATTTAAAATATGCGAGAAAATATAAAAATTTTAAAAACAATACTCAATAAACATTAGATGATTAGAAACAACTTAAATTCCAACAAACATAAATGCTTTAATAAACGTGTAGGTACAAAATATCTCAAAGTAAAAATATCGTCAGAGCAAAAAAGTTAAAATATCGTTTCATGAAAATATCGTCGCGGCTAAAATGGGTAAATCGAAACCCTTAAATGGTTTCGAGAAAAATCAGCAATTTAAAAAAACTCAAAATAGACTTACAAATTAATGGTGGCCCTTTTTAATTTTAAAAACGATGTAATGACCAAATTTACCCGTGCCGATATTTTCATGAAACGATATTTTAATAAACGATGTTTTGTACCGTGCGTTTAACAAAAGATAATAAAACAGACGGTGATACAAAGAAATAAAAAGCAAAATGACATAAATTTGGCGAAAATTCAAAATTTGATTAATTTATTTGTTAGGGACTGGCGAAGGAGCTCAACAGAAAAAGGGGAAAGTTGTTCCAATACGTGGGGGGGGGGGGCTAATATTTAAGATATCGACACGTGCCCTAATCGAGCTCGATTTTCTTTTCGAGGCATACAAGTCATGTTCGAGCCTAGTTTGCCGTATCGCTTGATTATTTGAAGAGTGAAACGAAGAAACAATTTAGAAAATGAATACATAACACACCAAAATTTCCATCAAAGCTCTCTTAATAATAAATCTGTCCCTAATTAATATATATTTTCCTTTTAATTTAAATTCTTGTTTCCTAAATATTCACATAAAAATATTATTTTTTTTCCACAAAGCGCAAGATTAGAGACAATTTCTCGGGATAAACAAAAGAATCTTTTTTAATAAATTGATTTCTTTTTTTCTTCATTTTCATCCTTCTATTGACCAATCAAATCAACAAAAACAATTTAATTGTTGTAAACAAATAAATATATTTTGAGAAAAGAAGAAGAAGAATGAATGACTAATAAATAAATAAATTTAAGTATAAGACAATGAAATGAATAAAAAAATATTTATTTATTTATTTACTTGAGTCCGAAACATTTAAGTGTTTATTTTTAATTTTTTTTTATTTATTTATTTACTCGAGTCCGAAACATTTAAGTGTTTATTTTTAATTTAAAAATATTTTCCCTTTTAACAAAAATTAATTTTAATTTTTTGGTCATTTTATACTTTTATATTTTGTTTTTATTTTTAAATGATGATTGGTATATTTATATTTAGTAATTAAATATATTTATTGATATATAATTGACGTAATTAAACTAGTTTTTCTTTTTTTGTTTGTTATTTTAATTTCCGAATTGTGAAATAATTAAAAATAAATAAAAATTATTTTTAAAAAAGAACTCTAAGAAGAGGATTGCCAATAAATTTTTTTAATTTAAATTTTTATTTATAAAATATCTAGAGTGCAGTAAAATTTTTTTATTTTGAATTAACTACAATACTTAAATTTATATATCATCTACCTATTCCCTTCTCTCGTTCTATTTTTAATCAAAACTGTTTGATTTCATTAAACAAAAGACTATTTTTAAATTTTTTATCTAACAAAATTAAAATTAAAAATAAAATCTAAATAATTTCCATTTAATAATTCCAACAACCAACATTCTACGAGAACAATTTTAAAAATAATTTATTTAAAAAATAGAGCAAAACACCGTGCGGCCATAACGGCGCAAAGCCATAACTTGCTGGAAAATGTCTGGCCCTTGCCAATTTTGGGAGAGGAATTGTTTGATACTAATCTGGTAGGATTAAGAATCTTGAAGAAAGTTATGGCTTTGCGTGTTTGTTATGGCCGCGCTCAGTTTTAGGTGTGCCTCCTCCAGACGGTATTTTTGTCAGACGGTGTTTTGTCCCTCGCCTATACATAAATACTTCGAGAACGAAAATTTAATAATTTTACTATGTTCATAACTAAATATATTTATTTATTTGGACCAATCATCCATTCACTAATCACACCCCCCCTTCCCCCTCCCCTCTTTTTTTTTCTCTCAATAATTTTGTCCTCAATTCAATTGAGTGTAAATCCTTTTTAGACGTAAATATATCGAGGGAAAACAAACACAAAAAAGTTTTGCCGTCCTTTTCGTTTATTCAAAAAAGAAAAAAATTTTTTTGTTGGCACATAAAATAGCCTTTCCTTCCTTCCCCAATTTTAAAAAATAAATACAGTGTGTAACAAAACTATAAGCCACCTCAAATTTTTTAATTTTTTAGGGTTCTAATGAATGAAAATTTTTGAAATTTTAACCCAATATTGAAAATGTAATTTCAAGTAAAAATTAAAAAAAAATTTAATTAAAAAATCTTACAAAAAATTTTTTTCGAACTTTTTCTGAAATTTAGGTGTAACATAACTATAAGCCATCTTGGAAAAATTTTATTTTTCATATTAGAAATGTCTGAAAAATTTTGCAAAAATTTCTGTGATCATTTCCATCGATATAGTGTAGAAAAGTAAAAAGAACGAAGTCATTAACTGCTTTCTTCATTGAGATCTAAAATCTCAAAAATCAACTGAAAACGAGGGTACAGTACTTCAAAAAATATTTTAACCCCCTTAAGGCTTATATAAAAATTTTCTTTTAGGCCTATCTGAAAGCCCATAAAATTTACTACAAAATAGCCCGGGACATAATTTTTCAAAAATATATATATATTTGAGGTATGTCCACTTAACTTTAAAAATACTAAAAACTCTCAAAATACCCCATAAATGATCACTTAAAAATTCCTCGATGATTAAGTCCATGTGTTCTTTATTTTGAAAAATTATGTCCCGGGCTATTTTGTAGCAAATTTTATGGGCTTTCAGATAGGCCTAAAAGAAAATTTTTATATAAGCCTTAAGGGGGTTAAAATATTTTTTGAAGTACTGTACCCTCGTTTTCAGTTGATTTTCGTTTTCAGTTGATTTTTCCTTTTTAGACGTAAATATATCGAGGGAAAACAAACACAAAAAAGTTTTGCCGTCCTTTTCGTTTATTCAAAAAAGAAAAAAATTTTTTTGTTGGCACATAAAATAGCCTTTCCTTCCTTCCCCAATTTTAAAAAATAAATACAGTGTGTAACAAAACTATAAGCCACCTCAAATTTTTTAATTTTTTAGGGTTCTAATGAATGAAAATTTTTGAAATTTTAACCCAATATTGAAAATGTAATTTCAAGTAAAAATTAAAAAAAAATTTAATTAAAAAATCTTACAAAAAATTTTTTTCGAACTTTTTCTGAAATTTAGGTGTAACATAACTATAAGCCATCTTGGAAAAATTTTATTTTTCATATTAGACTGATGCTATCAAATGATGCTATCAGCTAACTGATGCTATCAAAAATATTGAACAATGGGCAACTGAATGGAAATTAAATATTGCTATTAATAAAACATATATCATTTATCTTGGTAAAACTAACCCTAAAGATCAATATAAAATTTTTAATACAACTATAAATGAAGTAGATTCTATACGTGATCTAGGCATCATAATAGATAATAAACTCAAATTTCAAGAACATGTACAAAAAATTATTCGGGCAGCTTATATAAAAATGAATTTTGTGTTTAAAATAATTAAATCAAAATCTATAAAAACATGGCTTACTATCTATAAAAGTTATATAAGACCCTTGCTTGAATACTCTCCTGAAACATGGAATCCACAGCTAAAATCTGATATTATCAAACTCGAAAAATGCCAAAAATTCTTTACAAAAATCTTACTTCGAAAATGTTCACTACCCTATATACCATATTTACAAAGATTGGAATTTCTTAATCTTCCTACTCTTGAAAATCGTCGTAAGACTTATGATTTAGTATTAGCTCATAAAATCCTACACGGGTATACACATCTTAAATCAGATGATCTTTTTAAAGTATCAAATAGAAAAAACTGTTATTTGTTATCTAAAAATCAAACATCAAAATCTTCCAATTCATTTGTTAATAGGGTAACCAAGATGTGGAATGTTTTAAATGATGAACTCAGAACTACAAAAATAACACTTAGTTTTAAAAATAAAATAAAAGCAATACTCATTCAGTAAATCTACAATTTTGAAAAAATATTCTGAATTCTAATTTCACTTACCTATTTGGAAAAAATATTCTAAATTCCAGTTTCACTTTCCTATTAACAAATTAAATCCAAAAAATCTTAGATCTAGAAAATTTTCCAATTTCATCACAAATAGCATCATTCAGAATTGACAGCTATTTCAAGCTCAAAGCCTCTAAATTCTTACAATGTTTAAAAAATCGTAGTAAAATTTCAAAATTTTTCATGTTACATGTCCAAGATTCAAATGTTTATTTTGAATGTTAATTTCTTAGGAAGAAATAAAATGTTATCAACTTTATAAGAAATAAATAAAAAATATTTACTTTATATAAAAAATCCTCTGTTAAACGTAATTTTTCCATTTTTTTTTTTATGATCAAGTAAAGAATGTAAAGATAATTTATCAAATAGTCTTTTACTTAAATTCATAAATTTCCAAAAATTAAGGGTTTTTTACTAATTGAATATGAACTAAACATATTCTCAGAATTCTAACCAAATCATGTTTACTTAAATGCTTAGAAATTGTAAAAGCAAAAAGTTAGGCAATTTGTTAAAATAATCATAAAAACATTTTTAATGTTTTTAAATAATCACCTATTTTCTAGTATATAGATTTTATTTTTTCTATATAGTAGCTATATATTGTTATTTTTCTTTCCTTTTTAAGTAAACATTTAAATTATAATTTTGAATTATGTTTGGCATTCTGTTCAAAAAAATTAATTTAAATGACAATTTATACAAGCATCTCTTACTCTTTCGCATTCCCACTATTTCTTCTTTTTGATGACTCATAAAATTAAATTTAAAAAAAATTTTTTTTG